TCTGGGCTGCTGGGGTCAGTGTAGTTAGGCTCGTAGTTACTATAGATCCACACATTTCCAGCAACGAACCAAGCCAACTGAAAGAGTTTCATGAGACCCATGAACCGCTTAACCAGATTAAAGATTTGCTGATCATCTCCCTGACTTGTGTCACGGTCATATCTTGTTTCAGTTAATGTGTATGTTGTGTCACCGCTGTATCTTGTTTCACTTGTGGATGTGTAACTTGTGTTTCTTTTTTCTCGTCTTCTGTAGCAACGGCTGAAGAGACCAACTGATCCAGATACTATCAAGTAAATTGGGATCATGTCTTCCACAGGGCACTCATCCATGTATTTATAACCTAAAGCAAAAAAGAAAAAAGCTCTTGCTTTGAGTGTGGATGTATCTAGCAAGGAAGTACTAAACCGCGACAAGATCAGTCGGTACTGAGCGGTTGACTGCATTGCGGGAGGTCGTAGGTTCGATTCCCGGGGCAGGGCCAATACTCAGGGTCTTCAAATAACTGAGAAATGAAGGAACTACCTTTTCTCTCAGTGCCGTAGTAAGGTTAGATTTATTGGGAGGTGGGGGGCAATAACGAGCGCCGAAAGCGCGAGCTGCTATGGGGGTCCAGGGGCATGCTTCCCCGGAAGATTTTGAACTATAGGGTCTCTGAAATAGCATTTTCAGTCTTCGGAGAGTATTAATTTCCAGCAATTTTTCTTTTTAAATTTGTTAAAGCCATAAATAAATAATTTTGACGCTTTATCAAAACAAAATGAACACATTGAACCGAAGAGCAGCGTGAAGAGCGTGGCCGCTGACCAAATTAAACGTGCCAGTCAAAGTTATTTGGGGGGCCCAGCCCCCCCCCGGCCCCTCCCCATGCTACGGCACTGTTCCCTGCAAACGGCAACACCTTCACGTGGCTTGAATGACCACGTAAAATGGCAGTCCCCCTTCTCGTTTCAGGCAGGAGACGCAAATATAGTTAGTTAATACTTTCGTGATAACATTCATATAAAGTGTTTTTTTTTCTGAGGAAATCATTTCAACATGTCTTATTGGAGACCGCACCATCCTTTTACGCGGCAATTCGAGCCACGCGAATGTCCAGCTGTTTGCGGCACAAGGGTAGTACCTTCATTTCTCAGTTCTTTTAATATTGTCATTTCTGTTATTATAAAAAACTCGGTTTTGACAACTTGTGTGGTAGTCGCCATCAGAACCGGTAGAAAAATACTTTGGTCGACAAAACAGAAGTGAAAAATGATACCTAAAATTCCGAAAATAAGCCCCTCCATGTATAAGCCCCTCCAAATATAAGCCCCCCAAACCGGTAACGCAAAAACCCTCCGTTAAATCGCCCCTCCAAATATAAGCCCCCCCCGGGCTTGTACTTGGAAAATTGCCCTCAAATACAAAGTAAAACAAAGCAAAAACAGTAAATTTACTTCCAACGCAAATTTCCCTCCGTAGATAAGCTCCTCCAAAAATAAGCCCCTCAAATAGGGCCTTTGAAAAATATAAGCCCTGGGGATTATTTTCGGAATTTTACGAGAATTTTATTAGACTATTGTAACGTAGATATTAGAAATTGACTGGATAAACTTACCCAAAACTATCTGGGCTATCTGAACAGGAATCGAGAGGAGGGAAAAAAGCACAAGGGTACCTATCACTATTTAAAAGAAAAAAGTCGATTCATAATGTTAATTCAAAGGTTCTTGCTGGCCGAAGGGGTCGTTACATCCTTTTATTTTCTAAATTATGTCTCATCTATATGGCACCTTTTATCCACCCCATGTAGGAGAATCCAAGACAGTTTTGAATTGTGGATTCCAGGTACTGGATTCTAGATTCTTTGTCATCATTGGAATTGCAGATTCCTTGCGCTGTATTCCGGTTTCCGAAGCCCAGGATTCCAGATTCCGAAAGCGAAAATTCCAGGATTCTGGATTCCACGAGCAGAATTTTCCTGGATTCCGGAAACCCGATACTCTTACATGAAGTGATTTAATGGAGTTAAAGACATGCTTTAAAGTTCTCTTCCGCGAAACAAAGAAAAAGAGGGAAAACCCAGTCTCGGCCTAAGTTGTTAAAATTTTGTTAAGATTAAAGTAGACTATAATCACCGCGACCACACGATGAAAACTCACGTGTCATCTCAAAAACAATCCAAGAGTTTTCCATATCTGCTGATCGATCGTTACTGAGATTTAGATATGTCTTCCTTTCCTAACAGCACTGTGGCAATCGTACGTGAATCTCACCTGGTCAACGGCCTGCCAAGTAAATGATGTAAATAGTATAATTATCAAGGCTCAGGTATTTGATATTGATATTTTTAGCCGTTCGTCTTTAAAGGACTAACTCAAGAATTTTAGGCAAGTTACTTAGTTCTAGCTAGCGGCCGTCATTGTTCTAACACCTAAACCTTGAACTGATTTGAGAGCCCGTCATACTTTCCCAGTTTCTTTCATGTTCCGCGTCTCAGGTTGACAATATAAAATGTTGTGAATTCTAGCAACTCCCATGAAGACATTGTTTTAAAAGACTACACAACATAAAATCGCATTATTTTATTGATGGCTTGGTTATGACAACGTTATCCAATTTTCATATCAAAGTCCATTTTCTAGTGACGGCTGTTACTGACGAAACAAATTGAGGAATGTAATACACAGTTCACTGCCTTCAACGCGAAGACGATGTTTGTTGCTCATAATTACTTACACTTATAAAACTTAAGAATTCTGTTCACACGCCGTGTATATTAGTGCTCTGACCATTTAACCACCAACGAGAGAATTTGTAATGAATGTATCAGTTCTTGCTGATCTGACTTTCTTTCTTACGCAGGTGAAGCGATTTTTTTCATAACCTTACCGAGGAAGACACTCACAGTGCAGTTATAGCAACTGCTAACGCGTACACTTAAAAGGGAAACATAGTAAAATCAGCTTCATGGTAAATGATCGATCAACTCTACAGTTATACTCTTTACATCCCAAGAGACACAACTCACTCTGACTAAGATCAGTAACAATTTCCAGGGACTCGCTTTTTTTGGCTTGGCGTGTCAGCTTTCGCCGCTTTATACGCGTTTTAGTTAAACCAGTTCAAAGCTTTTAACCCGCCATGCTGTGACGTCACGCTATTGTCAAAGTACGGTCAAATATACAAAATTACAGCTGCTGAAACGTCGAGGTATTTAACGTTATTCTTCTGATTTAACAATCGTTTCGCACGTGTGCTCTATCTAGCTGGCGATCTTTTTACCTTCATAAGTTGTATTTGAGACACTGGCATACTAGGTGCCTTTCTCAACCTCCGACTGCTTGCCAATGTCAAATTTCGTGAACATACAGTTAAAGCTTAAACAAACTATACTGAACTTTTCATTTTGTTTTTTTGGCGATTTTGACTGTATCAATTAGTCATTTTAAAAATATCTTTATTATGAAAAGTAATCTTAGTCATGGACATATATAATCTCAGCACATATTTAGACTGGACGTACTTGTTCCCTTCACAAAAATTCAACAGTAATTTTCCAAGTTAGTGGCTAGCGGAAGGTTTGCTGATCGGACTAATGCGTGTGTATCCGCACGGATGCCTAATGAAGGCAAAATTGTATAATAAGTGCATATCATCGCAAGGCGAGTAAAACATTTGATTTTTTAAGTTCATCGTTAGAACAAGAAACTTGAAGTTTGCCGAGTTTCGCACTCGGGACAGGTTCAAGGGGCTGTGTTCTATACCTACACCTTGAATTTGAGATCCAGTGTACTTTTCTGTATTTTTTTTTTTTCAACCTCTGCTTGCCGATATTAATTGCTGTGAACAGTTGAAGCTACCATGAGAAAGAAACCGTTTAAAAAGTTGAAAAGGTCCTTCAGTTTACAGGCGAGGACTGTCACTAAAGAAAGAAGTCGAAACAGACACTACTTACCCTGTCTCAGAAATCGGTCACAATTGCCTTGGACTCGCCCTGTTATTTGTCACTGGCTTGTTTGCTTTCGACGTGTTATACGCGTTTGTTTGCTCTCAACACGGAAGTTGACAAACAAGGTAACCATGGCCAGTTATGCATGCAAGACATATACGATCAAATATTAAACAATTAATGGATGAGGCTTTTTGTGATATCCGGAATAATCAAGGTCGGGGTAAGTAAGGGTATCAGTCGAGCCGAAGGCCACTGTTAATAACACTTACCGAGAAGAATATAAGGAAAAACACAGAATCGCATGCAACACAGTTTGACATTGCTCTTCGGGAAATCATGCATTGTGTGCACAACCTTCAAATAAGTCACCAATCTGCTAGCCCATAACTGTCGGCTAATCTGTAGGTTGCGCTGATTTCCAAAATTAACTGTAGACTCGGCCATAAGCTAAATGAGTTCGAGTCACGACTTTACCACTCGTTTCGCCAACTATTGCGCATGCGCATGACCAGTCTGACAAAACCGAATGTTGCAAAATAGTTTCTTTTGTATCCTTCTAATTCAGCGATGGGTCTTCAGTGTATAGTTTGTAAACTATAATTCAATTGTATCAAAATGTTTATTGTATTGCAAGTTTTTCTATCTAAATTTTTACAATTTTTTTTTTTAAATTTTACCTTTATTACAAAAAATTCATCGGGTCCAGCCCCATACCATAACATTGTAGCCTAAGCTAAGCTGTCATAAGTTTTTTATTGCAATCTGAAACGTAAAGATGCGTGTCATGAACCACACAGGAGGACGCACAGCGTAGATGAGATGGCCAAGTGAGTTACAGTTTTCCGCTTAAGACAACATGCTATATTGAGCGACAGCGAGATTGTGGCTTTTTGCCAACGAATCAAAATTATTGCTAGTATCATTATTATTATCGTGGTGAAGTTTTCATAGAAAGTCCAGCTCTCATCCACCAAAAAACAATGAGGTGTTTACCACATCATTTATGAATCTAAGGCTAATTTTTTTGGTATCAAATTAACTTCTGGTCGACGAGGACCACGCATGGGATAAAAGGATATGAAAATGTGGAAAATGACTGAGTGGTTCATATCTACAAGCTTCAGTGAGTTTCACATTTGCGCGAAACAAAGTCATGTACGTAGGATTGCCTGGCACTGACAAACGCGCCCGCTCTATGCAAGCATGCAGTGGTTATTGAATTTAAGGCGTTCTTTTATAAGCTAACGAATTAAAATCCGTATCAAGAAAACGGAAGTACGAAATTTGAAATCAATGATAACTATTTTTACTGGGGTTGAAATGGCTGTTTTTGGTCAGTCTTTGTTGAAATGCCGAAAAAAAATGGCATTCAGACAACTGCAAAGTTTCGAGGATTGCATTTGCAGCAAGTTTCGGCGAAATGCAGATTGAGCAATATACCAAGGCTGGAGGTTGAGAATTACTTCTAGCACGTTGCAAAGCTGACTTTGGGGGGAATGGTTAGGATAAAAAATGTTTTCGATTGGTCAGTCAGAGATATACGATTTTCCCTAGTTAGTACATATGGCTAAATACTAGTTGTCATAAAGTTAAAAAAAAAAAATAAAAACATGGAAAGATCTATTCGTTTGTATTTTACGGCAGACTCTGGCAACAAGCTTTTACCGTCAAACCCATACAACATGTACATGCACAACATGTACAACATGTACAACATTTCACGATTCCAAGTACGACGCCAAACAAGATATAATACGAATTAGTAACCCAGAATGCAAATAGATACAGCGTTTTGTTGCAGAAATATGGGCTGCTGGGGTCAGTGTAGTTAGGCTCGTAGATACTATAAATCCACACATTTCCTGCAATGAACCAAGCAAACTGGAAGAGTTGGATGAGACCGCTGAGCGGATTCAGGGTCTGCTTGTCATCTCCACTTTGGTATATCAATGCGCTTGAGCAGCAAGTATTGAAGAGTCCAGCCGATGCAGCCACTATTAAGTAAATTGGGATCATGTCTTCCACAGGGCACTCATCTTTGTATTTTGCACCTAAAAGGAAAGAACACGATCGTTTGGCCAATTTCAAAGGGATTTTGTTCCTGTATTATCAAAGTATGAACTTCAATGTAAGAACATTTCTTTTCATCTTTCATTCGGATACAAAATGTTTAACTTTCCCTAAGACGAGACACATACTGAGGCGCTTGGAAAAGAAACAAAAAAGGTAACGGTTGCGTGGCATTTTTCTTCCTTTCTTCCCTTGATGCACTTGAACTCAACACGAATTCGTTCAAATGACACCTTGTTCATCCTAATTCATATAAAATCTAACTAAACTGCTGCTGTAACTAAACTCAGTGTTGGAATATGGTCGTCTGGTCCCAGTTTAAACGGGAACAGTGTTCAAACTATGGATAGCGCTATCCGCGGATAAATCTCTATCATGCTCCAGCGGAGAAGTGTTGGGAAAACCAATTGCGCTGTCCACGGGATAGAAATTTATCCCGTGAATAACATTATCCACCTTTCTAACAAGTGGGACCTGAAAGAAAGGTGTGCGGTAATCATCACAGGAGTTTATCTGTTAGATTGTGGGCGATGACAATAGCAAACAATGATAACGGACTATTCTTTCCCCGGGGGGATTCCGCATATGAAAGGGGTGGGGTTGCTCGTCGAAAATTTTAAGTTAAACTCCTAAGGGAGACCGATCTGGGCGTGGCCCAAGCTTTTTTTGACCCCTAAAAGAGACCATGTTAAAACACCGACATATATATTTTATATTTTTTGGCGTGCAACCCTAAACGAGACCCTCACGGCCAAAGATGATGGCGTTTTGCCCACAACACCCTAAGTGAGACCAAAATCCGAAATTTATACCCCTAAACGAGACGATGAGCATCCCCACCACTTTCATACGTGGAGTTCCCCTCCCGGTATTCTTTACACGTAGTTGGAAATGGATGAACTTACCCATAACTATCATGGCTATCTGAAGCGGAAATGTGGCCAGACAGAAAAGTAAATAAGCAGTCACCACTATAAAAAGAAAAGAACCATGCATTTCTTTAACATGAAACTAAAAGGCTCGGGCAGTAGGATTCTATGGAACTTTGTTGGAAATTACCATGCCCGTTACACTTGAAGAGATTTCTGGGCCAAATCATGAAAATTAGAACATCCAATGTATTAAAACTTACGTGACATCAAAAAACCCCAAGGTGCTTTAGCAAAGTCCATCTCTGACTATTAGTTTATTTAGATATAGTCTTTTCTTGAATATTCTTCGACAATTGTATCCGGAACTGGTCAGGTCTATCAAGTAAATGATGTAAGTGAATTTTAAAAGTAATATTTAACAACATAAGAAGCTTTAAAAAGTTTTTTTTAAAACAGATTGATCAATAGAGACGTTAACACTTCGTTATACTTGTGGTTTGTTTCTTAATATCTACATTCTTATTAGAAGCTGCCATTAGACAACTTGCTTCCTAACAGGAATTATTTTCCCAAACTACGAGGGCTCTTATTGGTCACTTTGAGCTCACATTACATCTAACAAGATAGCTGTTTCCCGCCAAATGTTTCCGCGCGGACAAAATTACAAAGTCTCTCAGGTTAGAGAGTAAAAGTGCAATGTTTAATGCGAATATTGATCGCTTGGTATTAAGATTTTCTTTCATAAAATGGTACACGTCACTTTAAGACTGGTTCCTTGGGAAACTAGATAGTTATTTTTCCTTCTGCTCTGCCTCGGGAAACATCGAGGTCCTCGGTGAAACAAAATTAGTTATTTCCTCTGTGCCAGTCAATAGGTGTTTAAAAACATTTTGCTGGTTATACGAAAAAAAAAACATAATAAAAGCTAGCAACATACTAAATGACCTTTTATGAATGCAATACATCACTTCACACTACTTACCCTGCCCGATCAGCAAATGTTTCCCGTTGTCTTTGGCTTGTCACCTCTATTTGCTATACTGTATTTTTGTTTTTAAGTAGCGCAGTATTTTTATTTTAAGTAACTATAGTTAAGGTAGAAAGAATATATAAATATACCTGAAAGTGAAAACCTGAAAGAAAATGAACCTCGTGTCTTTCGTTTTTACTGCGGATGAGGTCATGTTGTATTCACGGGTGCAATGCAGACGTCATGTGTGTCTAAAGAGGCGCGGTGACTCAGCTGATTTGGCATCGCAGAGCTCGAGAATATGGCAGACGGCTTCACACGTAATGCGGGCATGAACTGATAAAAATACCATACAACGAATGATAACTTCTCAGTAATGAACAATTTTATCTCAGTGCTAGAATCTACCTTCCTTCATATCCTGAATGAGGCAAATGTTTTGAAGACAGCCACGGATGGGCATGTTTTGAACTTGGAAATACATTAAATGATTAACAAATTAGCCACCCCCTCGCGATCTCACGTAATTCTTCATTGGGATCATACTCGTAATCAGCACCATCCAATAATTCCAGAGTAAGGAAAAAGGGATGTAAGAGGTGTTCTTCGACCCTCAATCGAGAGCATGCTTTCTAGGCCCTGAATTGTATTAACAAGACGGCCATATTTCATCTCATTCATCAATTAATAAACGAAATATTTTCTTCAACATCACTCGTTTCAGTTCTAGCTGTGTTTTTACTTCGAAGCATAACCTGCCAGTTTACATAACCCACGCCACCAAAGATCTATCTATACCATTCATGACCAATGTGTCTCGTAAGCTTTAAATTAATTTTAGTCAAAATATCGACTTGAACACAATATGCGGCTATCACAAAAAGTTTAATATGACCGCATAAAACATTTTAAAAATATATTTTTAGGAACATTGATAATTGTGAAGGTATCCTCTAGTTATATTAAGTAATATGCTTAAAATATCGCTTAGTTTTTATATTTTTTTCCCAAAAAAATTCTGATCTTGGAACGACATTGTCCATTGCAGTTTCGAGTCATAACGAAAGTTGTGGGCAAATTAAATAAATGAACTCAGGAAAAAAGCTGTACCGTCATTCCAATAGATAGAGGATATTGCATGAATTTTATTTTCGAGTCAGTGAAAAGAATATTTTATGAACGAGAGCAGAGAGTGAGTAAAAGATTGTTTTTAACCACGAGAGAATAAAATTCATATCTTTAAACCACAGTGTAATTTTCTTTTTATTACATAGACAAGGGTGTTTACCATTTTATTTCTCACTCTGAGCACAAACTTTATCGCGAACTAGGTGCTGTAGGTCGGCGGCAGGAATTTCTCTCCTTTCGTTTCCACTTGTAAGGAACTTCTTGAATAGTTTTAAGTCATACAAAGTTTTCCTCTTCGTATTATCATTCTCCTGCCGCTTTAAGATTTTATGTCAACTTCAGATAACATCACGAATTCATCGCTCACCATTTGTCTCATGGCGTGTGGCAAAGTGTATACAAATAACAGTTTGAGCGGGAAATGACGTCATTGATACTGGTGAGGGTATGGAAAATATGCCGCTCAAGCCCCGTATGTAGTTTCGTATGAACTTTATGGGTGTTTTATTTTCCACTAAAACACTCTTGTCTATATGATAAAAAAAATAATACTAATAATTCGGTTACCCAAGAAAACACGAAAGCCTTTTTTTCGTATATTTCAGATTGAAAATATTTAAAACCGTAATACCATGAGGAAATAACGTCTCAGAGCCTGAGTAGAGGGCGTCCAGAAAGTGGGGGGATACTGAGGGGCAAGAGGAAATGCTAGGGGGGAGGGAAAGGAACACCTGCGTATGCCGCAAAGTCATCCTTAGGTCCTGTTGTAAGCTCAGCTACTGAGTGTCTAAACGGCTATTGGTTAGAATTTTTTTATTGTGTCGATCACAGACTTCTTCATAGTAAACAAAATGGTAAAAATGCAATTTCTAAAAATATCCGTTTGTTCCCCGCTTTCTCTCATGCTCGCTCTTCATGATCTTATATGGTCATAAAATTCTCGTGGGTAGAGTTTTTTTAAAGCAAACTGATGTCACCCAATAATTTGTCTAATTTCTCTACAATGGTCACGAAATAATTTTATTTTCAAATATTATAGCTTATTGATATTATAGCTTATTAATATGTAATAAAAATGTATCAATAACATGGAAACCAACTGTTAAGAACAAATAAATGTTAACAATACAAATCGATATTTCAAGGTGACTGTTCGTAGACGTAAACTTCCAAATTTGGTCAAGATTAGTGCTTTTTCAAAAATTGGTCGCGGGGAAATTTAATGTTCAAGGAAACAAAAAGAATTTTGAAAGATTGACAATAAAAAATATGTTCATGGGAATTTAGGAAAAATTATTTAAGTCAGTAAGAAACAACGTGATGATGTGAATGGACGATAACTCAAAGTAATGCACCATGGCCTGATGGCAATCTACATTTGACCCAACATCCGTTAGGTTTTGTTCTTTCAACTTGACGGTTATAAATGATAGTTAATAATGCAATTTTGATGTGATTATTGATGGTCTCAGCTAAGTCTTTACTTGCAGTCGGGGAAAATCTAGTAACACACACAATACTGTTGGCGGGCTATTAGTCAACAGTCTGGTAACTACTCCATGCCAATATACTTCGGTTCCTATGACAACCTGGACTGGACTAATTAACAAAGAGTCGTGCATGCCTCCTTTACAGGTCTTTACAGTGGCAACTTTATGTAAGTATATTTGTTCCCAGTACACTAAACATTTGCGACCTCCTTTCTCATCCTATATTGAGCCCCAGTTAGTACTTAACTTATGATGGGGCATATCCAGTAGTGTATGACGCACTTCATGTACCCTGAACCAAGAACAAAGAGTGTCGCTTGTCCTTTACAATGACAGCTGTATACCGGTATATTTGTTCCTGGCTCAAACACTGCGTCCTCCATAATGTACTCTGCTCCTTTTACTGTTGAACATGTTGCGGCCATAATTTTCCATCCCTGCAAGAAAGGAAACGAATGAATAAGCAATACTCTTAATTAACAAGCAAAGACATCCAAGTAGCCTTCGCCCGCCGCCAAAAAACGCCTGCACTGCAGGCCATGATGATAGTTGTCGACCCATTTCGCAATGTAGCACATAATTTTATATCCTTAACCTAAGGATATGGTTTTAGGGTTTAATTGTTTGTTATTTTCGTTTAGAAATCGATCACCCCTCGCAGATTGTTGTCTACTTGAACTGCCTGTGTAGGTAGAATAGTCTGACTTATTTTTTGGTGAACCTACTTTGGAATTTGAAACTCCTGATGGTTCTCTTTCGAACAAGTTCCGGAAGCTTTACGAGCATCGCTCCATCACTGTGCAAAATGCAACCGGGGAATATTGCGGACCAGTACTAAAGCAATTCGAAAGATAATGCAACACGATAAAATTAAAACTCGCCTGATAAACCGAAGTTATATATCTCTTCAGAAGAACTTGTAAACACAATTCCTCCAAAATGTTTCCTTACGTCATTACCAATCAGATACTTGGGTTTTAAGATACACATACCGGATGTTCATCTTCCCGGAGGCGGACGACAGCATCTGCTGCCATTCCAGGTGTTTGCGCTGCTTCTCTCTTGTTCTTGTACTGGCATAGAGTTAAATTGCCAGCACCAGGCCTTCCAGGTGGGCCTTGAGAGCCGTTTATACCCGTGGACCCTGTTGCTCCTTGAAGTCCTTGTTGTCCTTGTGGTCCAGGAAGGCCCATCGGTCCTTGCGTTCCATTGAAACCCCTAGGTCCCGGAGGTCCTGCTGGCCCCGGTGGTCCCAAAGGTCCGGGCTCACCTTTCAATCCGTCGTTGTCTGAGCGCTTGGATGGATCTGTACCATTACTAATTCCAAACTTTAATTAAAGTAAGATAGGAGTTAATTACCATTGTCAAAAAACAAACAAAGAAACAACATGAAAATTCTTGTTGTATTTTTGTTGATGGAACACGCTTTTCGGTTGCTTTTCGCCCTGGAATATTTCCGAGATGAATTCTGGTCTTTCTAAAATAGCCTAAAACGACCTTTTAGTAGTGGATAATTCGTCTGGATACACGGGTGAGCCCTCTGTTTGCTCGTTTTCATACACAGTACGAATGACCAGACTAACTAAAAAGCCGATAGAAAAGAAGAACATGTTTAGCATCTAAGTACTAAACACGTTTGGGGAGTTGCATTAGTAAACACTGACTGGAAAAATGGCGCTGAGATGCAGTTTATAGCGTTTTGTCTTTTAAAATAGACCTGCTCGATATTTTTACATTTTACTTGTGACGTTACCTTAGCTATTGTATTGTTTTGCCTCTTGAGTTCATGTCTGACATCGTCGAGTTGACGACGAGTACTATTAAGCGTGTCTTTCAGTTCTCTAATCTCGCGTGCGTATCTGCTAAATCCAGCATCTGATGGACCTTACATGAAGAGAAAGTCATTTTGAATTAATATTATTTTCCAGAAAGATTTTTATTTCTCACCGACGCATTAATCTTGTACAGCACCCTTTAACTATGATCCTTCTAACCATTTATTGTTAACTAAATAGTGTATGAATCCTACTAAGAAGAGACTGCAGGCAAGAGCTCAAATTGCGTTTTTATCCCAAGGGGCCACGACCTCGACCTTAGGCATTTGTTCAAGGCTAGCCTGCAATTGAGCCAAGCGAGGCGCACGCGGTATTTCGCGCGAAGCGTGACACGCTCGAGACGAGGGGAGGAGAAAAAATAAAGCGGCATAAAGCGACTGTTATGCGGGCTAGTTCAAGGCTTACCACAGGCCCGGTGACGTACCACTTTCTGCGTCTCTAGTTTGCTACTTGCACGTTTGTAGAAAAACAGACTGTGCATTCTTATTGTGGTGGTTTGGCTTTTTGAAAACGTGAATGAAATCTCCAAGCGATTGAGAAACATGTTTTTCTCTAGTGTTACGACAGGTTTCATCTTTTGACCTTGCCGAGAGTTAAAATCAGCCCCTTGCGCGTGATGCTTCACTTTCATTTTCCTGGCGGAACTCTTTGCTTACTTGAAGGTGCGCTTTGTTAGGGACGGACTATTAGAAAACTTATGGGGGGAGGGGGGCGGGCGGGAGAATTACAAAAAAATATATTCGCGTAAGGGAAAATTAAATGAAGCAAGACGCTACGGAGCGTACACTACGGCGTCGTGGTTGTGGAACTAATTAATTGTAAATGCGGAGGATTAGTAAGAAATCAAATATGGTAAAAGTAAGGTGTTAATTTGTGAAATTATGGGATTTGCCAAAAACTAGGATTTCGGGACAAATTGTCTCCGAGATATTAGCCCAGTTATGCTCTGATGACTCCATACAAATCCTTCTAAAAAAAACAATTCTCTATTTTTCTTAGTCACATCAGGCAGCATAGCAGTCTCATGTACTGATTAAAGATATGTAAGGCATGGGTAAGGAGTCAATTACGTTGAGCATGGAATTAGCTGAAACTCAAAGTCACGAGTTCGAATGTTTTGAGGATAATTATTCACTGACTATCAGCACGCAGGGATGTCGGATTAACCCAAGGAAGTTTAACACCAAAGGAACATAGCCTTTACAGAGCTTCAAAACACAGCATCCGCCAACACAAACTTGACTTGAACTTTGAGTAAAACTAAACAGCCTCTACCAATAATAACAAACTCTCACTTGAACTTCAGATATCTTACGGCTTCCGCGAACTTGTAAACACAGAACCTGAAAATCGACCTTCGTCACACTTGACTAAACACATCAGTCCAGCTCGTGGGAAAAAACTTAGTTCGTCAAAAGAACTCGCTTGGAACTTGTATACCGTTTGACACAAAGGTTCTAGAAAATACCAAACAGGCGAATAGTAGTAGCTTTTCGACATATTTTATGATTTCAGTAACTGATGCAAATCTGCTGAGTCATGCTGAAATGTAAACATGCCCTAATTAATTATTCATGAATAATCCAAAAACGTAGAGAACGTTCGAGAAAGTCACGCAACGCATGAAAGCAATTTTACTACGTAACACTCAACAAAGACAAAATGTCTTTGTGCAGCATTTTGTAACTTTAAATTCATCATAAAACAGTTCGAAAGGAGGGCTCACTCGTGAAATGTTTTTCAACACTCGAAGAGAAATTTCGTGTCTCTGCGCGGCCACGAAATATCCTCTATTTATTCCTCGAGTAATTAAAGACTAAACTCGAAGTGATCTCGAGATATCACGAAGTAGTCCAGTCTCATTTCGGGAAATAGTTGAAACAACCCGAAAAGTCACGAACTTGCACGCCCAATCTTGTCCCGAAACTAGTGCATAACTATTTTTCATATCCCAAACAACCTTGGGTCGCAGTAGCGCAATCGGCTAATCCCTCAGCTTAGAGTCTCCTCTGATCTGACAGGTCACGCAGGTGAGTCGGTTCAAACCCTGGGGAAGCCAAAATAATAATTCTTTCTTCCTCGAAAAAGTTAAAGAATAAATCAAAGAAATCGAAGTGATCTCTAGATATCTCGAACTAATTCGTCTCGCACTTCGTCAAATAGCCGAATAGAACCGAAAACCTACAGACTTTGCTTGCCCAATCTTGTCAAAAAATTGTAACTTTGATACATTCCTGAGCGTCGCGAATCCTTTACTTCGAGCTCCGCCGAAGTAAAAAAGAATTCATGCACGCCAATTAACCCTAAAAAATATTCATGCTATGACCTTAAAAATTTAATACAAGGAATTTGATAACGAAAAAAAATTCCGGCGACTCGAAAATTAGCCACCCTCCCCCACAACTTTTCTAATGGCCCGTTCCTTATTTTTATTAGTCTGATATAGCAACAGAACGGAAACGTCAGTTGACGACGGCGAGCGCAAATCAAACAACTGGCTTGTCCAATGGCAAAGCGGCAAATTGGGCACCGGAAGTCGTGTTTAGTCCTTTCCGCGAACTTTCCCGTCGCAACCGGACGTTCCCGTCCTGTTGCTAAATCAGCCTATCAAAAAGAAAGGCCCACCACATTCAAACTTTGAAAAGAAAAGTATTAGAGCGATGGAATCAGGGCGGCCCTGAGGGTAACGTGTGGTTTCCTATTCAGTAAGAGACCTGTACCGATCTTTTTTGAGAAGCCACATTGGTCAAATTCTGTTCGAGAAATTTGAAATTTAGGAGTGAAAGAGGAAAATCTCGACGTCAGATGGCATACGGCAAAGAAGCAAAGTGGTATTTGCACTAAATAAGACCGAAGATGGCAAGGTTTTATTCGAGGCGGTCAAGCGATTGTATGTAGAGAAATGGTTGCGACTTCAAGGCTCGATCAGACCATAAAGACACAAGACAGAAGGTAAAAGCAATGTAGACTCAATGTAAAGCGATTCGATTTTGTTTTATTGACAAATACCGTACAGAGAAAAAAACTTATGAACGGTGATTTTTGCTCAAATACGCTGTGGCTATATGGCCGGTAACCTGTCAAGGTTTTCCTCAAAACACTAAATGACCGGCAGTCCGGTATTTTCAATAAATTTGACTTGTCTAAGAATCCCTTTTCCTCTCTCCTCTTCCTCGTGTTTTGCTTTAATTTTCTACTGCTATTTATAGCAGTTTGAAATTTCACACAAAATTTCATATCATTTGATAAGTACTGACTCCAGCGAATATTTTATCGTTCCAGTTGCATTTCCTCTCCACCTGTTTTGAAACCGTTTTAACACGAACAGAAATGTAGACACGGTGGAGGCTTAATCCGATAAGAGACTGGGTACAGTCAAATTAAACCTGTACACGGGGGCCGCTTAATACAGGTATCGTAAAATTCAACATCAGGCTTAGTGGGGATGGCATTTTACTTGATACTTGATTATCTTTTATATTTTTAAAGTAAAAACACAAACAGATGAGCTGGTTATGGTTTAGAAGTGCCTTATGAATATCATTTTGAAGGGGACAATTTTTCGTGCAATAGGTCATTTGCAATATGGCGTCATTTTACTACTACGACCATAGTACTTTTCGCTTTTTCTTTCATATTCAAATTTGGAAATCCCAGCGAGTTTTAAATAACAAAAGCCTTAATTTGCACAAGAAAGCAAAACTCTGAAGGATTCTGGTCGTAGTAGTAAAATAACGTCATCGTGCAAATGGCCTATTGTTAAAAGAGAAGCTAGTTAAAGATCAATTTAATATTAATGTTGACACTACAGTTAAAAATAACCGAACGTCACTGTTCAGACAGTTGATTTCGAGACATTTGTGGAAACAAGTTACACTTGTGATTTTAACTTTGCTGTACTTGACTCCCAGAATTTAGTTTTTGTAAACAAATTGACCGTTTAATACAGGTGAAAACAATAACATCAGCACTTTGGGACCTTAGAAAGGGTAACCGCGTCCGCTTAATAGAGGTGACCGTTTAATGGTAGACTGTTCACAGTCCCCTATTTTTTCGTGAGCTCGTTTAGATATACCGCGTCTTACCGTCACAGGTATCTTGATTTTCAAATGCACCGAGGGCGCGGGCGTTGGGGATTATAGCTCTGGGGGAAGGGGCGTGAAAAATACCAACTCCAGTACTTCTAACCATCCATTTTTCAGCTGCAATGAAAACCCTTGTATTTGGTAATTTATTCACGCTATTAAGACTTCCGATCACGTTCGCACGGGCAATTTGATGTTGGTGATAATGAGAAGAATAAGACGATTGTCATATTTGTCTTCATCTTTATTCCCAAGTGGTAATTTCCGTGCGAATGTGCTGGCAAGTCTTAAAAGCTTGAATCAATTACCAAATACAAGGGTCTTCACTGCAGCTGAAAAATGGATGGTTAGAACATAGTTATTAGAGGAGATTGGTTATGAAAAGCGGTAAACATCAATGATAAGAACAACAGTGCTGCAGTTTATGTTGGAAGTACCGTGAAAGTGCACAATCCTTTGTTTTCTGTTGGCAAATTGTTACGGAATAAATTAATGCAACGTTTTTATTGGTCAATACAATCAAAATGATAGGAATTCTTTTGAACGTTGTGCACTTTCAGGTCCACAAAAACATATAACAAAGGAGTCTGACGGGTTTCATAACCATTCCACTCAATTAACTATGGTTAGAAGTACTGGAGTTGGTGGCGTTATTCCTCTTCAAAGCAGGAACCTGCGATGCTAAAAACTCTCGACCGTTTTTCGTAGACGCTATATTTTGCTTTGTTAAGATTTGATTTCAAAAGAGAGGGACAAATACAACTTAAGTTTGATGAATAGAAGTTCTTTAATATTACCGTGCACTCAGCATAAAGTTGTTCTTCTAAAAGTGCTAACTATGTTCGCCGTAGGTTTCTGGTTACTCTGTTTCTTGCAATAAAGCTTTAGGTAGGAATGTCCTTTCAGATAGGAGATAGTCTGTCGGCACTCTACCTCTATTCGTGAGTCAACTTTCACAAATGTGTTAGCGTAGCATTTTAAGGTTAAATTTGACCAGCATTTTGTGCAGCGAGTTCTATGGTCACGATTGCCTTCAAACTTACAGATGTAAACCTAGAGAGCTCTGAGGCTTATTTGCTCAAGTTAACGAAACATCTGTCGTGGGATTTCGAAGTTATTTGCATTTTTAGTAAAAATGCGGTTTTAAATATATGCCGATATCTCAAAGGTTTTTATATCTACAAGAAAACAAATAACATTTTCTTAAAGTTCCATCATTATTAATTTGGTATGCCAGAAATCATAGAGATCGGTTGAATCTTTAATTCTAAAAAACGCAAATCAAAAACATAACCAAAACGCATATAAATAGGTTCGGGCCACCTTTAAGTTAATATTGCTAAAGCGACGTTGGAAATTTCCGTGTTCATTTTGAGTGCGTTTGCACATTTTTCAGAATTTATTCTGGATTATTGCTTAATGGCACTGCGTGAAAAAAAAAAAAAAAAAGACAAATTGCAAAACATTTTGCCGAAAACGACAGGAAACCTGCACGATCTACATTAAAAAAGGAAGATATTACCGAACCAGTCCTGTGCATGGTAACATTTTGAATTTTCATTGTAGATAATACCACTTTTTAAGCACTACATAAAATGTGGAAAAAAACACTGTTAAAAAGGCTATTTTTAACCAGGAATTGGCTATTTTACAATATCACATTTGGCTTTAGAACTGACGTGTTTATAAATATTAAAAAAATAAATAAAATAATAAAGAAATAAAAAGGATAGACGTATTTTAAGAGTTTAGATCGATGGTACTCTGTACTACCCTACTGACCTGGAGATAAGGAGGGCTGACTCGGGCATGTCTCAGGCTTCGATGTCTTCACTATGAAGCCCACGCTCACTGCTGCAGTCAAAAGAATTATCACAAGAAGCAAAGTCATCAGATACATCATACGACGAAACTTGAAGTTCATTTGCTGTTGCATTGTCTGCGTTATGACATTTAGTGAGTCAAGGACTGCATCCGATCCTTCAGGTCTCCATGACGCTTGCTCTGCTCCTTGGATAATGACGCTGTTGCTATTTGCTGTAACTTCACTATGGACAGCCCCACCAACATCTCGCACGGGTCTTTCTTTCGAGGCGTTTTCGTTATCGTTTTTTCCTGTGGTCGTTCTCATTAATACTGGTTTTGGGTTTTCGCTTGCACTTCCTTCAGAACCTGCATTCACGTGCACGCCATCTACGTTGATCAGCTCGAAATGTTCCTCTTGCGTTTCGCCCGGACGTTGCATTCTGTTCAAGTTTGTCTTTGATAAATTTGAATGTGTAGGTGTACCCTGCGAACAGAGTCTCCTTCGATCTTCCTCGATAAGTCAAGAAGAGGAAGGAACCTCTGTTGACATCCTCGACAATTCATATTGAGCATGCTCAAATTTTTCTGCGACGTCAATCAAACCGTTACTGTGGCATCCACTGCGTTTGTCAGCATATGTAAATGTTAGCGGGAACGAACCAGTTCGTTTTCATCCTTCCGTACCTGTGTTTCCTCTGGATATGGAAGCTCTATAGGAACAATTTCATCTTTGGAATCTAAACTTGCCACGTTTCAGTGTAAAGAAGTTAAAAAAAAAACTTAGAACTAAGGTAAAACTTACGGTGCTTTTCAAAAAACAAGCAACGAACCTTGAAACATAGAAACACACAAAAGGGATCGAAATCCACCAGTAACAAATCACAAACCACGGCCTTTTGTTTCTTAAGAGATTCGATAAAATGTAAAGGCGAGAAAGCGAATCTTCAGGTTGTGATTGACGTCGCGTTTTTGGCATCTCAGGTAGGGTATCATCCAAAAAACAGCTGTAAAAGCATCGATCATTTAAATGCAACAATATATATTGTTTCGTAATTATTCAAAACCCATTTGTTTATCCTTCCAAGAACTTAACACACTTACTGGATTGGGGATCCCACGCAAGTAAAATCGGCTGAGCACATAGTTAAATCCAAAACAAAATGGATCCCCCATCTGGTTGCATTTTCCAATTTTTCTAAAACCGAATGTTCAAACTATAATTTTCTGAAAATTCCTGCATGAAATTGAAGCGGCGGCTATTTGTTATGTTATGGAGCGTGGACGCAGAAAGAGTCAGCAAAACTCCAGATAAACCACAACCCTTGCTAGGCATCCTTAACTGGCATGAGTAGCGAAGCGATTTACAGGGTTCATATGGGAATAGTAAAATTGGAAAAAAAATCGCCTGATCTTAGCTTCTAGTATTGTAAAGAAACGAAATAAAGTACCCTTACTTGTGCTGTATTTTTTGTCCTTGTGTATTTCTGAGGTGATTTGGACTCGCTGGTTTTGCGATACTATCTTAACCTTCATTAAAAGGACCGAACGCTCGTTCTTTGTGGTCCTATATGGTCATAGACTGGGGTTCTCGTGGGTAGAATTTGACGTAAAGCAACATGATGTCACCCAATGATTTAAGCAAAATAAAACAGTCTAATTTCTCTGCATCACGAAGCAATTTTATTTCAAATATTATAGCTTATTTATATATAACATAATGATAATGTATCAATAACATGGAAACCAGCTGTTAACAACAAATAAAAATGTTAACGAAACAAATCGATATCAGTTTCAAGGTGACTGTTCGTAGCTGTAAAACTTCCAAATTTGGTCAAGATAAGTGCTTTGTAAAAAATTGGTCGGGTTATGTTAAAGGAAACACAAAGAATTTTGAATGATTGACAATAAAAAATAAGGTCATGAGAATTTATGAAAAATTATTTATAAGCCAATCGAAAACAACGTGATAATGTGAATGGATTATTAAACTCAAAGTAACGGCACCGTGGCCTGAAGACAATCTATATTTCTTTGACCCGTTAGGTGCTGCTTTTTCAACCTGACGGAAAGTTATAAATGATTGCTAATTATGCAATTTTGATGTAATTATTTATGGTCTCAGCTAAGTCTTTGCTTGTAGTCGGGGAAAATCTAGTAACGCACACAATACTGTTGGCTCCCCACTAGTCAACAGTCTGGCAACTGAATGCAAGTATACTGCGGTTCCTATGACAACCAGGACTGGACTAATTAACAAAGAGTCGTGCATGCCTCCTTTACAGTGGGTGCATGCCTCCTTTAACTTACAGGTCTTTATAGTGGCAACTTTATGTAAGTATATTTGTTCCCAGTAACATTTGCGACCTCCTTTTTCATCCTATAGCCCCAGTTAGTACTTAACTTATAATGGGGCATATCCAGTAGTGTATGACGCACTTCATATACCCTGGACCAAGAACAAAGAGTGTCGCTTGTCCTTTACAATGACAGCTGTATACCGGTATATTTGTTCCTGGATCAAACACTGCGTCCCTCATAATGTACTCTGCTCCTTTTACTGTTGAACATGTTGCGGCCATAATTTTCCATCCCTGCAAGAAAGGAAACGAATGAATAAGCAATACTCTTAATCAACAAGCAAACACATCCAAGTAGCCTTCGCCCGCCGCCAAAAAACGCCTGCACTGCAGGCCATGATGATAGTTGACGACCCATTTCGCAATGTAGCACGTAATTTTATATCCTTAACCTAACGATATGGTTTTAGGGTTTAATTGTTTGTTATTATCGTTTAGAAATCGATCACCCCTCGCAGATTGTTGTCTACTTGAACTGCCTGTGTAGGTAGAATAGTCTGACTTATTTTTTGGTGAACCTACCGTTGGAATTTGAAACTCCCATGGTTCTCTATCGAACAAGTTCCGGAAGCTTTACGAGCATCGCTCCATCACTGTGCATATTAAGGCAACCGGGGAATATTACGGACCAGTACTAAAGTAATTCAAGAGATAATACAGCACGATAAAATTAAAACCCGCCTGATAAACCGAAGTCATATATCTCTTCAGAAGAACTTATAAACACAATTCCTCCAAAATGTTCCCTTACGTCATTACCAATCAGATACTTAGGCATCTGCTGAGATTCCAGCTGTTTGGGCTGCTTCCTTCTTATTTTTGTACTGGCATAGAGTTAAATTGCCAGCACCAGGCCTTCCAGGTGGGCCTTGAGAGCCGTTTATACCCGTGGACCCTGTTGCTCCTTGAAGTCCTTGTTGTCCTTGTGGTCCAGGAGGGCCCATCGGTCCTTGCGTTCCATTGAAACCCCTAGGTCCCGGAGGTCCTGCTGGCCCCGGTGGTCCCGGAGGTCCGGGCTCACCTTTCAATCCGTCGTTGTCTGAGCGCTTGGATGACTCTGTGCCATTACTAATTCCAAACTTTAATTAAAGTAAGATAAGAGTTAATTACGATTGTCAAAAAACAAACAACGAAACAAAATGAAAATTGTTGTTGTATTTTTTTGATGGATCACGCTTTTCCGTTGCTTTTCGCGCTGGAATATTCCCGAGATGAATTCCGGTCTTTCTAAAATAGGCTAAAACAACCTTTTAGAAGTGGATAATTCGTCTGGATACACGGGTGAGCCCTCTGTTTGCTCGTTTTCGTACACAGTAGAAAAGAAAATAAGTTTGTTTCGAACATGTTTAAGATCTAAGGTGCTAAACACGCTTGGGGAGTTGAATCAGTAAACACTGACTGGAAAAATGGCGCTGAGATGCAGTTTATAGCTTTTTGTCTTTTAAAATAGACCTGCTCGATATTTTTACATTTTACTTGTGACGTTACCTTAGCTATTGTACTGTTTTGCCTCTTGAGTTCACTTCTGACATCGTCAAGTTGACGACGAGTACTATTAAGCGCGTCTTTTAGTTCTCTAATCTCGCGTGGGTATCTGCTAAATCCAGCATCTGATGGACCTTACATGAAGAGAAAGTCATTTTGAATTAAGATTATTTTCCAGAAAGATTTTTATTTCTCACCGACACATTAATCTTGTACAGCACCCTTTAACTATAATCCTTCTAACCATTTATTATTAACTAAATAGTGTATGAAATCTACTAAGAAGCCGAGACTACAGGCATGCAAGAGCTCAAATTGCACTTTTATCCTAAGGGACCACACGACCTCGAACTTAGGCATTTGTTCAAGGCTAGCCTGCATAATAAGCGCTTTAATTGAGCCAAGCGAGGTGAACGCGGCATTTCGCTCAAAGCACGACACGCTCGAGACGAGAGGAGGAGAAAAAAATAAAGCGGCGCTTTAATTTTTCCTCCCCTCGTCTCGCGTGTGTCGCGCTTCGCGCGAAATGCCGCGTTCGCCTTGCTTGGTTCGTTATGCAGCCTCTTTTAAGGCTTACCACAAGCCCGGTGACGTACCACTTTCTTTGTCTCTAGTTCGCTACTTGCACGTTTGTAGAAAAACAGACCGTGCATGCTGTGTGTGGTGGTTTGGCTTTTTGAAAAGGTGAATGAAATCTCCAAGCGATTAAAACATGTTTTTCTCTCGTGTTTCGACATGTTTCATCTTTTGACCTTGCCGAGAGTTAATCACCCCCCTTGAGCGTGATGCTTCTTTTTCATTTTCTTTTCCTGGCGGAACTCTTTGCTTACGCTGCAAATACTGGCACAAGCACATGCGCGTAAAATTTTAGCCTTCGAAGTAATTATTTGCAAATGAAATTTTACACAAAGTAAAAATTTCAAGGTTAATCTGTAAAAGTAATTGAAATATTTCCTTTGGTTCTCTTTCGTTTCTGAATCCATCAATTAAAAACAAACAATTACGTGAAATAAAGTATGCTCGGTGAATTATCACACGTTCCGCAGTCCGAACTCTAACTGACCAATCTCTTAACGAACACAGAAAAACCTGTGTTGTTACTTAGGTTCCTTCAGGTGTGAGAAACCTTGACGTTGATTTTCTTTGTCAAAATTCGTTAACCGTCCTGCCTTTCTGCTACTATACTCAGTAGCAGATCCAGATCTTCAGATATAGGGGGTTCATCCAGACCCTGGGATAAGGGAAGTGGGGTCTCCAAAATTTTTTTTCAGCCCTTCGGGCCTCATTTCGGTCTAAAAATAAGGGGGGGAGGGGCCCTCGCCTGGATCCGCCACTGCTACTTTAGCTATTTTAATCCCTCCCGTTTGTTTATTTGAACAGGCTATTTTTTGAAGACCTTGCTATTTTGTTGGTCAGAGAAACAGTTGGGTATAGCCCAATTACGATAGATTAGAATTCCTACTTGTCTCCCAGGCGTGGGGGAATAAATCGAAAGAGATCACCAAGAGGTTCAGGGATGAATAATACATTTCCTTTGCAATTTATATCCCAGGCCTTAGGGCTTAAGTACGAATTTTTATATATCGCAAACGGTCTATTATTAATGCTCTTTACCATTTGTAACTAAAATTTTGACCAACTTCAACTGTGACTGTTAGAGGAAAGACGTATTTCAAGAGTTTAGATCGATGGTACGCTGTACTACCCTACTGACCTGGAGATAAGGAGGGCTGACTCGGGCATCTCTCAGGTTTCGATGTCTTCACTATGAAGCCCACGCTCAATGCTGCAGTCAAAAGAATTATCACAAGAAACAAAGTCATCAGATACATCATACGACGAAACAAGTCCATTTGCTGTTGCATTGCCTGCGTTATGACATTTAGTGAGTCAAGCACTGTATCCGATCCTTCAGTGCTTCCTCTGCTCCTTGGGTAATGAGGCTGTTGCTATTTGCTGTAACTTCACTATAGACAGCCCCACCAACATCTTGTACGGGTCCTTCTTTCGAGGCGTTTTCGTTATCGTTTTTTCCTGTGGTCGTTCTCATTAATACTGGTTTTGGGTTTTCGCTTGCACTTCCTTCAGAACCTGCATTCATGTACACATGAGCTCCATCTACGATGGTCATCAGCTCGAAAGAATGTTCCTCTTGCGTTTCCCCCGGACGTTGCATTCTGTTCAAGTTTGTCTTTGTTAAATTTGAATGTGTAGGTTTGGACGCTTGCGTTGACTCAGGGCAACAATACTTGATACGTTTTTTAAGCTCTAAAGTTTTTAAATACTTTCAGCTGGTACTTACAAAATGATACGCTACTTATCTTCACCTTTTGACCTATAAAATTTAAACAATATATTGGTACTGCACACCGTTGCAAACTGAATTAGGTGCATGAAATAAAACTATATACATAGGAAGGGCAAAAGAGGTTTCCAGTCAGACGTATCTGTTGGCTGGTTTTAAAGCAACGTAAGCGACGCCCGACTAGTGTGTTTGTGTAAGAATTTATCGGTATATAATCTCAAGTAAAACCTTTCATGTGACTTGATTTTTTTTTCACCTGCAACGGCAAGTCACCGAAAATAAGCCATCTGGCCCCAGTTGTTCAAAAGGTGGATAACTCTATACACTTGATAAATTTCTTAATCTGATAACGCAATCGGCCTCCTATTTCAGTCTTTGTCAGTGGAGTTTGGATTTTGGATTCCAGTCTTTAGTGGCATTCCAGGTTCCTTGAGCTGTACTAAATACTCCAGACAATGTGTTATCTAGATACCTCAAACTCCGACATTCTCAAGATAATCCTCTCAGTCAACCCCTGACGAATTTGTTGCGTAACGAAGCGATTTATAGGGTTCATACGGGATTAGTAAAATTCGAAAAAACCTTCTAGTATTGTAAAGAAACGAAATAAAGTACCCTTATTTGTGCTGTATTTTGTGTCCTTGTGTATTTCTGAGGTGATTTGGACTCGTTAGTTTTGCGATACTATCTTAACCTTCATTAAAAGGACCGAACGCTCGTTTTTTCTGGTCCTATATGGTCATAGAATGGGGTTCTCGTGGGTAGAAGTTGACGTAAAGCAACATGATGTCACCCAATGATTTAAGCAAAATAAAAAAGTCTAATTTCTCTACATCACGAAGCAATTTTATTTCAAATATTATAGCTTATTTATATATAACATAATGATAATGTATCAATAACATGGAAACCAACTGTTAAGAACAAATAAAAATGTTAACGAAGCAAATGGATATCATTTTCAAGGTGACTGTTCGTAGATGTAAAACTTCCAAATTTGGTCAAGATTAGTGCTTTTTGAAAAATTGGTCAGGTTATGTTAAAGGAAACACAAAGATTTTTGAATGACTGACAATAAAAAATAAGGTCATGAGAATTTATGAAAAATTATTTATAAGCCAATCGAAAACAACGTGATAATGTGAATGGATTATTAAACTCAAAGTAATGCACCGTGGCCTGATGAGTCACAATCTATGTTTCTTTGACCCGTTAGGTGCTGCTTTTTCAACCTGACGGAAAGTTATAAATGATTCCTCATTATTCAATTTTGATATGATTATTTATGGTCTAAGCTAAGTCTTTGCTAGTAGTCGGGGAAAATCTAGTAACGCACACAATACTGTTGGCTGGCCACTAGTCAACAGTCTGGCAACTGAATGCAAGTATACTGCGGTTCCTATGACAACCAGGACTGGACTAATTAACAAAGAGTCGTGCATGCCTCCTTTACAGGTCTTTACAGTGGCAACTTTATGTAAGTATATTTATTCCCAGTAACATTTGCTACCTCCTTTCTCATCCTATAACCCCAGTTAGTACTTAACTTATAATGGGGCATATCCAGTAGTGTATGACGCACTTCATATACCCTGGACCAAGAACAAAGAGTGTCGCTTGTCCTTTACAATGACAGCTGTATACCGGTATATTTGTTCCTGGATCAAACACTGCGTCCCTCATAATGTACTCTGCTCCTTTTACTGTTGAACATGTTGCGGCCATAATTTTCCATCCCTGCAAGAAAGGAAACGAATGAATAAGCAATACTCTTAATTAACAAGCACACACATCCAAGTAGCCTTCGCCCGCCGCCAAAAAACGCCTGCACTGCAGGGCATGATGATAGTTGTCGACCCATTTTGCAATGTAGCACATAATTTTATATCCTTAACCTAACGATATGGTTTTAGGGTTTAATTGTTTGTTATTTTCGTTTAGAAATCGATCACCCCTCGCAGATTGTTGTCTACTTGAACTGCCTGTGTAGGTAGAATAGTCTGACTTATTTTTTGGTGAACCTACCGTTGGAATTTGAAACTCCCATGGTTATCTTTCGAACAAGTTCCGGAAGCTTTACGAGCATCGCTCCATCACCGTGCAAAATGCAACCGGGGGAATATTGCGGACCAGTACTAAAGCAATTCGAGAGATAATACAGCACGATAAAATTAAAACCCGCCTGATAAACCGAAGTTATATATCTCTTCAGAAGAACTTATAAACACAATTCCTCCAAAATGTTTCCATACGTCATTACCAATCAGATACTTGGGTTTTTTTAAGATACACATACCGGATGTTCATCTTCCCGGAGCACGACGACAGCATCTGCTGAGATTCCAGCTGTTTGTGCTGTTTCCTTCTTATTTTTGTACTGGCATAGAGTTAAATTGCCAGCACCAGGCCTTCCAGGTGGGCCTTGAGAGCCGTTTATACCCGTGGACCCTGTTGCTCCTTGAAGTCCTTGTTGTCCTTGTGGTCCAGGAGGGCCCATCGGTCCTTGCGTTCCATTGAAACCCCTAGGTCCCGGAGGTCCTGCTGGCCCCGGTGGTCCCGGAGGTCCAGGCTCACCTTTCAATCCGTCGTTGTCTGAGCGCTTGGATGACTCTGTGCCATTACTAATTCCAAACTTTAATTAAAGTAAGATAAGAGTTAATTACCATTGTCAAAAAACAAAAAAAGAAACAAAATGAAAATTGTTGTTGTATTTTTGTTGATGGAACACGCTTTTCAGTTGGTTTTCGCTCTGGAATATTTCCGAGATGAATTCCGGTCTTTCTAAAATAGCCTAAAACAACCTTTTAGAAGTGGATAATTCGTCTGGATACACGGGTGAGCCCTCTGTTTGCTCGTTTTCATACACAGTAGAAAAGAAAATAAGTTTGTTTCGAACATGTTTAAGATCTAAGGTGCTAAACACGCTTGGGGAGTTGAATCAGTAAACACTGACTGGAAAAATGGCGCTGAGATGCAGTTTATAGCTTTTTGTCTTTTAAAATAGACCTGCTCGATATTTTTACATTTTACTTGTGACGTTACCTTAGCTATTGTACTGTTTTGCCTCTTGAGTTCACTTCTGACATCGTCAAGTTGACGACGAGTACTATTAAGCGCGTCTTTTAGTTCTCTAATCTCGCGTGCGTATCTGCTAAATCCAGCATCTGATGGACCTTACATGAAGAGAAAGTCATTTTGAATTAAGATCATTTTCCAGAAAGATTTTTATTTCTCACCGACACATTAATCTTGTACAGCACCCTTTAACTATAATCCTTCTAACCATTTATTATTAATTAAATAGTGTATGAAATCTACTAAGAAGCCGAGACTACAGGCATGCAAGAGCTCAAATTGCACTTTTATCCTAAGGGACCACACGACCTCGAACTTAGGCATTTGTTCAAGGCTAGCCTGCATAATAAGCGCTTTAATTGAGCCAAGCGAGGTGAACGCGGCATTTCGCTCAAAGCACGACACGCTCGAGACGAGAGGAGGAGAAAAAAATAAAGCGGCGCTTTAATTTTTCCTCCCCTCGTCTCGCGTGTGTGTCGCGCTTCGCGCGAAATGCCGCGTTCGTCCTTGCTTGGCTCGTTATGCAGCCTCTTTTAAGGCTTACCACAAGCCCGGTGACGTACCACTTTCTTTGTCTCTAGTTCGCTACTTGCACGTTTGTAGAAAAACAGACCGTGCATGCTGTGTGTGGTGGTTTGGCTTTTTGAAAAGGTGAATGAAATCTCCAAGCGATTAAAACATGTTTTTCTCTCGTGTTTCGACATGTTTCATCTTTTGACCTTGCCGAGAGTTAATCACCCCCTTGGGCGTGATGCTTCTTTTTCATTTTCTTTTCCTGGCGGAACTCTTTGCTTACGCTGCAAATACTGGCACAAGCACATGCGCGTAAAATTTTAGCCTTCGAAGTAATTATTTGCAAATGAAATTTTACACCAAGTAAAAGTTTCACGGTTAATCTGTAAAAGTAATTGAAATATTTCCTTTGGTTCTCTTTCGTTTCTGAATCCATCAATTAAAAACAAACAATTACGTGAAATAAAGTATGCTCGGTGAATTATCACACGTTCCGCAGTCCGAACTCTAACTGACCAATCTCTTAACGAACACAGAAAAACCTGTGTTGTTACTTAGGTTCCTTCAGGTGTGAGAAACCTTGACGTTGATTTTCTTTGTCAAAATTCGTTAACCGTCCTGCCTTTCTGCTACTATACTCAGTAGCAGATCCAGATCTTCAGATATAGGGGGTTCATCCAGACCCTGGGATAAGGGAAGTGGGGTCTCCAAAATTTTTTTTCAGCCCTTCGGGCCTCATTTCGGTCGAAAAATAAGGGGGGGGGGGGCCCTCGCCTGGATCCGCCACTGCTACTTTAGCTATTTTAATCCCTCCCTTTCGTTTATTTGAACAGGCTATTTTTTGAAGACCTTGCAATTTTGTTGGTCAGAGAAACAGTTGGGTATAGCCCAATTACGATAGATTAGAATTCCTACTTGTCTCCCAGGCGTGGGGGAATAAATCGAAAGAGATCACCAAGAGGTTCAGGGATGAATAATACATTTCCTTTGCAATTTATATCCCAGGCCTTAGGGCTTAAGTACGAATTTTTATATATCGCAAACGGTCTATTATTAATGCTCTTTACCATTCGTAACTAAAACTTTGATCAACTTCAACTGTGACTATTAGAGGAAAGACGTATTTCAAGAGTTTAGATCGATGGTACGCTGTACTACCCTACTGGCCTGGAGATAAGGAGGGCTGACTCGGGCATCTCTCAGGTTTCGATGTCTTCACTATGAAGCCCACGCTCAATGCTGCAGTCAAAAGAATTATCACAAGAAACAAAGTCATCAGATACATCATACGACGAAACAAGTTCATTTGCTGTTGCATTGCCTGCGTTATGACATTTAGTGAGTCAAGCACTGTATCCGATCCTTCAAGTGCTTCCTCTGCTCCTTGGGTAATGACGCTGTTGCTATTTGCTGTAACTTCACTATAGACAGCCCCACCAACATCTTGTACGGGTCCTTCTTTCGAGGCGTTTTCGTTATCGTTTTTTCCTGTGGTCGTTCTCATTAATACTGGTTTTGGGTTTTCGCTTGCACTTCCTTCAGAACCTGCATTCGTGTACACATGAGCTCCATCTACGTTGGTCATCAGCTCGAAAGAATGTTCCTCTTGCGTTTCGCCCGGACGTTGCATTCTGTTCAAGTTTGTCTTTGATAAATTTGAATGTGTAGGTTTGGACGCTTGCGTTGACTCAGGGCAACAATACTTGATACGTTTTTTAAGCTCTAAAGTTTTTAAATACTTTCAGCTGGTACTTACAAAATGATACGCTACTTATCTTCACCTTTTGACCTATAAAATTTAAACAATATATTGGTACTGCACACCGTTGCAAACTGAATTAGGTGCATGAAATAAAACTATATACATAGGAAGGGCAAAAGAGGTTTCCAGTCAGACGTATCTGTTGGCTGGTTTTAAAGCAACGTAAGCGACGCCCGACTAGTGTGTTTGTGTAAGAATTTATCGGTATATAATCTCAAGTAAAACCTTTCATGTGACTTGATTTTTTTTTCACCTGCAACGGCAAGTCACCGAAAATAAGCCATCTGGCCCCAGTTGTTCAAAAGGTGGATAACTCTATACACTTGATAAATTTCTTAATCTGATAACGCAATCGGCCTCCTATTTCAGTCTTTGTCAGTGGAGTTTGGATTTTGGATTCCAGTCTTTAGTGGCATTCCAGGTTCCTTGAGCTGTACTAAATACTCCAGACAATGTGTTATCTAGATACCTCAAACTCCGACATTCTCAAGATAATCCTCTCAGTCAACCCCTGACGAATTTGTTGCGTAACGAAGCGATTTATAGGGTTCATACGGGATTAGTAAAATTCGAAAAAACCTTCTAGTATTGTAAAGAAACGAAATAAAGTACCCTTATTTGTGCTGTATTTTGTGTCCTTGTGTATTTCTGAGGTGATTTGGACTCGTTAGTTTTGCGATACTATCTTAACCTTCATTAAAAGGACCGAACGCTCGTTTTTTCTGGTCCTATATGGTCATAGAATGGGGTTCTCGTGGGTAGAAGTTGACGTAAAGCAACATGATGTCACCCAATGATTTAAGCAAAATAAAAAAGTCTAATTTCTCTACATCACGAAACAATTTTATTTCAAATATTATAGCTTATTTATATATAACATAATGATAATGTATCAATAACATGGAAACCAACTGTTAAGAACAAATAAAAATGTGTTTATGAAAAATTATTTATAAGCCAATCGAAAACAACGTGATAATGTGAGTGGATAATGCACCGTGGCCTGAAGACAATCTATATTTCTTTGACCCGTTAAGTGCTGCTTTTTCAACCTGACGGAAAGTTATAAATGATTGCTAATTGTGCAATTTTGATTTAATTATTTATGGTCTCACGGAAAATCTAGTAACCCACACAATACTGTTGGCTGGCCACTAGTCCACAGTCTGGCAACTGAATGCAAGTACGGCTGCGGCTCCCAGGACAACCAGGACTGGACTAATTAACAAAGAGTCGTGCATGCCTCCTTCACAGGTCTTTACAGTGGCAACTTTATGTAAGTATATTTGTTCCCAGTACACTAAACATTTGCGACCTCCTTTCTCATCCTATAGCCCCAGTTAGTACTTAACTTATAATGGGGCATATCCAGTAGTGTATGACGCACTTCATAAACCCTCGACCAAGAACAAAGAGTCTCGCTTTTCCTTTACAATGACAGCTGTATACCGGTATATTTGTTCCTGGCACAAACACTGCGTCCCTCATAATGTACTCTGCTCCTCTTATTGTTGAACATGTTGCGGCCATAATTTTCCATCCCTGCAAGAAAGGAAACGAATGAATAAGCAATACTCTTAATTAACAAGCAAACACATCCAAGTAGCCTTCGCCCGCCGCCAAAATACGCCTGCACTGTAGGCCATGATGATAGTTGTCGACCCATTTCGCAATGTAGCACATAATTTTATATCCTTAACCTAACGATATGGTTTTAGGGTTTAATTGTTTGTTATTTTCGTTTAGAAATCGATCACCCCTCGCAGATTGTTGTCTACTTGAACTGCCTGTGTAGGTAGAATAGTCTGACTTATTTTTTGGTGAACCTACGTTGGAATTTGAAACTCCCACGGTTCTCTTTCGAACAAGTTCCGGAAGCTTTACGAGCATCGCTCCATCACTGTGCAAAAGGCAACCGGGGAATATTGCGGACCAGTACTAAAGCAGTTCGAGAGATAATACAGCACGATAAAATTAAAACTCGCCTGATAAACCGAAGTTATATATCTCTTCAGACGAACTTATAAACACAATTCCTTGAAAATGTTTCCTTACGTCATTACCAATCAGATACTTGGGTTTTAAGATACACATACCGGATGGTCATCTTCCCGGAGGCTGACGACAGAATCTGCTGAGTTTCCAGCTGTTTGCGCTGCTTCTTTCTTGTTCTTGTACTGGCACAGGGACAAATTCCCAGCACCGGGCCTTCCAGGGGGGCCTGGAGAGCCTAATGCCCCTGATCCAACCCCTCCTGACAGAGTTGCATTGTAACCATGTGGTCCTCTTGGGCCCTCGGGGCCTGGGGGTCCTGGTGGTCCTTGAGAGCCATTAATACCCATGACCCCCGTTGCTCCCTGGAGTCCTTGTGGACCGGGAGGACCCATAAGTCCTTGTGTTCCATTAAAACCCCTGGGTCCGGGTGGTCCTGGAGGTCCGGGAGGTCCAGGTGGTCCTTGGCGACCCGGCGGACCCGGTGGTCCCCGCTCCCCATTCAATCCGTCCCTGCCCGGTGGCCCTCGATGACCTGTACCATTATTTACTCCAACCTTTAATGGAAACAACAGATCGTATTGCTTATAATATTTCAAGGAAAATTTCGAAAGCTTTTTGTTAACTGGTGCAACTACACCGTACCTTGAATAATGTTCCATTACCTTCACAGTTTCCTTCAAAAAACTGACACGGCTTCTTATTTCTGTCATGTTCTTCATTATCACCTTGATCTCTTCATTAGAAACATTCCTTACAGAATCTAAAAGAAAAAAAAGGCACGGTTTGATTATGTACATGTACCACGGCGGGGCTATTAAGCCTGTGCACGCGTAGCAAGTAAAAGCGAGATACAATAAAAAACCGTGGGTAAGAACCTGGTTTTTAAGAACATGTTAGTTTATAGGCCCACAAGAACCTGTTTAGCCTAACTTTTGAAACAGGTTCTTGTTTTCTAAAATCTATGAAAAAAAATTCTGTACTCATGGGCAAATAAGATAAGTCAGCATTCAAGATCCTCTTTGGAGAGATACTTTAGGTGCCTTATCACTCCAACAGCGCAATTCTTGGTAGATGCAGATTAAGCTAAATACCGCTAAATACTCGTAGTTAAAATAATGCATATTCTTCTTCAGAAAATAAGAACCCTATTAAGAACCTAAATAGCCTAAATTTGTGCTAATTAACATTTAAAGTAAGAACCTATTTAGGCTAACATGGGAAGATGCAGGTTCTTACTCGCGGGTTTTTACTGAGCGATGTTCGTGAGAAAGGAGGCCACCCAGGTCGACGAGAGAGGAAACCTGTCTCTTCGCATGCGTTCTCTACCGACTGACGGGAATCCTTTGTTCCTGAACCGTCTTCGCACGCTAACTACTTATTGAATTTATCAATTACTTGCACATTTAAAGTGGTTAACAAAATGATGGCATCATTGCACTGGAGAAATAAGTATTGATCATTCAATGAAAGTATTGCGCTAGATGCTCCAAATTCTATCGCCAAAGAGAGAAAAATTCTGCCATCTTAAACCTCTTTTCTGATCTTAAGAACCTTCATGGTGGAAAAGGAAAATTATATAATCTCTTTTCTGCCCTCAGCCTGCAAGAAACTCCATCTTCTAGTAACGGCCCAATCTGCGGTGCCAAAAATTAAAGACTTCCTTTCTCACTAAAAGTTACTAAGGAAGTTAAAACTGCAGTATGACGAAGTGTGTAAGAACATGTTTATATTTTGATTCTCATTTTCATAATTCCTCTTGACCTTAAAACTGTTAAGCATGTAGAATCTACCTTGTGGTAGCGTTTAAAGGGCCTATCAAACCCAGCAATCCTTTAAACAAACATTTACTTATACCAAAGGGAACGCATCATAGCACGAATATTCTCGGCTGAATCATTTTGCCCCTTTCAATTATAAAAACTAAGCAGCACTCTGTTAGTATAAGGCTATTAAACTAAAACTTGTTATTCATATTAAAACTACAAACAAGCTATTTTTGTCTACTCCGCAGTTTAGTTATTTCCTACATATCACAGTGACTTAACCATGTCAGTGCAGTGTCAACACTTCGCGGGAACAACACTGGTGTCGACGGGTATTAACTAAGCTCAATCCATCGCTATAATTACCGGGCTGAGTTCCAGAAGGGTCTGATAGGCTTTGAGATTCCTCTACTCAGCATTTTCTCTGACTGGTAAAATTTCTTGTCCAAAGCACTGGTTAGTTTGTTCTTTTATTGCAGAAACGGTAGACTTAGAGATTTCTTAGCCACGTCTCCGTTTCGCTCACGTAGCCATCGTAGTAATTATGCCGGCAGGTTGAGTAAGCACGGTACACACCAAGAGAGAATGATCTCATTCTCTCTTGTACACACTGATATATTTCGTCAATTCTTCTGTTGCATAGTAACAGACCGATAGAATGTATAGTGTTGGATTGTTGCAATTTTGATTTAACATAACATTTTCCTTATGGGCCGGGATCTGTCCTAGAAACTAGACCCTCGTACGCCGGCTAAGAACCACTTTTCTGTAAATTACAAGGCCAACTTCGAATTTCACGATATGATTTTTTCTAAATCTACTAAGCAGGATAAAGACTCTCAATAGCTTCCTCTTGATGCCCTTTTTTAATTAAAAGTCGTCAATTTGAATTCGTTTTGCTAAACACAAGTGTTGAACCGAAATTTGACCGACGTCAATGTAAACTTGACCGGCGTCCGCTTAAAATGTAAACTTACGCCCACGTGGATACCAAATTTTCTCAGCTTGCTTAACTAGTCCAAACATTTAAAGAACTGAAAATAGTTCGTGTCAGTATTGCAGTGACAGAACAAAAAAAGGATCATAAGTAATCAAAATCTTTTCAGCGTTAGTATTCGTTAACGTGTTGTAACTAATTGTTAACATGGTTAATATTGCTGACAATACAGTTATTCAGACAAGCCTGTACGGATCTGCTAAATAGTTACATAGCTTGATCTGACATAAAGAAACCTCACCGATTAAGGATAAAACTTGGAAAAACTAAATGCTTCCACCCTGTTGTTAGGGCGTCGACACAATCCCGCGCTCAATGATTCAGTTATATGAAATGTACCAAAGAAAAGTGTCAATCTCATCGGATTTTTCCAAATCTATTTCCATTGAAATAATTGGTCTTTGAAATAAAACACAGACTCTGGCCTAGCTTTGTTCTTCTTCTTTTTTTCTTTTCCCTTTTTTTAAGGTCAAGTTATTGTAACCGATTGCTAACTCTCTAAGTTCAAAGTACACTGGGGTATTTGTAAAACGAGTCTATCCTCTTTATCACAAAACACGTATCACTTTAGACAAGGGACAACTCAGTGAATCACAAGTAACCATTAAAAGTTTTAAAAAAGCTGCTTATTCTCTAAAAGACCATTAGTTCTGCATGGGATTTTACAAGAATCCATTGGACGCTCAGGCTATAAGCTTCATTATTTTTCCTTTCCCAGTTTAACGTGTCACAAAAGCTGGATTCCGTAGAACCGGCCGATTAGATATGATTAGACCACTTCAGGGCCCAAAGTACAATTCATCTTAACTGTTTCGTATTAAATTATGTTCTAAGGCTGCATTTCGTAGATTTGTGATTAAGACATGCTGTCTGATACAGGCCGTCAATGCACCTCTTTGTACAAGCAACCAGCCTGCGTAGTAAGCGTTTCCGTGTGGTTTCGGAGCACTGAGAAAGACCGAGGCGGGATTTTTGCTTCTCGTTCCTTGTTCTTTGCTCCTAAGCCTCACGCAAACGCTTGCTACGCAGGCTAGCAAGCAAACAAGAAAGCAAGCAACTTTATTGACCACGAACGAAATACATAATACTCCCTTTTGCACAATGAATACATAGTACTGCCTTAGAGTTTAATTTTAGAAAGAAAAGAAAAAGGCAGTAAAGATAAGAAGGAAGTGAAGAAAAAGAGGAAGGAAAAGATCTAGAAAAAAGGAACAAAAGAACACAAGCACGATTTGCCATGTTCGTTTTGTCTCAAGTTATATGGTGACGCACGCACTTTATAAATCGTCTTCGTTTGTCAGTTGTCAACGACTCTTTTATCGTCGTATTTCGTTAGCGAGGTACTATGGTTTCGGTAATTTTATTTTTCTCTTCGGTTGCTATTATTAGTTAATCAATAAATGCAATTTAAGGGGCAAGAACTGACATTTTGCCTCTTTAAAGCAAACTATCCCGTGAATAAACATGTTGACCACACACAAGTCAATCAAGCCAAGCGGTGTAAAAATATATCGTAACGTCCGTAATCAATGTTTAGTTTTAAACGATAAATCAGTTTTCTTACAAAGTGATGTAAAAGTGATAACTAACGTAGAGTTTTATACGCCGGACTAAGAACGCACTGCACGACTCAGTTCCTTCCATTTTCTTTTTATAAATGCTTCTCAGTGGGCGTAGATTTGCGTAAATCTCTATCAAAGTATATTTGCAAAGAAAACGGTTTTTTGGCAGTGATCATCAGATGACTTCCATTCGATCACACTTTAGAAATCCATGATTTAAATAATACCTGATAGAGATCGTTGACGTTACTCTATTGATCAACAGAATACCAAAATACAATATATAGATAGAACTTGCTGTTATTTTTAAATTTTACGCTGTTTCTTTCTTCTTTTTTTTTTTTAACCGATCTCATTCACATCGCCAAAGACGCAAGCCCCTTTACGTGCAAGTCCAAAAAAACTTTCAGTTAAGCCCTGAAGAAGGTGGACAGAAGGCACCCAAAATTTTTGAAGAAAAATCAGATCGTTTAAAAACATCTTTCCTTTAAAAATGTATTCTGTTGTTGAAGTGAGACCGGGGGGGACACTTTGAACTTTGGGCAGGGGTGTGAACAGAGTCCTCCAAACTCTGACTCATTTCGCCTGGTACCACACATGTAGACCGCGCACCGCTTACGTTAACACCGGGCTCCTGTTAAAACCCTTTTCAAGACTCCCGGTCCAGATAGCTAAGACACCCTAGTCAAGGCGTTAAAAGTGGAATTGTCCGTGGCACATACCCGTTTCGGTCAATAAGGGAGTGTCCCCCCTGTAAATGGGATGCATTACTGACGATCTAACACGATGATACATACTTACCTGAACCTTGATTCTTTTCGTGACAGGCGCAGTTATTCTTCAGCTCTTTCATCATAATGAGCACCAAACAAAAGCTTATGAGTGAGAAAATAAATGCAAGTGCTACCATAGCGCGTATAATACATGGCTCTTTCGGGTAACGACTGCGACGATGCAAAAGTTCATTTTGGGAATCTGTTATCGATCCCCGTTTAATTTCTGACAATTTCATTTCAGTCTTGTTTACTTCTAAGACGCTTTCTTCAACATTCATCCCCAGTGGGGTACCCACTTTTCTCATATCTGTTAAAGAGGGTACTTCATTCTCAATTCTTGAATTTGGATCTACTTTCTCGATCATCGTGGTGTCTAGAGGAGGATTTGGATGTACCTTTACTCTAGTTACTGATTTTCCCCGCTTTCCTTTTTTAAAACGATCAATCCATGGGTTCGTGTCTTTTTGTCCTTGCCTACTCTTCAAGCTTTGGCTGGACATGTCTGATGTCTTGTCGGCTTATATGATGCAGCAATTCTCTTCTTTTCGCTTTAAAAGTAATGGAAGAAACTCAAAGTCTCCCGAGTTCGGCGGAAAGAGACGATGATATATTTTCACTGGTGCTACCTCTATGTATGTTTAGATGATCCAATTTGTAGTTGTATCTGAGAAACTCCGCAGAGTGGGATTACTAGGTAAATTAAATACTTGAAGAAGATCACGAACTTGCTTTTGTGGGAGAAACTCAAACGTTCAGAAACCAAGTCCCAAAGAATAAGCAACAATATTAAGCTTCTCTCTCCCAGCCAAATTATTACGACCTGAAGTTTTCCAATACGTCGCGACGCTCCGTCTTTGTTGAGAGCAGTTTTGTTTTGTTCCGATTACTGTATGAACATGTCAAATCACAAAGCCAATGACAGATGGCATTGTTCTATATAATGATATTTTTAGGGTCATCAAACCCCAGGTCACGAGAGATCAGTTACTCTGCTTTGCAAGTTTTTCTTTAGCAGATTACGGTAACGCCTCAGAATACACAAAGTGACACTGGAAGTTTCAGTAACCGAGCAGAGGGGATTCTGTTTATCAAATATTTGTTGTTCTACTGGTAAGCACAAAATTCCGTAATGCAAATTTCTAGATGCTAATTCTCCCTTCTAAGCTGGCTAGACCCCTCAATTAAATTGTCTTATTTTAAGTTGTGTTTTTTGTAATCAATCGGTCTTAAAACACCAAGAACGCGAACTTTAAGCCAAGGTAAATCAGTTTATTTGGCCATTAATCAAGTAAGAATTTGTCCTGAAAATGTTGATGTAAACTCGATATACAAAATGCTTTTCATTACAAATATTTAACTGACATCAGTCAGGCAAATAAAATCACATGTGGTCGAAGATAGAACCGTCCTGCATGCTTTTTGGGTATGTCAGCATAGCGCTGAATCACTTACAACTGTATCATCGGAATTTAGTCTCCGTTGTTCCGACGACCGGGAGCCGTGAGACGTCCTGAGTAACATAGACCTGTGTCAAAGGACAATTCGGCAAAAAAGGCCAGAACATTTTTGTTGGGTTGTTGATGAAAATATAAAAATTTTGTGGCATTCAAAAGCAGTTCGAATACACTGTTGAATTCAGTTTTTCTATTAAAAAAAGAAAGAAAATAAGAGAAAGAAGACAACAGGTGGTCTTAAAAAAACTGGCAAATTCCACCAAATGCTTTGCATTGTAGTACAACTGTGACTGAATAAGTTTAGCAGGGGTTTAGGTCTCTTTTTTTTAAAACTGTAATGACACTTAATAAGTGGATTGCTTTGTCGGCTGCGTTGTTGAGTAATTTAATAAACCTTAACAAATGAGCTAACCCTTAAACCTTGGGTCTTTTAGTCCTTGCTTATATCTATATATAGAGGAAAAAACATTCAACGCTGCTCAAGTTTAAATCGAATAACCAACGTCATCACTAGTTTCGTTTGCTAAACGTAAGATATCTTTTACATCCCTGAAGAAACTTGATTAGCGAAAAGAACTGGTAAACAACATTTTATGTAATGATGGTTCTGGTATAATTACATATTGAATAATCCGTAAATGTGCCACTGGTGTTAAGATTAGTAAAACTCTCTATCTGATATGCATTGTTTATTTACTCTTATTACGTAAACATTAATTCACGGACACTCGGGTAAAAGTTGATTTTTGGAGAAAACAATTCCATTTTTTTTTTAACTCCGGAACATGAAGCTTTCAACATCAGAACTTCAGATTTTGCAATAGAATCGAGTCGGTAAGGTTATTTCCCATGTTTCATTTTCATAATTATATGTCAATCCTGAATCCAGCCTTAGTCTCCTTTTTGCCCAAATTTTACAAGATCAAAGGTCAACAAAATTTCCTTCGGATTCCTCGTTGAAGCTTTTTTTTCTTTTTTTACCATAAAACATCTTCTTATAAAACGAATTTCAATCACTCAACCCATCAGCTCACCGCAAAAAACCACCCGGAAATACTGCAAAATAACTCCCTTCAGCATTTTTGGTTTATATTCCTGACTGAGCCGGGTCCTGAATTTGACATTTAAAAACAAAGTTCGCTAAAGGCAAAAAATGCATGACACATTCTCCAATCATCGAGGATTTGAACCCCTAATACGACTAGACTGGAAACATGAAATCAACGATTCTTTTTTTATACTTGTAATCTCACAAACATGAAATATAATGCAATGACTCCTGGGTTCAGAAACCCTTCACAGATGAAATATAATGTTGTAAAGCCTGGTTTAATATTATCCGTGGTTTTCGCAAATTTATAGCCTATCGCAGAGTGCCTGGGGCTCTTTGTATGACTGAAATAACAATGAAAGTAGAAAGAAGAGACTTGCTTTGAGTTTTGTTTTGCAGTTTCGCAATCTCATGCTTGTATGATCTGCATAATATGGATGACGTCCAAAAACTTTAACGAAAACAAACAACAAAAGGACAATAGTATTTAACCTTGCTTGTCTTCTAACCCCGAAGTCGAGTCATGTTACTCTACTCGATCAGCATGACGATAACGCACTATGCGGTGGACGAATTTTTTTTGGCAGCCAGCCGCAATTGTAGTCTTGCAAACCGGAAGGGGTGGGAAGAAGGAAAGTGGGAGGGGAAGGAAGGGGGAAGGTAGAGGGTAGGGGTCAGGTATCCCCTCTCCGCTCCATGCTGCCTCTTTTAACTGAGTCAATCCAACATCACAATATTATCTCCGCCTTTGATTTACTTATCCATAGTTGCCGATCAGCCTTGCCCTCGATTTACAGTTTTATTCTATATTGCTGATCCTGATCTACACCAAAATCCGGCTTTTCTGATCTTCCCTGCTGATTGTCCAAGTGGTCCTTGTAAGACTTCACAGTTCGCTGCTACCTTAACGTCGCAAATTGCGCCACTCTGACGTCATTTTTATGGCCTTTACTCTCATCGACCTTAGCTCTTGACCAATCAGCGGTCAAAAAATCTCTCAGTTCTTGTTAAGGTAGTATATCCCGCGTAGCTCCGTGGTAGGCGTTTGAAACGGAAGAGATCTACGGAACGGCGCGCGAGAACACGAAGGGCGCGCGAAAAAGGGAGAAGCTTCAGAAGGGAAACTGTTTTCCTCCAGCTAGGGCAATAAATCTAAGTGAAAATGGAATACAGTAGAAACCCGCGATTAAGAACCTGTAAGGCTTAAATTTGCCATTTAGGCCCTCCCTACGTATACTACAAGAACCTCAAGCCTAAAGTTAGCGAAACAGGTTCTTATTGTCACTTCTAAAATCTATGAAAAAATTCTGGTGCACTTGGGCAAATCAGAGATCCTATTGTGAAAACGGCAAAAAACAGATGAAAGGTAGTCGAGTGACAAGAGAAAAATAAACAACGTTGTTTACTTGTTTAACACTATACGTTTAAGGACCTAAGCATACAGCTAAGAGCTTTACACTACGTACTTGCAAAGTCTTGCATTATAACAAACAATGAAAAAACGTCATTGGACTCACGTAGAACTGCATTAAAGTTGGATTATCAATAATCGGAAGTAATCGCAAGGGCCAGCCAAAAAAGGACTTGTTAAAGCAAGTTAATTTTTTAGCAGATTATTCAATTAACATTGGATTAGAGCTGAAGCACCGTCCGTCCCTTTTGATTTCACACCGCTCATCACTGTAAAGTTGCCGATTTTTAATTTGGTAAGTGATAGGTAATTAAAAAAAAGACCGTGGAGTAATCCTTCATTTTTAAGATATATAGAATGATTTATCCTTGTAAGTCACGTAGTTATTCAGTTCCGCTCTCACCGGATGGGCATATTAGTGTGAACAGTCCAGTATCAGAAGCACCTCTTAAGCGATGCGTCAAGAGGTCATCTGTAACACTTCTAACGCACGTTTATCCTTTGCGTTCGTGTTATGGGTGTGATAGTCTGAAAAACCTCATCCTGGACGAAAATTGCTCTCCAACAAACATGTGTGCTCTACCAATATACCCGATTAAATGCCCGGGCAAAAGATATTCATGTCGCCGTAGTTGTGAACAACCTACAGTTTACGCGCACGTTTCACAAAGCGTGTAATATTGTTGCAACCAATTTTTTTATTTTAATTAATTTTTGATTTCTTTGTTTCGAATTCATTAGCATACATCACTATAACCCAAAAGCGTGGAAGAATAAAATTAAGGGGTACGACGCTTGAAAGCGGCCATTTGTCAGAGTTAAAACTCACTACTCCGTTGCATTTCTGATTCGTTGAACTTGGCTTCATTTGGAGTCATTGTTAATCTATAGCTTCCACCCTTTCTTATTTAGGGACACATTCCTCTTAACCAGCATCGAATACAAAGTCGCAGCCTGGGCTATGACCATGAGCGATTTTTTTTCCAGTCCTTGACGTGGGTCTCTTTAGGAAATTACATTGTCCGCACGAGCTCTGGTAGCACCTAATATTCTTGCTAGAAATAAAGATCGTGTTTGGCTTTCTCATACTCTTACAGCTCTACCTAGTTCAACCTGTTATCCTGCTAGATCTGGATTGTTCGAACACCGATTAGCTTTAACCAGAGGTTAAATTTTAATCCCGGTTTCTTTTCCTTTAGTGTTCGAAAGAATTTTCTCGAATAATTTTCTCTATCGATCCTTTTAAGAGCATCCAATAGTCACATTGTAGACAAAAATAATTAAACTGAATTTGGTTTCTTCAGCTTTCATCTCTGAAGTCAAATGTCGCACTAAACTTGGGTTATCTTAACCCAGCTTTGAACAACCCGGCCTATAACTGTTTATCAGAGAAAAGAAAAAAAAAAGCAAAGTACCCGCCTGTATACAGGAACGTTTTTTAAAAAATTAAACAACTGGAAAAAGGACTCAAAATTCAGCAAAACACTTAATTCTTTGAATTCTTTTATGACCTGGATAAGACAGGCATATTTTAAATTTTAAATTCCTTTACGGATATTACAAGTGTCGCGTGATGGATATGATGTTAATATTTTCCCTTTTATATTAGAGATTATGCAATCACTTTTCAGTTCTAAATAGAATGCTGACATATTCTCTCGCTCTATCGAGTCTTTTGTTTCGCCCAACAAAGCAATGTCAATGGAACGCACTCAAATACAACGGCAAACAAGCGGGCATCCTGAAAAATGGCCAATCGAAACGTCATATTAGAGCCAGTTACGTAAATACAAAAGCTTTTGCCCTTCTGATTTACATACGGCTTAACGACTCATTTATTCGTGAAGTAGTCTTCGCAACATAGACATATATGTTACTGAGGTGAAAGATTTTTAAAGTTCTAAGACAAAACAGCAATTTGTTTTTTCACCCGCTGCTCTCGTTTGGTTTTTATAAATGGCGCAAAACGGTCGCCCTCAGAATCACGCCTATAGTCCCTACGCAGTGGACAGTCCAGTACTTCCACCGAGAGATTCCAGTTCTTTCAAACCGGGAGTTTATCAGAATAGTGCTTACTCAAACTTAGGATACACGCAAAGCCAAGAAGATGTCTCCAGACTGAGGCCCAGCTCTACAAAAGGAAACTATCTAAACCCTGCGTACGAAAATTCCGAACTTTCACATCAATATGAAGACCCTTCGCACTTGGTCGCAAGGAGTGCTGCAAGCACAGGACCTCGAAGGAAACGGAATGAATTGTACGAACCTACCGAAATTAACAAAGGCCAAGAAACAAACGATGATGTGGTTAGTGAAAGCGTCGGTGGGGACTCGTGGTTAAGTAGACTGATCTTGTTTTTAATTCTGATGGTTTCTTTGACCTCGCTTATTCTGGTCGCGTTGATAATCATCGGAAAAGTTGGACCAGTCTGTTCCTCTTGTAACGAAGAAGAAGGTGAGACGAGTTTCCTACTTTTACTAAAGTTCACTTACTTTCTTTCATGTTAATTTTTGAAGGCATTTCAATCGTGCATCTTCGCACAGAAAGACACCGCTGTTATAGTTTTAATTAATGTTTGTGCATTAGTCGGATAATTCTATATTGTATCAGTATGCGGCATGTCTCGCAATAAATCCGTTAAGAAATAATTGCATTATATTTGCGATATATCAAAAAACAAAATTGTGATTTATATTCACTTATTTCGGCTACTTCAGTCAAAAGTATCCAGACCAGAGGTAAAAGTGCTTATCTGTTAGTTTTCCAAGTCAGCTGCCGAGTGCCGACAAACAGAAACAACAACAACCACAGGTGCTTTCCCTAATAGGAAAATATTTTCACTCTTTGGAGATTATAACACTTTTTAAGTGCGTTTCACAGAAATATTTAGTAATTGTATTCGGCACTGATGAAAACATCGGAAACTTTCGAAATTTTTTTGTTTCTTTTAAAACTGCACCATACGTGTCCAAACTCATTCTCTCTGTCTTTGTGAGCTTAACTGAGGCTGTTTGTTCCGATTCCTGTTATTATTTGCCGATTACTTGTTTACTTGTGGCATAACTTATTAGCTAGGTAATAGGCAACTCATCAGAATCTATAATCTCAGCTGATAACGCGGCAATAGTTCGCTCCGTTATAGCTAAAAATACTTCTTTTTCTGGATCAAAGTAATCTTTGGTAAGAATAATTTTCCGTTTTACCCCATACATTTATTATGCATACATTATTGTTTCGACTATTTGAGAGAAAAAGTATGAAATTGAGGCATGCATATAAATGTATGTGGTTATATGGAAATCTTACCTTTTTTCTAATAACTCATTCAGCTCTCTTCCAATACATGCATGTAGCTTCCAAAATGGTGGTTTTATGACACCTGGAACCGGTCACTTATTTTAATTTTCGGGCAGATAAAGCAAAAGATTCCTTTTACTAAAAATGGAAGGATCCTAGTAAGTGTAGAAATCGCCTTTATCCCATTTTAAGCTTACGATAAACAAAAATTTCTGTCTGATTGGGAGTAATTAATTGACTAGGGCGGGTATGAATTTTGGCTTTCAGTTTCTAACTATTTAAGGAAAGTTTGCAGTTTCTAGAAGTCTGTCATTCATCTTTTTTTCCGCAACAGCGTCAATTGATCTTTAATTAATTCATTTGGAACTGATTGTAAAATGCGGTTTTCTCATCTTATGGATAGCTAAGAGTGTGCCACCCTACACGTATCATTTTCTTGATTGTGTTTAAATAGTTTTTTTCTTGATCGGTGAATTTCCAGGGCCAGTTGGCTTGCAACAGCCTAAGGACTTTCCTGGTCCACATGTATATTATGACCAAGAGAGGATATTTAAGCTTTATTCTCTCTAGCTATAACTCAAATTTTTTTGAAAGACATAAAAACTTGAAAAAATACTCGGAAAAATAATTCCCAGTTGAACGAGATTGATTTTTGAAAAAGTATGCCTTATAAAAATGCTGAAAATAGCAGTTTTTCTTAAGTGGGTGTCACCAGATCACAAGAGAGGCTCGCGACTTCGGCGGTCTCGTCTGAGTGCCGAAAGTTTGTCTACGGACCTGGCAGTCATCAACTCATCAGAATATTTGAGGTTAAATTTTTGTTTTACTAGTTTATTATTACATTTAGGGCTTTTGTTTGGTTATAAACTTTCACCAGGTTACATCGTTATGATAAACGGAATCCTTCCATAACAATCAGGTATAGCATTAAAAGACATGAAAATTGCTACATTCATACACAGCTACCCTTCACACTGTATAACCGCGAATACGTCATTCTAGACGTTGGGTTTTATGTCGTATGCAGAATGCGCAAATGATAATGGAACCTTCTAAATTTGCTTCGAAGATATATTTGAGGGTTAGCCAGTTAGGTCACTATATGTACCAGTTTTGTCGCATTCAGTAAGCAGGGGCACCCAACGAGGATATAGTTCAAATCAAATCAACATAGCATTGTTGAACATAATTTAGTATTTAAACGGTAGATATAGGCATATTTTTATCCCCTAAAAACTTTTCATCTGTTCGGATTTCCTAGCTGAAAGTCTAGTGATCCGAAAATTATAGGGATCAAAACTTACCTTTTCGAAAATTTCAGCCAGGAAAAGGCTCCCGAAAATTCTAGGTGGCCTTTTTTAGGGTAAATATCCGTTTAAAATGGGTAATTATACCATTTTGTAGATGTTCGAAAATCCTAGGAGAGGCAGGCAAGCAAGAAATTTTACAACAAATGTTCCGAAAATTCTAGTTCTCAAATCGTCTTCCGAACAGAAATTTTCCCGAAAATTGCCGTTGGGTGCCCCTGAGTAAGTACAGTCTTTCAGTCATTCATAACTGTTCATGATTGTTTTTAGAGTCTCAACTTAACCGCTCACTATTTATATTAATTATCTGCGTCCATCATAACAAACTTTCTCGAAAGAATAAATTAAGTACAAGACAAACAAACAAAAAAGACGGAACGATACTGCCTTATTTTAACTATTTTATGTCCATCGCCAGCGACTTCGGGATAGTTCATCTTTGAATATTCATGTAGAAGCTAAGTCCATACTCACACACAAGCAGAAGCTAAACTCTTTATTGCGGTGACTAGAGAGAAAGTGTAAACTGGGTTTCAAACAAAGACTTTCTTAGAGGAATCAGTACTATATACTATTTATATCTTAACATTATCCGATGTATGTTAGAGGCCGAATGCATGTTGCTAAACAGTGTCTCAAGTAGAGAAAAAGGATGAGAAATCCGAGGTCTTGAGAATGACACGAGAGCCACAAGAACGCCTGCTTAAGGCGGATTAGGAACGTAGCCCAACAAAAGGGAAAAATTGTTTTTGACAAGTCTCACTGGTATTTCTTTAGTGCAAAAGCGGCAACAAACAAGAAGTAACTACAACTCTAGCGGCACGTGCACTCTTTAGTTCTGTGAAATGTACTCGCTCTCCGTGTACAATCTGTCGAGCATGGATGATGACGTATTACTCACAATTGTGTTGTGTACACGTAGAGCCCCCGCCAGCCTCTCTCGTGGGAAAACGGTGATTAGATCAAGCCAATCAGCGACTACTGTTTTGGCGGGTAATAGTCTGACATCGCCAATTCATTCAGTTATACGCATAAGAAATTCATATATTTTCAGTCGCGCGTAGTAAGTGTCGTATTGTTTGGGTTGGTATCCAACTATCGAAGATCGCTTACGAAACTATCACGTGTTTAAAGGATTTGCCAGAAGAGAGATACGTGAAACATAAAGACTGGTGATGTCAAGTTTCAGACAATTTCCTCGGCGGGATTTTAGTCCCGTTGATACGTGTGATGTTCGTTTCGAGTCACCGCGTTCATCGCATACGCGTTTGTTGGCAAAGCCTCAGCGGGAAGTTGATGAAGAAAAAGGCCATCACTATGAGGATCCTTCGGGTCTCAGTGATCAGGTTCGAGCACTACAGGCAGGAGAAAAAAACCGGCGAAAACGCTTTAATGATCTTTATGAACCTCATGTTCCACTTAAAGAATTGCATGTTACCAGGAAAAGAGACATGTCAGACTCGTCTGATGATTCTGACTCCTACTCAAGGGAATCGTGTTTGAATCGATGCGTTTTATTTTTCGTTCTTCTAACTTCGGTCACAGCTTTGATATTAGTGGTTCTTATGATGTTGGGCAAGGTCGGGCCGGCTGTTGAAGGATGTGCGTGTGTGAACACGGAACAAGGAAGCTATAATAAAAAAGGTTTGTATAATCTTTTATTTACGAAAAGCCACGCGGTCGGCGTTTTACAAAGTATACATGAATATTTCAGCTGCGTAATCCTCAAGAAATGTTCACTATATTATCACTTGGTTCGAGTTTTAAACAACGTCTTTCGCGAGTCCGATCACACAACACCATGGTTCGACGAATGAATAATTGATACAACGCGTGGACTAGACACTTTGAATTACCTTGAGCCCTTAGGGTAACCATAGAGATTTAAAAATCAAATGATCAGGCATTCTTTAAGGATGCTAAACATTTCACATTATTTTATTTAAGAAACGGTCGTTGAATATAAATAATTGAGTCCTTAAATTCTCTATTATAACATACTACTCTACCTATATATATCCTAGGCTCTAGCATGTGCACGGCCATAATAGAAAGAACGTTAGATATGCTTTAAAATATTATTTGAACGTAAACAAAAGACGACATTTGCAGTTCAATTATTTAGACACATATTCTTCGTTTGTTTTAGTATATAAAGATGTTAAATTAACTGAAGTTAAGTACAATATATGACTGGTATGAAATCGTAGGTTGGGGATTTTTAAAACTTTAAACTTTGTTGTCTCGTTTCCTGCTATATTAGACTTGCGTATTGAGGACCGCGTTATATTATAAAAAGTGCCTGCGTTGTTAGTACCCAAACTGTGCTACCAAGTGAGCACGTTCTATATGAAAAAATAGCATTTGCGGGGCGGCAAAAATGCGCCTTGTATCCTTCCTTTTTGTTAATACAAAGAGAGTTTCGTCCACCCTAATATAATGTTTGAACAGTTTATGCCAGTAAGTGCTTTAAGAAAGTGGGTGAATCAATTAAAGATCAAATGGAAAATTTTAACGAGGAAGGAAGGGATACTTTGTCTATACCTATCCCGTTCGCAGTTAGTCCAAGAAGCCCTGTTTATAAAACTCGGGGAATTAATTAGGCTAGAGTTGTAGAGGAAGTAGGACGTAGGACTCCTGGGAATTTTTGGTGGGGTGTGTCGCCCGGTTTTCCTGTAAAATCCTTTTTCAGACCTGGCATCTAAGTAATTATGTCATCAGTACTTAGATTAGAACAGCAACAAAAACGATCTCTTAGATTCCATTTCGAATTCGCATATTTCTGTTTTTTTCTTACTCATTTGGAATTGAAACGATAAATACGTTCATTCACTACCGTAATTCTCTAGAAAACCATACCCGATTCTAGACCAAAATGGGTAAAGTCTACACCCGTTTTCAGACCAAAACGGCCCAAACACCATACCCTTTGGCTTTGGGGCGGTACATACTCATATGCCTTATATAAGGGAGTACCACCCATGGGTCTGAGCTCAGATAGATATAGAAAAATGTATCGCTTTGCCGTTCACGTTCTCCGAGAAAACTTGAAATTTGGTCATTTCACCTCAAGATTACAGGGAAGGCAAGGCGAATACGTTTCACAGAACTAAAGCGTGCACGTGCCGCTAGAGTTGTAGTTACCTCTTGTTTGTTGCCGCTTTTGCACTAAAGAAATACCAGTGAGGCTTATCAAAAATAATTTTTCCCTTTTGTTGGGGTAAAAATTGCTTTGTTATTTTTTGTCGTAACATTGTTGTCACTGTTTGACCCTACATGATCATAACACATGGGAACATTCTCTTTACAAATTTTGACGAAATGTTGTGACTAAAATAATCTCAACAAATCTTCTGTACAGTCGACTCTCTTTTAACGGAAACCGGACACCTTGTTAAAAAGGACACCTAACTTTAGTCCTCGCCATTCTTTACTCTATATAAGACACTCTTGGTTACTCTCCCAAAAGTGAGAGAGTTGATTGTTTTGTGTTTTATTATTTCAGTAGCTACAGCTCCTTCTGGGCAACAATTAAGTGGTTCTCAGACTGCGGTTCAACCAGGCAGTGTAGTGTTTTCACCGCCTGATGTCTCGTCACTCGAGAACAAAATCAATGAACTGAAGGCGAACCTTTCGTGGATCAAAGCATTTATGGTAAGTGTCAAGTTTGTTCACTCTTAGTTTAAAGTATCTTGACGAGCCTCTCGACCGATTACCTTTCTGAAAATTCCCGAGTTACTTATTCATGATCACCATTTATCATCATCATCATCATCATCATCATCATCATCATCATCATCATCATCATCATCATCAAAAACAACAACAACAGCATTGGCATCATCATCTTCATCATCTCTATCATCATTATCATCAACATCAACACCATGGTCATCACCAGCACCAACACCATCATTGATCATCATTATCATCGTCATCATCATTATCATCATCATCATCATCATCAACATTACCATTATGGGCTCCGGTCAGCTCCTACTCATGTGGCTATTGGAAGGGAGTCCTTTTTTAAAAACGACCATTTTCGAGATGATACAATGTACTTTGGAACCACCATTTATCCTTGCAAATTCTAGTGGCAGACATCTGTAAAATGCCATTCAATGAATATTAGTACTCTATGGAATTACATCTTCCTTCTAAATTTTATCATTTAAATCCTACAGAACACTCTTCAGCAAGACATACAAGGAACCAAAGGTGATCTAACTGACACAAACAGAGACATTAATGGCACAAACGATAAACTATTACAAATACAGAGTGGAACACAAGACTCCATTAATATGGTAAGCCAGTTGTCCTTGTTACAGCAAAATATGGTGTCGATTAAAGCTTTATAATTGTGACTAATTTTTTATGAAGTCTTTTGTTAAGGTATGTAAAATACAGATCTTTATTTGTAACAAAAACATCGACTCTAAATTTATTGTTTTCGTTACATGTAAAATTTGCTAAAGATCTTAAGACTCTTCACAGGGATTCAACTGCTTATAACTGTGCTGTATCACAGTTTAAAGGAAATGATGTAATTTTGAGCTTAGCTGTTTTTAATAATAAAATTGGATGTTGTATCGAAGTGCAGTTCATTTGAAAAATTAAATTGCTTCTTGCCGTTCTCGGTGCCGTTGCTGTCGTGGTAGTAATTGTCACACCTTATTTTGTAGATTCAGAACATCAGTCAGAGGCTCGATGCATCTGTGAGTGATCTTAATGTTAGTTTCTTTGGAGAGTTGAGTGAAGTGAAAACAAGCTTTGACTCAAAGGTAAGTGTTTGTTAATTTTTTTTAATTTTAAACTTCTGGACTCGGATTTAATGACACATACCTATCTAAATATAGTGCACTATATTAAGGTGGCTGAACACAGTTTTGGCAGTTTGTGAGTATATATCCTTTGCTAAATCATGTTAAGAGAAAGGTTGCAGCTCACAAGCTGAAACTTGGCAAGTGAAAAATATAATGATGAAAGATTTTGACTGACAGGTAAAATGTGCGTTTTCGTAGTTTCCATGGCAACATGAACGATTGAATCCAACCTTAAAATTTCACTTTTGCTCAGTTTATATAAAATTCGCTCATTAGATTTTCCTGTAAACTTGCACTCAGCTTACTATAATTAATCATTACAATTTGAAACTTATTTGACCAAATTTTAACAGAGGGGTTTTTAGATAATCAATAATATAATTGTACTGTAATTATTAAATGTGTCACAAAATTCGTCTGTTCAACTTCCATTTTAAAGTAACTATTATTGAAAGTACGATAAAAGTAAAAATTTTGCCAAATATAACAAATTTTTAATGAGTAGATTTTGAGAAATTGTCTTCTATGTTCCATTGCTTTTTTCGCCGCCATGTTTGTTTGTCTAGTTTAAGACACGCGAGTTACCACTGACCGCCCGCAAAACTGTGTTCAGCCACCTTAACTAACAGTGGAAATCCAGGAGGTCATTTTACTTTACGTCTTTATCAAAATAAGTGTCAAAGAAATTATTTCACGGGCACGTGTCGGTTACAAGCGTTTCATATTTCGTATGCTGGGCTGTAGTCATTGTGTCAATTTTTCAAACTTCTTCATAACATAAATTGTTTTTATTATTATCAAGAGAAGTTTATCTTCTCTTGTTATTATTCATTCAACTAGGACGAGTTAGTAGGGTAAGCCATACTGATGTAACTCTATTCTATCTTCGGCGGAATTACGTTCTACGATGGGTAGATACGAAGACTTTGTTGATTGACTAACTTTGCCGTTACATATTTTATTTTACAGTTAAACAACACTGCTCGAAACCTCTTAAATGCTGACAATTCCCTTCAAACACTTCTTAACGCAATCAACAGTTCTCTGAGCGATCAGGTGATTATTTTGCTGATTCAATGTTCAAACTAATTGTAAACCTTTGAGCAGACGAGATCACCTCATTCTTTCTACAGCCCTATCCGTTTTAAAATGGATCTTAAAGACTGAGTTTGCTACTTATATAGTCTGTGGTTAGTTTATAAACCAAACACTTTTAAAATGTTAATAAACAACTGTTAAATCACCTTTTTATCATCTACTTGTTCTTGTCATCAGCAGCTAATGTCGGATTTACTCGCCTCCAGACATGCTTATGTTAAATGTTACCAAAAATATTTTGCTTTGCTGGCTGTACCTCTTTATAGAATCTCAAGTCACATCCACATTTGGCATTTCTTCATTTTCTTGTATTTTAAACAATAAAAAATGCATTGACTTTACTTCAGTAAACAAAAGAAAAAAACCTATTTTTTTTCCCTTTCAACACACTATTTAATTCATATGACGGTCCACAAAACCGCCATATATTGAAATTAAATAGTGTGTTGAAAGTGAAAACAAATCAGTTAGGTTTTTTATTTCTTTTGTTTACTGAAATAATCTTTGGTCTCGGCAAACAGAATTTCACAGCAAAAAATGCATTGATGATGAATTAATTTTCCAGGTCCAAAGTATAAGCAAGTTGCGGGGCCCCACAGGGCCACCAGGGTTTAATGGATCAAAAGGTGACACCGGTCCTCAAGGACCTTTGGGACAACAGGGAGACCAAGGTAATCAAGGAGGCAAAGGAGATCCTGGGGTCAAAGGCGATCGGGGATTTAATGGTACCGACGGTGCAGATGGACAAAAAGGTGCTACAGGCCCTCAGGGTGACAAAGGAGATCCTGGTTCTCAGGGACCGCAAGGAATTAAAGGAGAAACAGGACCGCAGGGAGCTCAAGGAGCAGGAGACTTCAGCCAGTGTAGTTATTCAGAGAAACCAGGAACTACCGTTTCATCTGGTCCTAGCGCAACTGCTGATGTAGAGGTTGAGGAAGCACTGGTTAGTCATAAAATTATTACATATTGCTATTCCATTTCTTTTACCATCTCTTGAAAAACTTGTAGCTCGCAATGACAGAAGAATAAAAGGAACTACTCTCGCCGACTCTAGTGGTATGGTGGTTCGCCATGCTTCCTTTGTTTCTTAGAAGGTCTGAAAAATGTCCTATGGTGACATGTTTTCCATCGCAACAAGCAATTGTGAATGTTTAACAAACAAAACTACACGAAGTAACGCTACAGTATGTGTAACGACTAATACGTGGCAAAACCAGTAAGGTTAGATACTATAGCTATTTGCTCAAATATGAACCAATTGAAATGTGAAACTTGGCCAATGGAAGTCACAGCACAAGTTTTAGTTATTACACGTCCCAGCACTCAATATGTTTATGTGAAAGAAGAAGTGCAGACTTATTCATGAGCAGTTACGATGTACTTTAAGTATTGTTTAGATGAAACACATTTAATTTATTGTCATCAATTCTCGTAAATTTTGTTATTATTATTATTATTATTTTAAAAATCACATTTAATCCTGAAAAACATTTTTTGTGTACAGAACAAGAAAATTCTGGGTGTTTCCTGCTCTACAAACAACGCTGCAGAGTATAATCTACGAAGAGTACAAGTTGGACAACAGAACAAGTATATTTGCACTTGCAGGGGTCAATCATCCTTGTTTTTCACACCCGGTTCGAATTCAATGTGGTGCAAAGTTCACTACTGGGAATGCCCTCTAACTACATAAGTACGCATACGCATGTCACACGCAGTTGTATCTTCTATGAAAAAATTTAGTGAACACTCCAGACGTCTCCAGGCTGCAAATGGGCCCTTGGAGAGAAGCACTGGGAGAAGAGGACAAAGTAAATCACCATTGAGTGGTTATAGGCTCTTTGTTTGTCTTGTCCCTTGTTCTCCTGCATGACGGTTCTGTACTATTTTAATCGACCTATTCAACAGTCTCCATTATCATTTTTGAGAAAGGATAAACGGACAGAGAGAAATGTATGAGAGTTTGACAGACGAAAGGTTGACTGTATCACTCAATGAACCTCCTCCTTGAAACGGTTCGGACTCAGAAATGTCACTGTTTTGCTGCAGTTTAGAGATTCTAAGGACGTGCACCATAAGTCAGAATTGGCTGGCCAGACTAGTCTAGTCGTAAAGAGAATTCCATTTTCAAACAAAACGTTAACGTTAAACGTTGATCCTTTCTTATTATACAATAATATGCACGACAGTCTTAAGCGAAAAACTCTTTAAAAAGACCCTCTTTAATACTTGTCTGGGTGGCCAGTTCTGACGTTTGGAATGCGCCCTAAATCTGGCAACATGGAAGAACTGAAAGGGAATTCAGAGACTATTCCCTTTACTGTACAATTATTCACTTTGGTAGTTTCCCTGTGGCTACGGCATGCAGACACCCAAAAGGTGCCATGTTTGTACATATACTAATACCTTATTTTTGCTCTATGTTACCGTTGTATATCCCCATGGCCCTGTGAATAGATTAATAAGTGCCATTATATTACAATTAATTGACTAACCGTCCTCAGGTTAAACCAGTATACACTCAAGGCTACCAGAGTTAGAACCACAGCAAAAAAGGTACCCTTAATAGGTTAAATTTTGATTTAATTTGAGAATGTACTTTTCCAACCACATGTACAGTGTATATGAATCTGATATCACAAAAGCAAAAGGCAAACAAGATGTATATTTGAATATTTTTAATAAGAAAACGATTAAAGGTTCTGTTATAGCTTCATGGACTAGTTAAGGGCATAGAAGCTAGTCACCAATATACTGGGCTACTTCTGGCCTCTTGTGTTATGACTAATATCCTCGCTGAAGTATTCGAAGGAAAAAATGGTTATCGCTAGGTGACCCAGGTTGCCTTTGCTAATTATATTTTGTTATTATTTTTTATTGGCGACGATTGATATTTTAAATCTCCATGCCAGAATTTTTTCTTTTTATAGATTGTATATGGATAATCCATAATATGTTTTGGAACATGGTACTTCTACTTATTTTTAATGGTGAAAAGACGATGTTTTTTATTTATTTATTTTACCTCAATACGGAATTGACCATAGTTTACATGACTTAATTCTTATAAATCCGCTGTAATGCCTAGAAAGTCCAGGAACATATTTGTTCCTTTGCTTTTGATATGACATTACTTCAGCCTACTCAATGGTTCAAAATATCGGTAAGCGCAAACCCCTATGAAAAGGTTTCTGTGAATAAAATCACAAGTTTTAGCTACCCTGGTATTTTAATCTAATACAATTACGAACTGAAAAAGCCATAAAAATTTGAAATTTAACAAGGGCTGACTGACAAATCTTGTGGAAACTCTTAATCTTTATCTATTGTTTACATAGCGTGTTCTTACCACGACTAGAAATAATTAAGGTAGCTCTTTGGTTGTCCTTAATAGAGTACGTAATAACTGACTTGTTTCTAAAAGGTTTAAGAAATTTGTCCATTTGGTGATATGAACGCAGAAAGCAAAGGCGTGCCTTTAATTTCTGTACATATTTTTTCTTAGTTGAGAAATTTTTTATGATGTCATTCATTCGTCATATTCAAGTGTAAAGTTAATGTGAAATTAACAAACGTTAAAACAGTTGTAAGAATGCGGAATATTATATAAACACAATTGTTACCCGAGGTAAGTGGACTGGTTGTTTTCACTCTCCCCAGGGGGAAGGGGAGGGGGTACTTCCCTACAGTAAGGGCGGGAGTGTTCGCCATGAATTTATAATTTCAAAATAAATATTATATATATGCCATAATCTCGCTCTGTGGGCGTGGCCTAAATTCATTTTAACCCTTTAAAGGTACCAAAAGCAGCTGAGAAACAAATAGTTTATGCGTTATTTGGAGTTAAACCTTCAACAGTAGAATTAAAAATTAATTAGTCATTACCTGAGTTGTCATTGTCAACAATCCCTCAGCTTTATGGTATGGGCTAATCGTGTGCAATTTTGTCCTTCGGCTATCGCCCTGCCTACCTCAATCGCTCTTCCCCGTTTGAACCTGTTTCGCTGACAAGGGACTGTCTCACTCTACGAGAAAGGCAACATTACTTCATTCCTTGAAATTTTGTATAAATTTACATTCTCAGACTATCGAACAATGGCCACACTTAAAAATTACTCTTGTAAAAGGTTTATTTAATGGGGCCCAGATCCGTACTTGATCTTTTGAGACCGTAACCAATTCTCAACCTAACGGTGTGTATATTTGGTTGGATTTTCTTGGTCGCCGCCTGTTCGACTGTAACTTGTTGAAAGGAAAAATCCCCTCTGCTTTTGTCCTCTGTGTCCTTGCCTGCCTAATTTCTCGTTCGTCACCCTTGTAGGTGGTTTATTTCCAGACGGCTTACCGTTGATAATCTTTTATAATTCTCACCAGCAAGGAGTTCTCTGTGAGAGGGAACAGTTTATGATGACCATTATAATATTTCTGCCCTTATTTGTGACTGAGCGTCTCCTAAAAGTGTGAGTTTATGACCAATACTACAGTGTACCGGCACACCATGAATCTCGGTACAACAAATTATACTTTACTGACATTTGTACCACATAATATCTTTACAAGCTTTGAAAAGATTTTTTAGATTTAAGTAAGACGACACGCATCATTTTCGTGATTGTTTTTTAATAGTTTTTTTCTTGATCGGTGAATTTCCAGGGCCAGTTGGCTTGCAACAGCCTAAGGACTTTCCTGGCCTACTTGTATATTATAAACAAGAGAGGATAAAGCTTTATTCTCTCTTGTTATAACTCAATTTTTTTTAAAGAAATAAATACTTGAAAAAATACTCAGAAATATAATCCCCAGTTGAACGAGATTGATTTTTGAAAAAGTATACCTTATAAAAAAAATGCTGAAAATAGCGTTTTCGAGTTTCTGGGATTTCAAATTTTTCCGAAGTGGGTGCCACCAGATCACAAGAGAGGCTCGCGACTTCGGCGATCTCGTCTGAGCGACAAAAGTTTGTCTACGGACCTGGCAGTCATCAACTCATCAGAATTTACAATAACTTTATTTGAAGTTAAAGTTTTGTTTTACTAGTTTATTATTACATTTAGGGCTTTTGTTTGGTTGTAAACTTTCACGAGGTTACATCGTTATGATACACAGAATCCTTCCATAACAATCAGGTAGACCATTAAAAGACATGAAAATCACTAAATTCATACACAGGTACCTGTCACACTGTATCACCGCGAATATAACGTCATTCTAGACGTTGGGTTTTATGTCGTATGCAGAATGGGCAAATAATAATGGAACCTTCTAAATTTTCTTCGAAGATTTATTTGAGGCTTAGCCAGTTGGGTCACTATAATATGTGCCAGTTTTTTCGCATTCAGTAAGTACAGTTTTTCAGTCATTCATAACTGTTTATGATTGTTTTTAGAGTCTCAACTTAACCGCTGACCATTTATCTGCGTCCATCATAACAAACTTTCTCGAAAGGGTACAAGACAAACAAACAAAAAAGACGGAACGATACTGCCTTATTTTAACTATTTTTTGTTCATCGCCAGCGACTTCGGGATGTTTCATCTTTGAACATGTAGAAGCTAAGTCCATACTCATACACAAGCAGAAGCTAAACTCTTTATTGTAGTGACTAAGAGAAACAAAGTATAAACTGGGTTTCAAACAAAGACTATCTTAGTAGAGGAGTCAGTACTATATACTATTTATATCATAACATTATCTGATGTATATGTTAGAGGCCGAATGCATGTTGCTAAACAGTGTTTCAAGTAGTCAGAAAAAGGATGAGAAATCCGAGGTCTTGAGAATGACACGAGAGCCACAAAACTGTGACTATGAGAACGCCTGCTTAAGGCGGATTAGGAACGTAGCCCAAGTTAGTTAGCCTGCCATTTGGCAGACCGGGCAAGTGGAAACGTAGCAGTATGTTAATATATAAAGACTCTGTAGCTTCGTCAGTTTTAATCCTCTTTCATTCATTAGTGAATCAATGATTTCGACACATAAGACACGTCACAATCGCGCGCAAAATCGATACGAAGATAACGTTCTTCAAATTAGTTCATTGAGAAAACCAACAAAGAAATTGGGCTTTCTCAATCTTGCGTTTGAAAGTTTAGAACTGGTAGAAATTCACAAAGGCGCATTGAGAAATTTTGAGGCGGCCGTCAGCGTGCCACCCTATACAACGATGAATCCGTTTTACGGGGATTCCGAGATTGGACACCTACAACATCACTACGATGAGCCCTCTTCCTTAGTGCCCTGTAGGAGTGCTTGGACTTCAGAAAGTGCTGGCCCACGGAGAAAAGCCAACAAGTTGTATGAAACTGCCGAAATGAAAAAGAATGCTCATAGGTCGTGGAAAAATAGACAATGTACTAGCGACTTCATTGCCGGTGATTCTTGCCTCAGCCGACTTATCTTGTTTCTGATTTTGATGGTTTCTTTGACTTCGCTTGCCCTGGTCGTGTTAGTTATTCTTGGAGAATTACCAACGAGATGTTGTAAGGAGATACAAGGTGAGAACTTTTCCACTTTAACTCGTATAGCAAAAGTCTTAGTTAGTCTTACTTAGCTGCCTATTTGTGTTCGTTTTGTGTTTCCGTTTTCGTTTAGTGAAAACTGAGACAGAAAGTTAAATCTGTTTGAACGTTTTCACATAAGTACTGTCAAAATGACATGTTTTTAGAAAGCTATAAAATGGTGCTCTATTCGCTATTTACCATGATGCTCGCCATAAGGGGCTCGAAAGGGGCGATGAAAACTTTTGAAAAGTTTTCCCATTGAAGTTACACTCTATTTTGCCTTTGGTCGTTTCCCGCGCGCGGGAACAGGTTTCATTGATTTAATGGTCACGCGCGTTTCTCGTGCTAACTACGCAACCGGCTGAATACGTGCTGTTGAGGGTCAACTTTAGGCCAGAGAGCAAGTAGTAACAATAATTCAACCTACCAACGTGCTTGTCAAATTTCGCCAACGCGAGACAGTCGCGTGACTTGCCAACTGGATCTACCGGTCACTCCAGTGACCTTTAAAGGCATGATGATCTTCAAAGTTTGTATATTTTTAGCCGGTGTTCTAAACTGAGGATGAATTAAAATTCAATTGTCCTTGACATCAAATGGCTTTCGAGGTATTTTCCAGAGTTTTGTTGCTAGCTAGGAGAACCAGGTATAATGTCGGAACCTAATTTGTTGCCAGGTGGTGTAGGACTGAATGTTACTGTCGATTGAGAGAGTAAAATATTTATGTTTCGTGTATTAAGTAATGTTTATACTTCGCATGACGTTAATATCGTGAACAGTCTCGTTCTCGCAGACTCTGAACATGCACGCTAATACGCGGCGCCTCCGAGACCGATCTTCAATAACCATTTAACGAGTTTTAACGTCCTTCGTCATGTGACATAATGTGAGTTTAAATTCGTGCTTATTTCCCCATTCAGGATTAGCCATCTGTTCTTTTAGTATATTAAACATCCATGTTTGACAGCAGGTTTATTTGATGCATGTTAAAAGAGGGGCGACTATACTAGATGAACATAGTATCATGGCTTTTGCTTAAAAGAACAATCGAAGACTAAATTCCTTTGTATTTTAAATGTAACAGTTGATCGAGTCATGTTATTACAATCAACCTACTCTTGTGTGGTTGATTGTTATAAAGTCCAGGATCATTTTAGGCTTATATCTAACTAAATTTGAAATTCTCGAAACTGCATCATATTTACCATGAATTTGATTTCTGCAGATTAAATTTTTGCGGAATAACAGTTTATATTTTCGGAAAACCACACTGAAAAATGGCAAAAATTAGGATCCGCAAAAATGAAGTGCCACACGATATCGGAAATTCAAGACTTAAAGTTATGCGCGATAAATTAGCATTCTGAATGCAGTATTTTGGTACAGGCCCAAAAAAAGAAAAGGTTTCACGTTATAAAAAAGTTTAACTTAACCCGATGAGCATCCTGGCTTGTGTCTATCTGTGTCTTCTCAATAGGAAAAATTAAACTAGTTTATTTGAAAGGAAGTAACAGCAAAATAAAACAGCACTACGCTTGACTGTAAATCAACAATTTTATTTTAATGTCACAGTTTATATTTTTGAGTTTTTTGAATCTAGATGAATTCTTTTCCGTCTTGTCAATGGCTATATATCTAAGCCAGAAGTACTATAGTAAACGTTCCTTTTTACATGCATTCGAAATCCATTCATTTTCAAAGAGCATAAGGATACGTATTTCCAGTTTTAAACAAGATGTAAAGCACGTGTTCTAAGATGGATAATTTATTCGGTGTTTATTCAGTGCTCGTATATGCTAATCATTCTCAGAGCCGGCTAAAAGTAGAAATCCTCCGTCAGACTAATCCCTTCGCTTTCGTCTTCCGCTTTCCTGTGGTTGAATTCTTAAACTAGCAACATTTTTTTTTAAGAGTTGCTTTATGTCACATTTAGAACCAAGTTTTGAAGTGTTTGCTCTTGAAAGTTCATGGATCAAAACTCTTTTCGATCCTGCCGGACTGAACATAAAATATAATTTCACCCCACTCACTGCTGCCGACGGACTGAGCATAAAATATAATTCACACCCCAACCACTGCTGGCGATATTTTAGTCTTTCTAAAATGATAGCATTACGTGTTCATCGTTGATAGAAACTGACACTTCGCAAGGTAAACTTGAATGTACAAAGACGTGAATGTGCAGATCGGCACACCACATGAAGAACGCGTTTGAATATTTACACCGCGTGACAGGTTACGTTCTTCGATCACTTACGAGAAATTTCATTTTCTTTTCAACTAAAGAAACTTTGAACAGGGGTATTTGGGTTTGTGATCGTGCAACCACTGTCTCTGTTTTCAGATATACACAAATTGATCAGTGTCTTTCTGGAAAAATCTAGCATCGATCTCTTAGAAATCACCTGTCGACCGTTGAATGATGACGTATTACTCAATTGTGTTGTGTACACGTAGAGCCCCCGCCAGCCTCTCTCGCGGGAAAACAGCGATTAGATCAAGCCAATCAGCGACTACTGTTTTGGCGGGTAATAGTCTGACATCGCCAATTCATTCAGTTATAGGCATAAGAAATTCATGTATTTTCAGTCGCGCGTAGTAGGTGTTGTATTGTTTGGGTTGGTATCCAACTATCGAAGACCGCTTACGAAACTTTCACGTGGTGAAAGGATTTGCCGTGAATTTCTCAGAAGAGAGATACGTGAAACATAAAGACTGGTGATGTCAAGTTTCGGACGATATCCTCAGCGGGATTTTAGTCCCGTTGATACGTGTGATGTTCGTTTCGAGTCACCGCGTTCATCGCATACGCGTTTGTTGGCAAAGCCTCAGCGGGAAGTTGATGAAGAAAGAGGCCATCAGTACGAGGATCCTACGGGTCTCAGTGATCAGGTTCGAGCACTACAGGCAGGAGAAAAAAACCGGCGAAAACGCTTTAATGACCTTTATGAACCTCATGTTCCACTTAAAGAATTGCATGTTACCAGGAAAAGAGACATGTCAGACTCGTCTGATTATTCTGACTCCTACTCGAGGGAATCGTGTTTGAATCGATGCGTTTTATTTTTCGTTCTTCTGACTTCGGTCACAGCTTTGATATTAGTGGTTCTTATGATGCTGGGCAAGGTTGGGCCGGCTGTGGAAAGATGTGCGTGTGTGAACACGGAACAAGGAAGCTATAATAAAAAAGGTTTGTATAATCTTTTATTTACGAAAAGCCACGCGGTCGGCGTTTTACAAATACATGAATATTTCAGCTTCGTAATCCTCAAAAAATTTTCACTTTATTATCGATTGGTTCGAGTTTTAAACAACGTCTTTCGCGAGTCCGATCACACCGCACCATGGTTCGACTATTGAATAATTAATATAATGCCTGGACTAGATACTTTGAATTACATTGAGCCCTCAGGGTAACCATAGAAATTTAAAAAGCAAATTATCAGTCATTCTATAAGGATGCTAAACATTTCACATTACTTTATTTAAGAAATTGTCGTTGAATATAAATAATTGAGTCCTTAAATTCTCTATTATAACATACTATTCTACCTACTTATATCCTAGCCGGCTAGTATGAGCACGGCCATAACAGAAAGAACATCAAAAATGCCTAAAAATATTATTTGAACGTAAACAAAAGACGACATTTGCAGTTCAAATATTTAGACACATATTCTTCGTTTGTTTTAGTATATAAAGATGTTTAATTAACTGAAGTTCTTTACTATCAAAAACGTTTACACTGATTTCAAAAGTAGAGATGATCTTCTCTCTCATTAGCATTTTGTTTGATTTTCTTAAGTACAATATATGACTGGAATGAGATCGTAGGTTGGGATTTTTAAAACTTTAAACATTGTTGTCTTGTTTCCTGCTATATTAGACTTGCGTATTGAGGGCCGCGTTTTATTATAAAAAGTGCATGCGTTGTTAGTACGCAAACTGTGCTACCAAGTGAGCACGTTCTCCATGAAATAGCATTTGCGGCGCGGCAAAAATGCGCAGTGTATCCTTCCTTTTTGTTAATACAAAGAGAGTTTCGTCCACCCCAATATTGTTTGAACAGTTTATGCGTAGGTGCTTTAAGAAAGTAGGTGAATTAATCAAAGATCAAATGGAAAATTTTAACGAGGAAGAAAGGGATACTTTGTCTATACCTATCCCGGGACAGTTGCAGTTCTTTATGCACATTTGATTATATTTGTATGTTAATTTGCGCAATATAAATGATAAGTATTATTATTATTATTATTATTATTATTATTATTATTATTATTATTATTATTATTATTATATTTTGACGCACACAAAATGGACTTGGTCATGTGTTGCGAGATATTGTGCTAAAGTTCATTGTGTTTGTCAGTCTTGTCAACCGTGGGCTTCCAAAACCCAGTTCCTACGTCCTTATTGTATAAAGACCTCACGATCTGACAACTGCGGCTACATGATCAACGAAATCGTCACTGAAAAACTGTTTACGCGCCCTTGCAATCTTGTTTCGCAGTTAGCGCAAGAAGCCCTGTTTATAAAACTCGGGGAATAGCCCATTTGCACAATGACGTTATTTTACTGCTGCGACCAGAATCCTTTTCGTTTTTGCTTTCATATTTTAATTTTGTAATCCCAGTGAGGTTTCGATAACAAAAACCCTAGTTTGCACAGGAAAGCAAAGTTCTGAAGGATTCTGGTCGTAGTAGTAAAATGACGTCATCATGCAAATGGCTTGTCAATTAGGCTAGAGTTGTAGAGGACGTAGAGAGGAGACTGCGTCTGAGCCCCCAGGGAGTTACTCCGGGAATTCTAGGTCGGGGTGTGCCGCCCGGTTTTCCTGTAAAATCCATACCTGGTTTTAAGACCTGGCATCTAAGTAAGTATGACATCATTACTTAGATTAGAACAGCAACAAAAAAATTCGTAGATTCCATATCGCATATCTCTCTTTTTTCCACATTTGGAATTGAAACGATAAATACGTTCATTCACTCCCGTAGTTCTCTCCAAAACCATACTCGATTCCAGACAAAAATGGGCAAAGCCTAGAACCCGTTTTCAGACCAAAACGGCGTAAAAACCACACCCTTTGGCTTTGGTTGGCGGCGCATACCTATATGCCTTATATAAGGGAGTACCACCAGCGGGTCTGAGCTCAGATAGATATAGAAAAATGTGTCGGTTTGCTGCTCACGTTCTCAAGAATATTTGAAATTTGGTCGTTTCACTTCAAGGTTGTACAGGGAAGGCCAATACATTTTGCAGAACTAATGGGTGCACGTGCCGCGAGAGTCGATCACGGTTTACTTATTGTTTGTTGCCGTTTTTGCACTAAAGAAATACCAGTGAGGCTTATCAAAAATAATTTTTCCCTTTTGTTGTGGTAAAAATTGCTTTGTTAATTTTTGTCGTGACATTGTTGTCACTGTTTGACTCCTCATGATCATAACATCTGAGAACATTCTCTTTACAAATTTTGACGGGATGTTGTGACTAAAATAATCTCAACAAATCTTCTGTACAGTTGACTCTCTTTTACGGACGCCTCTATAAGTTGGACACCTTGTTAAAAAGGACACCTAACTTTAGTCCTTGCCATTCTTTGCTCTATAACAGACATTCCTAGTTACTCTTCCAAAGGTGAGAGAGTTTATTGTTTTGTGGTCTATTATTTCAGTAGCCACAGCTCCTTCTGGGCAACAATTAAGTGGTTCTCAGACTACGGTTCAACCAGGCAATGTTGCGTTTTCACCGCCTGATGTCTCGTCACTCGAGAACAAAATCAATGAACTGAAGGCGAACCTTTCGTGGATCAAAGCATTTATGGTAAGTGTCAAGTTCGTTCACTATTAGTTGAAAGTATCTTGACGAGCCTCTCGACCAATTACCTTTCTGAAAATTCCCGAGTTACTTGTTCATGATTACCACCACCACCACCATCGTCACATCATCATCATCATCACCATCACCAACACCATCAATTATGATCATCATCATCATGATCATGATGATGGGCTCCGGTAAGCTCCTACCCATGAGGCTATTGGGAAGGAGTCTTGTCTCAAAAACGACCATCTTCTAGATGATACCAATAATTTTTTGGAACCACTCAATTTATCCTTGCATGTTTTAGTTGCAGACTACTTGTGAAATGCCGTTCAATGAATATTAGTAATCCCTGGAATTACTTCTTCCTTCTAAATCTCATGATTTAAATCCAACAGAACAACCTACATCAAGACATACAAGGAACCAGAGGTGATCTAACTGACACAAACAGAGACATTAATGGCACAAACGTTAAACTGTTACAAATACAGAGTGGAACACAGGACTCCATTAACATGGTAAGTAAGTTATCTTTGACTGCATCCAAATGAGGAGGGTTAAGCATAAGAATTATGATTTATTTCTATGAAGTCTTTTGTTAAGATATACAATTGTACAGATCTCTATGTTTTAGATGTATTGCATTTTTAAAAAATTAAGTACAAAACCATCGACATTAAGTGAACTACATGTTTTCGTTCCAAGAAAATTTGCTTAAGATCTTTAGAACTCTTTCCAGGGATTCAAGTGCCTATGACGGTGCTGTGTGTAACGTTGTTTCGGAAATAATTTTGAGTTTAACTGTTTTAAATGTTAAAAACTAGCTGTAAGTAGCGGCAAAGCGCAGTTCATTTTCGTGGCCGCATAGTAATTGTCACACCTTATTTTATAGATTCAGAATATCAGTCAGAGGCTTGATGCATCTGTGAGTGCTCTTAATGTCAGTTTCTTTGGAGAGTTGAGTGAAGTGAAGACAAGTTTTGACTCAAAGGCAAGTGCTTGTAAAATTATTTTTTTATATGCTGGTGTCCGATTCCATGGCACGTAAACTATCTGAATATAGTGCACGATATTAACTAAAGACAGTCTAAAAAATCCAGACGGTTATTTTACTTTATGTCTACATCCACATCTACATTAATTTTCGTCGGTAAGGTAGTTAGACATCACACCATAGGCTTAATTCATTAGTAATTATTTCACTGATACGCCGTGTCGGTTCTACGCGTATACGGTATCGCACATGCTAAAGCGTGCTAATGGAATGTGTTATTTCATAATTCTTCATAACTTAAAAGTTGATTTTCAATAGTTTACCTTATCTAATTAGTCTCGCTTTTGTAAACGTGTTTTTCGCCCTAGTGGGGGTGGGGGGGGGTAGTCCCTTATATAGGTTGTGTAAAGGCAAGTACACGGTAGCTGGAGTAAACATTAAAAGGAAAAACGTCTTATCGCCAAATGACGAACAAGTGGCTAGTTCTTCTCAAAAACATACCCAATTCAAGACTAGAGTGCACAAACCATACCCTATTTCAGACCAAAACGGCTAAAAAACCATACCTCTGGCACGGCCCATACCTAACAGCTTGTCACGCGCTCCGGTCACGCGCCGGGCTCCAGGGCTTCAGGTCTGAAATAGGGTATCAAATTTTTGATCAGGTCTGAAGTTGGGTAGGTAAGATCGCAGATTTTGGTCTGCAATAGGGTAAGGGTTTCTTGAAGCGTGCAGCCCACCCCCGCCCAATTTTTCTGGAAGTACCCCCGGAATTTTTGGTCGAATTTTGGGGCTCAAAAGGCAGGTCATTGTGCCAGGCGTTCCTTGCGGAGACCGTGGAAACTGGGACTAAGAATCGTTGCATGATCAAAGCCACGCACGTTTTGCGAAGAAAGCTCAATAAAGTTTTCGTGTATTATACACGCATATAGCCTGTTACTGGAGAGGTATTTCTGGTCGTTGCTAACACGCGTACTAAATAAATTCAGAAACAAATAAAAAGTATCGACGTCGATGAAGTAGAAAGTAAAAAACCTTTAGGGAGTAAGTCATGTTTCTTGTAGCATTAATCGTCTCCTCGTTTCTCCATCTAATCTCCAAGCAGGCGAGACGGAATGCCGCTGTAAGCGTTCTCTTGTTGAAAAAGAACGACATCTTTTATCCGATCTTCCAGCCTCGTCCCCAGGGCGCTTGTCCCTGGCCCACCTCATACAAAGCCAGGGACAAGCGCCCTGGGGACGAGTTTGCCGATCTTCAGCAGAATTCATCCTCTATTTTCGCTCTCCTGTGGGTAGATACCAACACATTGTTGATTTACTAACTTTGTCGTTACATATTTTATTTTACAGTTAAATAGCACTGCTCAAAACCTCTTAAATGCTGACAATTCGCTTCAAACACTTCTTAACACAATCAACAGTTCTCTGAGCGCTCAGGTAATTTTTTTTGTTGCCGGATCAATGTTCACATTAATCGTAAACCTTTTAATAGACTAAAAAATTCACACTCTTGTTAGGTTAAATGTTACCAGAATATTTTGCTTTACTGGTTGTATCTGATTAAAATAAAAAATGCATAATGCATTTATCATGAATTAATTTTCTAGGTCCAAAGTATAAGCAAGTTGCAGGGCCCCACAGGGCCACCAGGTGTTAATGGATCAAAAGGTGACACAGGTCCTGTAGGATCCTTAGGACCACAGGGAGACCGAGGTGTTCAAGGGGACAAAGGAGATCCTGGGATCAAAGGCGATCGGGGATTTAATAGTACCGACGGTGCTGCCGGGCTAAAAGGTGATACAGGCCCTCAGGGTGACAAAGGAGATCCTGGGCCTCAAGGACCTCAAGGAAGTAAAGGAGAAATAGGACCACAGGGAGCACAAGGAGCAGGAAACTTCAGCCAGTGTAGTTATAAAGAGGAACAAGGAACTCCGGTTTCACCCGGTAGTGTGGCAAGTGCTGAAGCTGAAGTTTTTGAGACAGCGGTTAGTCATTTCATTTCTTTTACCATTTCAAGTACATTTAGCATTTGCAAATTGTGTAGCGTTAAAGACTATGAGTTGTTCCTTATTTCATCTGGAATAATAGAGCGAATAATGATTCGCAAGCGTACATGAAAAATGACTTGGAAGGTAACAGGCAGGGAGAAGTGTCTGTCTTCTCTCTAGACTGCGAGCAGTCTCTTTTTTTCTTCAGATTTAGTAAGTAGAGTGCACGCGCGCGCGAGCATTGAGCGGCGAAGCCGCGCGCCTCTCCTGTCTCAAGCCTTCAGTCACGCGCGTGGTCATTTGCGTGTCTCGGGCGTTTTGCTCGACGGACCAAGAAAAAAGAGAGACAGCTCGTAGTCTATCTTCTCTCCCGCGCGACGCCTTTCTTTTGTGGTTGGGGATTTTCACGGGCTGTCGCGTATTTAGCTCGCTATGCCATGTCTGAAAAATTCCCTAAGCATAGCTGTTACATATATCCCAATATCGAATACTCAAATGTGAATGCCAGCAAACAAAACTAATTGACGTAATCTTAATGTTGTCTTAAGTAATTAATCTCGGCGCATGTGTAACGACTATTACCTGACAAAAACAGCAAGGTTATATGTTAAAGCTATTTACTCAATTATGAATTCATTGAAAATATTAAAAGTTTGAGGTCACAGCTTAAGTTTTAGTTGTAGTAGCATTCTAATGTGTATATGTGAAAAAAAAGGGCAGACTGACAGGTGGAGTCACAATGTTGTACTTTAAGTGAAGTTTATGTGACGCACATTTTATATTGTAATCAACTCTCGTAAATTTTGTTATTATTATTATTGTTGTTGTTGTTTGAATAATCACATTTTCTCCTGTACTTTTCTTTCTTGATGTGTAGGGCAAGAAAATTCTGGGCGTTTCCTGCTCTACAAACAACGCTAAAGAGTACAATCTAGAAAGAGTACCAGTTGGACAACAATACAAGTATGTGTGCACTTGCAGGGGTAAATCATCCTTATTTCGGGCCAGTTCAATGTGGTGCAAAGTTCACTACTGGGAATGCCCTCCAACTACATAGGTACGCAGCTGTATCTTTGATGAATCAATTTAGTTAGCACTCCAGACGTCTTCAGGCTCTAAGTAGTGGCATGGAGAGACGCACTGGGAGAAGAGAACAAAATAAATCACCACTATAAGTGGTGTAAGCTCTTTGTTTGTCTTGTCCCAATGCGTCCCTTGCTGTCCAGCAATAAGGCGAACTTGTATCATGTTAATGGGCCTACTACTTTTTGAGATTGGATGAACGGACGCAGAGAGAGAGGTATGAGGGTTTGAGAGACAGAAGGGTGACTGTATCACTCAATGAACCTCTTCTTGGAAGCGGTTCAAACCTAGAAATGTCACTGTTTCGCCGCAGTTTAGAGATGCTAAGGACGTGCACCAGAAATGGTTGGCCAGACTAGTCTAGTCGTAAAGAGAATTCCACTATCAATCAGAACTTTCACGCCAGATCCTGCCTTATTCTACAATAATATGCACGACAGTCTTAAGCGAAAAACTCTTTAAAAAACCCTCTTTAATACTTGTCTGGGTGGCCAGCCCTGACGATCGGAATGCGCCCTAAATCTGGTGGACTTGGCAACATGGTAGAACTGAAAGGGAAATTCAGAGACTATTCCCTTTACTGTACAATTATTCACTTTGGTAGTTTCCCTGTGGCTACGGCACGTAGACACCCAAAAGGTACCACATTTGTACATACACAATACCCTCTCCTTGCTCCAAGTTACCGTCGTATGTCCAACATGGCCCTGTGAATAGATTAATAAGTGCCATTATATTACGATTAATTGACTAACCGTCTTCAGGTTAAATCAGTATACAGTCAGGGTTACCAGAGTTAGAACCATAGCAAAAAAGGTAACCTTATTAGGTTAAGTTCTGATTTAATATGAGAACGTACTTTTCCAACCACATGTACAGTGTATATGCATCTGATATCACAAAAGCAAAAGGCAAACAAGATGTAAATTTGAATATTTTTAATGCGAATTTCGAACACGATAGGAGGTTCTTTTATAGCTTTATAGACGCATTGAAAGCGTAGAGGCTACCCGCCAATCTACTGGGCCACTTATGGCCTGTTGTGTTATGACCAATTAGTGAATATCCCAGGTTGCCTTTGCTAATTGTATTTTATTATTATTTTTTATTGGCGACGATTGATGTTTTAAAATTTCTATGCCAGAATTTTTTCTTTTTATAGATTGTATATAAATAATCCATAATATTTTTTGGAGTACCGTACTTCTACTTATTTTAATGATAAAAAGACGATGTTTTTTATTTATTACCTCAATACGGAATTGACGATAGTTTACATAACTTAATTCTTATAATTTCGCTGTAATGCCTAAAAAGCGCAGGAACATATTTACGTTCTTTTGCTTTTGATATGACATTACTTTCAGCCTATTCAATGGCTCAAAATACCTGAAAGAGCAAAACCCCTATGAAAAGGTTTCTATGAATGAAATCACAAGTTTTAGATATACAATTACGAACAGAAAAAGCAATAAAAATTTCAAATTAAACAAGGGCTAACTGACAAATCTTGCGGAAACTCTTAACCTTATATATCTGGAGTTTACACAGCCCATTGTTACCAAGACTAATAATAATTAAGATAGCTCTTTGGCTATTCTTAATAAAGTACGTAATAAATGACTTGTTTCTAAAAGGTTTAAGAAATTTGTCCATTTGGTCATATGAACGCAGAAAGCAAAGGCGTGCCTTTAATTTCCGTACATATTTTTTCTTAGTTGAGAAATTTTTAATGATGTAAATACACCGTCATATTCAAGTGTAAAGTTAATGTGAAATTAACAAACGTTCAAACAATTGTAAGAATACGGAATATTATATAAAGACAAATGTTACTCAACAAAGTATGTGGACTGGTTGTTTACACTCTTCCCAGGGAGAAGGGAGGGGGCGGGGCGCAGTAATTCCCTATTGTAAGGGCGGGAGTGTTCGCTGTGAATTTACAATTTCAAAAACATCCCTAAAAGATGCCATAATCTCCCTCCGTGGGCGTGGCCTAGATTCATTTTAGCCCTTTAAAGGTACCAGAAGCAGTTGAGAAACAAATAGTTTATGCGTTATTTGGACTTAAACCTTCAACAATAGAATTAGTCATTACCCGAATTGTCATTGTCAACAGTCCCTCAGCTTTATGGTATGGGCTAATTGTGTGAAATTTTGTCCTTCGGCTATGGCCCTGCAAACCTCAATCACTCTTCCCTGTTTGGACCTGTTTCGCCGACGAGGGACTGTCTCACTCTACGAGAAAGGCAATATTACTTCTTTCCTTGAAACCAAGGGTCAATTTAATAGAGCTTTTACAAGCGTAATTTAAAAGTGTTGTTCTCAAACTCTCAAACAAGGGCTACACTAAAAAATTACTCTGGTAAAAGTTTTATTTAATTGGGCCCAGACTCCTGCTTTTAGATCTATTGGGACCTCAACGAATTCTCAACCTAAACAGCCGGTGTGTATATTTGGTTGGATTTTGTTGGTCGCCGCCTGTTCGGCTGTAACTATTTGAAAGGAAAAGTTCCCTCTGCGTTTGTCGTTGCCTGCACAATTTCTCGTTCGTCTCCCTTGTAGGTGGTTTATTTCCAGACGGCTTACCGTTGATAATCGTTGATAATTCTCACCAGCAAGTGAACAGTTTATGATGACGATTATAATATTTCTGCCCTTATTTGTGACTGAGCGTCTCCGAAAAATGTGAGTTTATGACCAATACTACAGTGTATCGGCACAAAGCGCAGCTGTTACCATGAATCTCGGTACAACAAATTACTGACATTTGTACCAGATAATATGCTTACAAGCTTTGAAAAGATTTTTTTAGATTTAAGTAAGGCGACAGTTTGGTCTGTCCTGAAAACGTTTAACGGAAGGTCTAGAGGTTAGCGGCAGGAGTTTCTTGCCCATCCCGTACAACCAATATCTAACAATGTCAACAATTGCAATAATCACAACAAAAACTTTATTTACATTTCTTTTAGGCAGTGACATAAATGTGTAAATTAATTCTTTTAATTGATATTTGCATGTTATAATAAAAGGAATACAAAGTAGGAAAAAAAAAAAAAAAGTTTAGATCCAGTCCCCTGTTTCCGCTGTCAAAGGAAAGGATTTTACTTAATGTCTTCGTTTATTGAATTGTACCGACTGAGTTTTCATGGTTGCAAGTTAAGTGAGAGGTATTTGTTGACCCAGGAAGAAATTTTCCCTCTGAAGCTTTGCCCGAAGGAAGAATTTCTTTGCCCGGCACTTATCTACCTCTGTAGGAGGGGGACATTGGGGGGTACCCAATACCGCAATACCGTAAGAAAAAATGGCAAATACCGAAATACCGCGTCGAAAATCGTCTAAATACCGATACCGCATATTTTAATCACATTCATAATCGGTTCCGCATACTTATGGTTGCTTCCATCTAGCGCGTTTAATTATCTCAGGCATTTATGCACCAGATGTCCATGTTTTTTTAACATTTTGGTAGTCGGCAAATTTTTGGCAAATTTTCACTGAAAAGAACCTTTTGGTAGGTCGACCCAACAGCTAACTAACTCCAATAAAAATAACTCTTGAAAGCACGAAAAAAAAAAACAAAACAAAAAACAAACCAACCAAAACCCTTTCCACGCACGTCTAGTGCGAGTTTGGATGAGTCTATAGTCTAGTATGTCAGTATCTCAGGGGTCAACTATCTCGACTGTCTCCCCAGTGGGGAGGAGCGTTGCGTGACGACACTAAAAACAGCTGAGTAGCAGACTGGCACACGTACACAGATAAAAAAACCTGGTAAGGTAACTTGAGGTGACTCATTGTCATTGGATGCAACAACAATCACATTGTGTATTATCGACCATTAACTGTCACAAAATGACCCACAATGGTTTAATCATTTACCGTTATGTCTCAAGAATTCTAAATATTAACTTTTATTGACCTTTATATCCTGCTGTGTTTTGTTTTGCGTATTGTATCGAAAGGAAAGCGCAAATAAACGGTACCGTAATACTGTGAACAATCCTATTTCACCGAATACCGTCAGCCAAAATGATGAAAAACCGCATACCGCACAGCTAGATGATACCGGAATACCGCACGTTAAAATTAAAATTACCGAAATACCGCTTGAAAAAAAGCCCAATACCGCAATACCGTAAACCCCCATGTCCCCCTCCTGTAGTTATAATTAATTCTTCAAAGAAGAACTGGAGATGAGAGCTTGGCAGATTTACTTTATAATTAGTACAATACAGTGAAACCTTAGAGCGAGAAAGTGGTGGCACTAACAGAGTTTAATTTATTTCATATACTAGTTTATATTCATGTCTTGCCTTCGTCACTCACACAACTACAAACTATGGACAACACAAACTCCCGCCCGTGTGTAGTGATTTCCGGATTATTGAAACTGGCTTAAAACGTGTTTTCCACAAAATCTTTCGCCCTATTAGAATTTTTTATCAAAAATTTCAAACGGTGTAAACCTCATGATCCAAATGAAACAGTCTCGCATTTTGTCAAGGTACTTGAAAGCTAGATCGCCACATGTAAGGAAATCCAAGGCAGTCTTGGATTCTTCATTCCACGCCGTAAATTCAGGATTCCAGTTAGTGGATTCTGGGTTTCTGGTACTGGATTCCAGATTCCTGGAGCTGTATTTCCGATTCCAAAGCCCAGGCAATTCCGGGTTCCGCAAGCAAAATTTCCCAGATTCCGGAATTCGGATTTCTTTACATTGTGCGGTTGATTAGATATTATTTGCTTTCGCTGCGTCAAGAAAATAGCCACTCAAACCCTTCTCACTCCAATAGATTCTTTCAGAAATGCTGGCTGATTCCTCTTGAAGACGACAAAATGTTACGTTGTTAATGGACATTCCCAGTAATGAATCTTGCACCACATCGGAATAGCAAAAAATAAGGATGACTGTCCCCTGCACGTGCAAAGATATTTATTCTGTAATCCGCTTTGAATTGTTTGGAGATTATACTCTGCAGCGTTGTTTGTAGAGCAGGAAACGCCCAGAATTCTTCGGTCCTGTGTGACGGAACAACAATAAGATATTAAAAACTTGAATTGTAAACAGTTCATCTCCAATCGGATTGCTCTTAGCCATTAAATGTTTTAGAGGCTTAGATAATTGAAGAGAAGTCAACGCAAAGGAAAATTGCCCGAAGAGAACCCTGTTAAACGTACGAAGTAAAACAAGTCACGTGCTAAGCTAAGCCTTTAATAGTACACTGTAACCTGCACTTTTATCATTCAGGTGAAATTTAACCTTCCTAATTCTGTAAAAAGCTGAAATAAAGCGCCATCTTACTAACTTCGTTAAAGGTACCGTTGCCGAAAATAGATCAAGTATGAAAGCCAAAACTATAAAATTTATGCACTGCTAACAATAACCAAAGTCCAAGTATATTTTTACCCCATGCCGACGATCTGTGGTCGTGATGGACGTTTTTATCTTTTGATGTTGTTGTTTTCTTAATCTTTGTTACAAAATTGCATTTGAGAGACAGATATTGTAGTAAATATTGCTTATGGGCTTTTTTAAACTCTACACGACACATACATGGCCACCATGCCACATACTCGGGAGGGGCTAGAAATGAAATGGAAGAAACACACAAAAAAAGCCTACTTACCAGTGCTTCTGTTATTTCAGCTTCAGCAATTGCAGACGCAGTAGGCGTAGTCGTATTGCCTTGAATTTCCTTATAGGTGCACAGGCTTAAATTTCCAGCTCCTTGAGGTCCTTGTGGTCCTATTTTTCCGATATCTCCTTTTGGTCCTTGAGCCCCTGGTTCTCCTTTGTCACCCTGAACACCTGTATGACCCTTTTGTCCAGCAGCACCATCAGTACCATTTGCGCCTGCGTCACCTTTCACTCCAGGATCTCCCTTCTCCCCTCGAGGACCCTGATCACCTTTAGATCCATTGACACCATTCGTACCGTTTATGCCAGCATCACCTTTGAGACCAGGTTCTCCTTTATTGCCCGGAATACCTTGGTTTCCCTGTGCACCTTTAGCTCCCTGTGGACCTGTGTCACCTTTAGATCCATTAAGACCTGGAGGGCCTGGGGAGCCTGGAAGGCCGGGAGGACCTGGGGCTTTGCTAATGTTTTGGATCTGGAAAGAATCATATCGGCAAAGAATTTAATCACTTTATAACAGATAATCGTCGAGTTGCAATAGTAAATATATGATAACGACGGTCCAGTTATTCTCTTCATGGACCTAGCTTGAATGAGATAAATGAGGTTTATAATAAGGTAGTTCAAAGCCCTAATGCCATAATATGTTGTCGTATAACGTTATTTTTAATACTTTTTCAGCTTCAGAATATCAGCCAGAGGCTTGATGCTTCCGTACGTTTTTTTGGCGAGCTGTCTTATGTGACAACAACTTCTGATTCAAAAGTAAGTGTTGATTTATACCTTTTATTTTCCTTTTTGTTTTTCCAGAGCCAGCACAAAGGCTCCACTGGTATTGTCAAGGTGCGTTGGACTTCCGAAATCAAATGATTGGCAGTTCGAAGCCGATACTTACTTGAGCAAATAATAAGGAACGTCTATTCCAGACTGCATATGCTCTTGCTTATGTAGCCTGTGAATAGGCCTTCCGGTTTGGGTGAGGAAAAAGGGAAAAGGACAGAGCTCTGACTATTAATGTTACTGCCAGCTACTTATCAGTTCCTGCTTCTAGTAGGTAGCTTGTATATGCTGAGTTTCCCATAAAAGTAAGAGTATTTAATTCGCAGTAATCTTGCAAAAAAAAAATAAACTCTACAAGTCCATCACTATTTAAAAAGCCTTCACAACAAGCTAAATTGTGAACGGAGAAACATTGGTGGGGTCGGCACTTACCTTTGATTCAAAAGTTGTTTCCACTGACATCAAGTCATGGAAGAAACTTGCATTAATGACATTAAGCCTCTCGCTGATATTCTCCATCTAAGAAAAGAAATACAACATTGTAAAAGTCTGCCCTTGAAAAAAGAAACCGACACTGGCTATCACACTTTCGCAGTATGTTGATTGCATTTTATCGTTCAAAGAACATAAAATGAATGTAATTTACAAAACTATAAGTATGACAAAGTTTCCTTATAGTTTAACGTGTTGATACTAGAAAACTCGACTCAACCTTGAAATAGAGCTCAACTGAACACTACTGCCGACGTAGAAAGTATTCTTTGATGCCTAGGTGGTGAGGTTTAACATGCACATCGACGGATCATAAGTATAAAACTGAAGGGAACTCGCTGCGACATTCGCTATACTTAATTGATTTATATGTTACTTCTTGAAAGACCTTTAGATGTAATTTTTCTGTGAGGGCATTTTTATTAGTAAGCTAAGGCATGTGCAACTAACTACCAGAGGCATCCAACGACGGTCTCCTAAATACATTGGAAACTTTGTTAGGCTGTCTCAAGATACGAATTCGATCTACCCAATAAATAATACCCATGAAAGGCGGACTACAATAAATTGTTACTGGGCAATTCGTGTACTATGTGCATGATGACACATTTCCTATGTAAAGAGCACCAAAAATTAACTTACAAATTTCTGCTGTAGGCTGGTCATATTTACTTCCAGGGCGTTTAGCCTGGCCAATGCCTCATTTGTAACACTTTCTTGAAGCTTTTCGAGCGAAGCTGAGGACAGATAAGCATCAGTCTTAATAAGAGGTACTTCCAGGAGAGCATCAAGCTATCAAAGCACCATGAAAGCTATGGGGCTTTCATATTGAACCGAGCGACCACTGAGACCAATTATTGGTCACTACCCTAAAGGACTGATCAAAACCCGAGAACGATCGCAAACATACATTGCCCATGAATATTCGGTGATCGAAGAAAGGTGTTTTTTTAAAAATAAAAGTCAGTAGAGAACTAATATCCCCGTGCTCTTAAGTATTCTCCTTGCTTAGGTTTCATGAATACATTGTAACATATTCTATAAACATTTGATAACTCTTTTTGATTGACAATGTGTAACTTTTGAGACTGTCTAGAGTAGTTCACCTATACAGTTGTACAACGCGCACAAGTTTATGCCTTTTTAACCATCTTGCCCGACTAGAAAAAAGATGTCAGTTACTTTTGAGTTAATGAAACTTATTGACTCTGGACTGGATTGTTCACAAGTAGAACATCGGTTAGAACCGTTTTCACTGGGACGAGAATGCGCCTACCCCGGGGCGCCTTCAAGTTGAAACTGGGCTAGTATTAACGGACACTAGCCTCACTTAAAAATGAATATCCAAAACACAGCAACCACTTTAAATATTAAGCAATGTACAAATCACCATAGCATTAATCCTTGGAAATTGCTTATGCGCAAAAAGAACTACTCGACCAGGCCGATGACTTTCAAGAAATTTAAAGTTATTTACCTCGGTGGCTAACGGTTCCTGTTTCCTCCGATTCCTTACATTTGGTTTTCACAAAAATTACCACCAAGGCAACATTTGTAACTACTAGCAAGAACACCAGTGTTATCAAGGCGATCACCAGTCGTCTGAGAAAGACCTCTTTTGTATTTGCGGTAGTTTTGTGGCCAGCTGCGACCCAACTCTTTCTGTGTGTTAAGACACTAGTTGATCTTTCGTCGGATTTTTCTTCGACTATACTGTCAACACCAAAAGCGGACCTTATTTCATTTCTTTCTTTTTGCAGTTCTTCGTTATCCTTGAGTTCAATCTTGTCAAGGATGTATTTTCTCGGATGGACTTTTTTATTGTCCATTGTCCCTTCAACAAAGTCAATTCGCGGTTTAGCCGCTTGGGGAAGAGCAGATAGTCTCCTCTTTGTATAGTATATATCCATGTGATGCATGTTCCACACAGTTTAAAGCAAATGACTAATTTTCAAGGATGACGGTGAATATTGCTGACTTCATCAAAATTAGCACCCAGACCATAACGTCAAGTCGATTGATTGCAATTGTTTATTGTGTGACAAGAAAAGCAAGCAATGAAACATTTCCTTAGATATAATGGCAAATATACCGGATTCATACAAAAATAAACTGCTCTTGCTAATTTCTTCTTTTGTATTGAAACAAAAACACTGCTGACTAATTGTTAATGGAAGTAAATTTTGATCTTTTGTTCCATAAAGCTTTCACAATCTGATCCTAAATTCCAGCAAATTAAATCCGAAATATTTGCTTTTTTATGGGAGAAAAATTGGAGCAAGCACTCGTTCGCAGCCACCCTAATTCTTTGGGGAGAAGGCCGGTGTAAGTGGCATGAAAATGTGTAGAAAAGAGTGTTTCGCTCTTGTAACGTGTGAAATCTATCAAGCTGTTGCTCAAACAAGTCATTATCGCTCCTTAAAAGAAGAGTGATTAACGCTGTACCCTAACATTATGATCTGTCATCATGATATTATCACCTTGAGTCTGCGTCATAACAGCAAGATGCTATAAAGAAATATAAAAAAAAAAGAAAAATTCAGCGTATCAATTCGTTCGACAAACCCCTCGACTTCTCTAACATTCTGTTGTACTCGTTTAAAGGCGGTGACCGCGTGATGCTAATGGCAATAAGCTTAAAAAGATGTCTTGGTCTTGCACTTTTATTGAATTTTCAATCACGAAAATGTTAAATAATTCTGCCGGCAGTTTGAAAGCGTCCTCATGCGAAAAAAAAACCCTTCAATGAGATTTTAGCACAAGGTCTCGCCCAAAATGATAGGGTTGAAAAAACTTAAAAGCATTTCACATTCCTAAATATAAAATTTATCGTCCACTCCATTTTACGGATCCTTGACTTCAATTTGATACTTTGGAATGCAATTGAATCCAACGTAGCTTGCAAATATTTTGCCCGTCTTGGTGAGGAGAATTTGCTTAAAAATCAGGACATTTCACACCTCCCTTTTTTTCCATATTTCTCGAGGTCAAACGCCGAATTCTGGCTGCTGTGTTTAGAAAACAGACAGGAGAAAAAAGGACACGCAAGCGATGGGGCCGGGAGGTGATGTGTCCTACACGCCCCTTCCCATCCACGAGCTATTAGTACCTCTCTCCAGGCTAGGGGGATTGACAACAAATCAAAACAGCAGCCTTTCGAACTCGCCATTTGCTTTCAATGTTCATACAGAAAAAAGGAATACTAACAGTTTACTTCGATCCATTTTATTTCAAAATAAAAATGTACTTCCAATTCCTTGAAGACAGCTGTGGATACGGTCAAACTATCTGGTACAAGATTATTGAAATGCATAAAATAAAAAGAATTTGTTTTAATTTAATGACTTTAAAAACAATTACTGAAAGCGATCGTATGAGACAAATTCTATAAAATGCAACGCCTTTTTAATTTTCAACTGCAAAAATAAGAGAAACGTCTTGGACAATAAGAAATAAAGGTTTAAGCATTATTTACAATTTCGTTAGCCTTGGGTTCTAAAATAAATTTACCGTTCAATTCCGTTGAATCACCTTTTTCATGACTCATGCAGCCTTAGAGGTTCGCATACGTAAAGATTATAAAGGGACTTAAGGTAACATTAGAGTGACCAACATCTGTTTTCTCCTTGCAATATCAAGACATAACAAAGAGAAAAGGTTTTGAGAATTAATAAAATGATGATCTTTTACTAAAATTCTCCAAGGAAATGTATGGAGATCAGTATGGAGAATTTGTATAAGGACTCGTAGGGGCTTAACATCAGTGCTTAATGGATAATTCTACTGTTTTTCGCTAACCATGAGCTTATAACTATAATATGGTAATGAAAGCGAAACACCGCTCCGCTTGCATTGACAAAAACATCACTCATTAGTTTCGTAGCATTATAACTCAGACCTTCATACAAACTGGGACAGACTTAAAAGAAAAGCTGGCCGCACTTTAAATGATAAGTAAGTTAGTCTATCAGTCAAATCAATCCTTTCTATATTTCGACAGATAGAAGTAGATCCAGGTCAACCCTGCGAACTTTTGGTATTTAATAATGATGAAAACTCCTGAACAGCAGAAATATCTTGCCTCAGGCCCTTTTATACAACCTGATTCCGGGCTACTCCCATTTTCCAAGGTAAAAACCCGAGAGACGAGTATCTTGAACAAAAAGGCAGTTGCAGTGTACCCTCCCGTAGGGACATCCCTCGGGACCAGGCGTAGATGTCCGATGATGGGAGGTTGAAAAGACCACTAGGACATCGTGGGGCGAGTAAAACATTTTGATAGAAAGAAATTGCTTACTTCCATGAATTCTCATTCTACTTACGTATATAACGAAAAAACTACACTTCCTGGCTAATCTAACTGTTCCCCCAGGAAGTATTTTTTTTTTCAGTGGAGGTTGACTGTAGTTAAGACTAATTTTAAATAGAAAAGAAAAGCGCTAGTTCAAGTAAAGATCGTATCGTTGAGGACATGGCTATGGGGCATGAATTGGGCACGCCCAGTAATTTAGGGCACAGTATGGTGTGGAACCATTTTGTAAACACCTGAATGAATACACATTGTGATCTGGCAGCGATCGTATCAGTTGAAGTGCAATACGCTCCAATGACCTTTGTATTCTGTGAAAATAGAAATAATATACTGTTAAAGATACTTCAGCTATAAGGCACCTACAGTATCTCTGCTTTGGTATTTCTAACTCATTATTAATTCCATCCTGGTATAGTTTTAAACTGGCCAAACTAAAACATTTTTGTGTATGTACAAATATAGCACCTTTCGGGTGTCTACAGGCCGTAGCCACAGGGAAACTACCAAAGAGAATAACTGCACCTGCACATTGAAAGCAAATAGTCTCTGAATTTCACTTCCAGGTCTACCATGTTGCCAAGTCTACCATGTTAATGGCGCATTCCAACATCAGAACTGGCCACCCGGACGAGTATTAAACAGTGCTTTTTAAAGAGTTTTCCCTTAAGACTGTCGTGCATATCATCGTAGAGTTAAGTGATCTGGCGTGAGGTTTTTTTGATTGATAGTGAAATTCTTTTTATGACTGGAATAGTCTGGCCAGCCAATAGTCTACGCTCGATAGATTAAAATTCTAACATAACTCCGAGGCTTTCTGGTCATATCTATATTGGTTTGGTGTTTTTGTGCTCAAGGCTCTTCAGGAAAATGCGACACAATGTAGTCGTGAAAAATTTGCAATTTTGACCATAAAGCCTCCGAGCCATGTTCAAATTTTTAAAATATATCGTATGTGGGATATTCTGAGTTATGGTGCGCGTCCTTAGAATCTCTAAACTGCGGAGAAACAGTAACATTTCAAAGTCCAAACCGCTTCCAGGAAGAGGCTCTTTGAGTGGTATGGTCACCCTTTTGTCTCTCAAACTCTCCGCGTTTCTCTCCGCGTCCGTTCATCCTTTCTCAAAAACGATAATAGAGACTGTTATGGACCGCCATACTGGAGAGTTAGGAACGCGCTGAGACAAGACAAACAAAGAGCTAATACCACTAATAATGGTAATTTGCTTTGTCCTCTTCTCCCAGTGCGTCTCCGCAACGGCCTATTTGAAGGCTGAAGACGCCTGGAATGGTAACAAAAACTTGTTATCGAAGATACAGCTGCATGTGACATGCGTACCTATGTAGTTAGAGGGCATTCCCAGTAGTGAACTTTGCACCACATTGGACTGGCTACAAACAAGGATGATTGACCCCTGCAAGTGCAACGATACTTGTATTGTTGTCCATCTGATACTCTTTGTAGATTGTACTCTTTAGCGTTGTTTGTAGAGCAGGAAACGCCCAGAATTTTCTTGCCCTGCACACCAAGAAAAAAAATTTACAGGAGAAAATGTGATTATTCAAGCAACAACAACAACAACAACAATAATAATAACAATAATAATAATAATAACAAAATTTACAAGAGTTGATTACGGTATAAAATGTGCGTCATATAAACAACACTTAAAGTCCAACATTGTAACTGTACATGAGCGAGTCCGCATGTGAGTCTCCAATTTTTATTTTACAATTACATATTAGAATGCTACAACAACTAAAACTTTAAGCAGTGACCTCAAGCTTTTAATATTTTGAATGGATTCATAATTGAGTAAATAGCTATAATATATTACCTTTACTGTTTTTTAACAATTATTCCTCGAGCCCGAATGGGCTCTGAGTGAGGGGTTATTGACTCAGAGGCCATGAGGGCTCGAGGAGTAACTGTTAATTAGTAAAATCCAACTAGTTGGTCAAAAATATCGAGAATAAAAAAATTTTAGCTAGGTAAAAGCTAGACTTTAATCCTTTTTTGCCGCCAAAAAGCCCGCGCTTTTCGCTACTAGTGGGCTATAACATATAGCCTAGTAGTAGCTCAACCAATCAGAACGCAGCATTGATAATAGACCACCAGTTGGATTTTACTAAAAGTAGTTACATATACGCAGAAAAGACAAAATCATGATCACGTTTCCTTGACAGTAGTGCAGTAGAATTGAAGGGAAACGAAAACCAGTTCGAGTAGGGGGGAATTCGAGTTATCGGGCCGGAGTAAATTTCAATGAAATTTTGATCAAAGGAAAGGAAACTTAGTTCCTAGTTAGCCGGAAATTCGTGTTATCCGAGTTCGAGTTATCGAGGTTCTACTGTATTGACACAAGCGTTCTAATCGATTCAGAAATATAAATTTATGGAATACGATATAAAAAATAAATATCCTGAAGAATACTCGACCGTCGATAAAGTAGGAAGTGAAAAACTTTTAGAGAGGAAATCCTGTTTCGTGTAGAATTAATCGCCCTCCAGACTGCGAGCAGTCTCTTATTTCTCTTTTGAGTCACATTATGTCGAGAACATAATTTTACTTTTTCGCTCGCCGCGCGTGGCTCGATCTGAGGAAAGAAGGACGACCGCTAGCTTTCTAATCGCCTCCTCATTTCTATCTTATCTTCAAGCAAGCCAGACTTTCTGCTATTAAGAGCGTTCTTGTTTCCTTTGGCATAGCATAGAGAGCGAAATACGCGACAGCCCGTGAAAATCCCCACCCACAGAAGAAAGGCGTCGCGCGAGAGAGAAGAGAGATACTTCCCCCTATCTGTTACCCTCCCTGTCATTTTTCATGCACGCTTGAGTATCATTAATCGCTCTGTTATTCGCGATGAAAAAAGGAACTTCTCATAGTTTACAACGCCACAAGATTTGCAAGTGTTAAATGTACCTGAAATGGTAAAAGAAATGAAAGGACTAACCGCTGTCTCAAAAACTTGAGCATTAGATGTTGCCACACTACCAGGTGAAACCGTAGCTCCTTGTTTCTCCTTATAACTACACTGGCTGAAGTTTCCTGCTCCTTGAGGTCCCTGTGGTCCTATTTCTCCTTTACTTCCTTGGGGTCCTTGAGGCCCAGGATCTCCTTTGTCACCCCGAGGGCCTGTATCACCTCTTATTCCGGCAGCACCGTCGGTACCATTAAATCCCCGATCGCCTTTGACCCCAGGATCTCCTTTGTCCCCTTGAATACCTTGGATTCCCTGTGGTCCTAAGGGTCCTGCAGAACCTGTGTCACCTTTTGATCCTTGAGCTCCCTGCGGTCCTTGATTCCCTGGTTCTCCATCAGTGCCATTAGCTCCTCTATCACCTTTGACGCCAGGTTCTCCTTTATCGCCCTGAAGACCCTGCTTTCCTATTGGTCCTTGGGCTCCTTGTTGACCTGTGTCACCTTTAGATCCACTTAAACCTGGAGGGCCTGGAAGGCCTGGAGGACCTTGCACCTCACTAATGTTTTGGATCTAGGAAGAATGCGCCAATAGAAAACTGAAGCCTTTTGGAAAATTATTTACCGTCAATGTGTTTGGATGTACATCTAGGGAATCTTAGGTTTTTCCAGGTAAAGTTCTCGCGACACATGCTCAGAGCCTGTGCACATGTATACATGTACTTTATGATGCGTATATTTAGAAAACGCACCTCGTTTAATTAACTAAAGACTGACAATATCGCCGGCTACTTTTTTTTTCTGATATCACTGTAAACACACGAGTTATGATATTCTCTCTTTTAAAGGTGACTACTGTGTTTTTACACCGTCTTATTTTGCACATTCCATTTCCAAAACTGAACATCCTGTGCTATGCTGAAAGTGTGCCGAAGTTTTACTTTGCGCAAGCTTAATGACAGAAATCTGCTTCGGTTAAATGAAGCAACTGCAACTGAATTTATATTCATAAATTCGTTCAGGAGCCCATAACCGGAGCAAGCAGCTGTCACGGCGTACTGATTCGTTGTAGCACTTACCTCTGACGCGACAATGTGTGATATATTTTTCTGCATCTCTTGGAGTTGAGCTATAAAGAGAAATCTTATATTATGTTGTTTACGTTGCAGTCGTGCAATTCAAGAAGCGCTAGAATTGCTTCTTGAACCTAAAAATATATGTTATGTAGACAAATCTCTCTACTTTCGAAAGCAAGTTTAATGCAGAGAATTCTGTCGCCAGAGGCAATTATTCGTAACGAACTTTTGACCATGTAAATAGGACTTAAACCAACTTCAAAACGTTTTCTATGAGTTAAGAAAATAGCATCTTTAAACCTTTAAAGGAAAAATGAAAGAAAAAAGAAAGAAAATGGTGCCAACATGTTTATGTACCGTACCTGAAGTGGTGTGTATGCAAATAAATAAATCAAAGACGTGCTTGGTTGACGATGAAATGTAATCAATTATACAATAAAAACCAGCGACTAAGAAACTAGTTTTTAAGAACTCGTTAGGCTAAAATTTTTTAGTTAGGCCCCCTCTATAGAAGAACCCGACGCGTGTTTAGCCTAAAATTTGAAACAGGTTTTTTTTTCTAAAAACTAGAAAAAATTCTGTACACTTGGACAAATAAGGAAAGTGAACATTCAGGGTTCTCTTTGGAGACGTAGGTTCCTTGTTACTTCAGCTGCAATTGTAATAGTATACAGTGTACAGGTTTTACCTGAGGAATGATTATAAGCTGAATACCGCTAAATACTCTTTTAGCTACAATGTATTTTTTTCTTCGCAAAATAAGAACCTATTTAAGGACCGTAAATAACCTAAATTTGTGTTAATTACCATTTATGTAATAACCTGTTTAGGTTAAATTGGAAAAATGCAGGATCCTAGTTGTGTGTTTTTACTTCCTACCCGGACACCAATCTCCTATTGTGTGACTCATCACTACAAAAAACGAGCCCCCCTTGTGTACCTTGGACGGCAGCATTACTAACACAATCTGCAGAGCATCTCAAGGAGTCCGTAGTATTTTGGGAATTCATCACACTTAATGCTAAAGCTAAAGAAGCAGCAGCAGTCAGGAGCGAAATGATCGCCACGGCAGTAACAATGTACAACATTCGCTGGAGTTTAAGAAAATTCTCTTGGCAGAACTGAGAAGGTTCTGTCGATGGCGTCCCTCCTTTGTCAGGGGTCACGTCGTCATATGTTTCTGCGTCGTCATCCGTTTGTTTGGATTCTATGATTTCGACGTAAGGGTTTTCTTCTTCCATCGTTGTTTCCTCCATGGCTATATTATCCATGGTGAAATCGAATTTCAGACACCAACTCTACTGGGAATTTTGATAATTGATCTGCGCAGCGCGAGTTACAGATTAGATGAAGTACTAAAAATTACTTCAGTATCTTCATGTGATTGGTATTCATTGGTCGATCTGAGCCAAATATCCATACTGATTCATCATTTTCACATAGACCATCATCATGATCATGCATCTTTTTTACCTCCCAAAGTTTTGCATAACCATCGTTTTCAATTTCTCCTGGGTATTACAGTCGTCCCAAGAGAATACAAAGAAAATAGTTATGAGGTGTGAACAAGGTGTATTACGGTCTATGTGAATTTTCCTTTAATTTCAACGGTGTCGTCGCCATGATCGAAAGTGAAACCTGAATTTAAAAAGAACTGTTCCTTTTGTCGCATGCAGAAAAAGGTTAAATGAGAATTTATCGAGACATTATTTAGTAGTTTGTTGTTCCACTGATGTAAGCGCCAAGAATCTCTTGCCTTTATCTGTAGTGTTCTTTTGGTGTTCGTGGCGTAATTAGTGTAGTTTTTTTTGGTTCATTGGTCGTTCATCGTTCGCGTAGCTTTGTTTTTTTTTTTTTGCATATTTAACAATTAGTTCATGCGTCAGGGTGCGTATGTCGAGATATTGACGATATTGATATTGACACGGGAAGTTTGGAGAGCACGAAAGAGGCGTTCTGCACTTTCCAGAAGTTAATAGAAAAACAAGAAACAATATAAGCAACAAAATTTGTTACTCCCAGGCCAATCCAATACTCTCCATGATTTAATCATGGAGAGTATTGGATATGGCCTGGGAGTAACATATGTCCGCCGAAGGTGCGTATAACTGTGTATATATAAACACTTGGAGAGTTTGCCAGTACACGAGTTCACAAGTCTTTCATTGGGAACCTTGCCAGACACTCTTTCTCCCTCTTTGACCGGAATAAGACTCAGCCCCAAACAAGGAGGACGAGTGAACAACGGCTAGCTTCTCATTAGCAGAATGATGGACAATTACAGAAATTCGCCGACAATCAAATTCTGTGCTGACTTATTCCCTGCTCACAGATTTCCTTCCGCTATAAAGTTTAAAATAAGACAAATGCGCGACCCTGAATTGATCAAACGTCCTTTTAATCTCTAAGGCTTAATTTCCGGCAAATAAAATGAACTGAATGTAAAAAGTCAAAGAGAAATAGCGAAAAATTCAACTTGTAATTAAATATTTTCTTATGGTTCAGAATAAACAATTCTCGAAACTGAGAAAGTTTTGATCAAAGTGTAAATCGAACTGAAACTGTGCATGGAACCTTGCGTTTCCTGTATTTATCTCACCTGTTGTATGGAATATGTGTGAAAATCTTCATTTATATGAATCGGTATATTTCAAAGGCCTAGCAAGAATACTATAAATGCCGGGGCCATTTAGGCTCCTGTCAATGCTAATTCTACTTTCGTATATAACGAAAGAACTACTGACACTTCCTGACTAATCTAACCGTGTCATTTATCTGTTACAATCCCTTTTTGTCCAGATATTAAAATATTAACACCTTCTGACTCTGGTGAATTTATCACGAGACTACGTCCACTTATTAGACATGTGTTCTTTTGGTTGAGGAACACTTCGGGGACAGCATTTTTTTGGTACGTTTAGGGGAGGTATTTTTCTGTTGAGGTTGACTGTAGTTAAGACTAATTTAAACAGAAACGTGCCAGTTCAAGTAAAGAACGTTTCAGCGAGACCATGGCTATGGAGCATGAATTGGGCATGCCCAGTAATGCAGTGCATAGGGTGGATTAAGACTTGAGTTTTTACACTTGCATGAATATACATTGTGATTTGGCGGCGATTGTATTCGTTCTTGCAAAGTTAGATTCTGTGCCAGCATCAGTTGATGTGCAATGCTCCAAAAATGACATTTGTATTCTGTAAAAATAAAAAAGGCATAATATACTGTTAAAGATCCTTCAGCTATAAGGCACCTAGTGTCTCTGCTTTGGTATTTCTAAATACTCTTCCATCCCAGTATAGTTTTAAACTGGCAAAACTAAAACAACTTCGTATATGTACAGATAAGGCACCTTTCGGATGTCTACAGTGCCGTAGCAACAAGGAAACTACCAAAGAGAATAACTGCACAGCAAAGCGAATAGTCATAGTCAGTTTCAGTCCTACCATGTTGCCAAGTCCACCAGATTTAGGGCGCGTTCCAACATCAGGACTGGCCACCCGGACGAGTATTGAACTGGGCTTTTGAAAGAGTTTTCGCTTAAGAATGTCGTGCATATTATTGTAGAGTAAAGTGATCTGGCGTGAAATTTTTGATTGATTGTGAAATTCGCATATATGATTGGATCGGACTAGTCTGGCCAGCCGATAGCCCACGTTCGATAGATTAGAATTCTAGCACAACTCCAAGGCTTTCTGGTCATATTTTCACATTTGGTTCGGTGTTCTTTGTGCTCAAGGCTCTTCAGGGAATTGCGAGACTATGGAGTCGTAAAAAATTTTCAATTTTGACCTTAAAGCCTCGGAGTCATGTTCGATTTTTTAAAATATATCGAATGTGGGCTATTCTGACTTATGGTGCACGTCACTAAAAATCTCTAAAATGCGGCAAAACAGTGACATTTCAAAATCCGGACCGCTTCCAGGAGGAGGCTCATTGAGTGATACACCCACCCTTTTGTCTCTCAAAATCTCATACGTCTCTCTCGGTGTCCATTAATCCTTTCTCAAAAAGGATAATAGAGCGGTAGTAGGCCCATTAACATGGTACAGAACCGTCTTATTGCTGGATAGCAAGGGACGCTTTGGGACAAGACAAACAAAGAGCTAATACCACTTATAATGGTAATTTACTTTGTCCTCTTCTCCCAGTGCCTCTCTCCAAGGGCCTACTTGCAGCCTGAAGACGCATGGAATGGTAACTAAAATGTTTCATCGAAGATACAGCTGCATGTGACATGCGTACCTATGTAGTTAAAGGGCATTCCCAGTAGTGAACTTTGCACCACAGTGGACTGGCTACAAACACGGATGATTGACCCCTGCAAGTGCACAAATACTTGTTTTGTTGTCCAACTAATACTCTTTGTAGATTGTACTCTTTAGCGTTGTTTGTAGAGCAGGAAACGCCCAGAATTTTCTTGCCCTGCACACCAAGAAAAAAAATTACCGGAGAAAATGTGATTATTCAAGCAACAACAACAGCAATAATAATAATAACAATAATAATAATAATAATAATAATAATAACAAAATTTACAAGAGTTGATTACAGTATAAAATGTGCGTCGTATAAACAACACTTAAAGTCCAACATTGTAACTGTACGTGAGCGAGTCCGCCTGTGAGTCTCCAATTTTTATTTCGCAATTACATATTAGAATGCTACTACAACTAAAACTAAAATAAGCTGTGACCTCAAACTTTTAATATTTTCAATGGATTCATAATTGAGTGAATAACCTTACTGTTTTTGTTAGGTATTGTTCGTTACACAGAGGCCGAAAAGGTTAACTTAGTTACCTTCCCTGTATTGTTCGGTTGTCAGATTGCGTCATTAAGTTTTGTTTGTTGGTATTCAGATTTGAGTATTCGATATTGGGATGGAATATATGTAACAACTACGCTTAGAGAATTTTTCGCGCTGGCTTCTAAGAAAAACAAGGAAGCATTGCGAATCACCATACCACTAGAGTAGGCGAAGGGAGTTCCTTATTAGTCTCGCTTGCTTTAGCAAGGCGTTTCTTTCCTCTTTTTCTTTTTCGTGTGTGCGTGCCAAAAGGGATCACGGTCCCAGGCGTTCTTAGCGAAGACCGTGGAAACTTAGGATAAGAATCACGGTGTGAAGAATTAGCCATGCATGGAATAGAACGCTTCGAAGATGTCAAGCTTTTCCTCAATGGGTCGGTCCACGAATTCTATTGCTTGAAAGCGTTGATAATATCTTTGAAACAAGTGATTACTCTTAATGAGCAAAACTTCTATGGTGAGGCTAACTAGTCGAGTGTTCTAAACTTTCATTATATGCCAATGAGTCTTGGGATGAACATTTTCGGCGACAATTCTGACGCGCCATGTTCATCACGTTTCCTTGATTTTCGTGTACTGTAGACTGGTAACTCAAAACGAAAACCAGTTCGAGTTAGCGGGGAACTCGATTTTTCGCGCTCGAGTTATCGAGGCTCTACTGTATTTACACACGCTTTCTAATTAATTCAGAAACAAATCTTCGAATACGCTATTAAAAGTAATTATTATTCATTCAAAATATTTTCCTGATTCTGATTGGCTAAAAGCACACGTTTTATTCACCATAACCAGTTACTGATGACCAAATTTGGAAGAATTTTGTGTTTAACGAGGAAATGACGTAAAAAATGCAGCGTTTTCGTAGGTTAAGGCACCGTTAATCGAGAAGACCTGGGGACGAGGTTGAGTTGTTTTGTTTGTGAACTTGAAAGATGGCGGACATTTCACTCGTTTCAAGAGTAAGAACTAGGCGAAACAATAGCTAAAAACATGGTAAGAACAGCAAGAAGACAACTTGAAGGGCGACATATGCTATTTGGAGAATATTTGCGGAGCTGGACAAACCTAAACGTGTACTATCGAAGATGAACTTAACATCGATGGATCGATGGAGGTAAGCATGTTTTAGCCATGTTTTTAAACTAGGAATTATTTTGAATGAATAATAAAACAATTATTGAATTCGGCTTTCGTATCTTATGAGGAATTATGGAGATCGAGGATACTCAAGATACTCAACCTCATTCATTAATTGTTAAATATCCGATCCTGAAGAATACTCGACCGTCAACGAGGAAATTCTGTTTCGTGTATAATTGATCGCTTCCTAAACTGCAAGCAGTCTCTTTCTTCTGAGTCACAGTAGGTTAAGAACATAATTTTACTTTTCCGCTCGCCGCGCGTGGCTCTGGGAAAGAAGGACTACCGCTCGCGGTCTAATCGCCTCATTATTTCTTATCTTGTCTCCAAGCAAGCCAGACTCAACGTTATTAAGAGCGTTATTGTTTCCTCTGGCATAGCATAGCGAGCGAAATACGCGACCGCCCGTAAAAATCCCCGCCCACAAAAGAAAGGCGTCTCGCGGGAGAGGAGAGAGATACTTCCCCTGCCTGTTACCTTCCCTGTCATTTTTCATGCGCGCATGCGTATCATTAATCGCTCTTTTATGCCCGATGAAATAAAGAACAACTCATAGTCTTCAACGCTACACAATTTGTAAATGTTAAATGTACTTGAAATGGTAAAAGAAATGAAAGGACTAACCGCTGTCTCTGAAACATCAGCCTCAGCACTTGCCACACTACCAGGTGAAACCGGAGTTCCTTGTTCCTCTTTATAACTACACTGGCTGAAGTTTCCTGCTCCTTGAGCTCCCTGTGGTCCTGTTTCTCCTTTAATTCCTTGCGGTCCCTGAGGTCCAAGATCTCCTTTGACGCCCTGGGGGCCTGTATCACCCATTTGTCCAACAGCACCATCGGTTCCATTTACGCCTGCCTCACCTTTCACACCAGAATCTCCCTTCTCCCCTCGAACACCCTTATCCCCCTTTGTTCCATTGGCACCATCGGTACCATTTATCCCGGCATCACCTTTGACACCAGTCTCTCCTTTGCTCCCGGGAAGACCTTTATCACCCTTCTGTCCTGTAACACCATCAGTCCCATTAGTTCCTCTATCACCTTTGACTCCAGGTTCTCCCCTAGTCCCCGAAGGACCTATGTCACCCTTTTGTCCAGCAAAGCCATCAGTGCCATTAGCTCCTCTGTCACCTTTGTCCCCAGGTTCTCCTTTATCGCCCTGAAGACCCTGCTTTCCCATTGGTCCTTGGGCTCCTTGTTGACCTGTGTCACCTTTAGATCCATTTAAACCGGGAGAGCCTGGAAGGCCTGGAGGACCTTGCACCTCACTGATGTTTTGGATCTAGGAAGAATGCGCCAACAGAAAATTTAAGCCTTTTCAAAAATTAATTAACCGCCATTAAGTTTCGACGTACATCTAGAGCGTATAAGTTTTTTAAGGTAAATTTGTCGCGACACATGCTCAGAGCCTGTGCACATGTATACATGTATTTTATTATGTAACCTGATAAAAATGGAAAAAACGACTCTTGCCGATATTTTGTCTTTATTATGCTTATATTTACAAAACGCACCTCGTTAAGACTGACAATATCGCTGACTCTTTAATTCTAATACTACTGTAAACAGACGAGTTATATGATATTCTCTCTTTTAAAGGCGACTACGGTGTTTTCACCCCGTCTTATTTTTGCACTCTCAAATCCAGTCCTTTCCAAAAGTGAACGTCCTGTGCTATGCTGAAAGTGTGCCACAGTTTTAGTTTGCACAATATTAATGACAGAAATCTTCTTCGGTTAAAAAAAAGCAACTGTAACTGTACAGTCATTAAAACTCATCTACTAGATGTTGCTCAGCAATCCCTCTCTCAAATTTTCAGGCTATCATCCTATTGCACTATTAGCTGCTGCTACAGCTATATCGCCGTTCATGCACCTGGAAAGGTAGATTTATAAACAGCGCTGAATTTGAAATATTCCTTCCTTTAGAACTAGCATGTTGTAAAGAACAGGCTTTCAACTACCTATCGGTGGAGCTTTTTGAATAAGTCCGACAAGTTCAACTCGACCATAATTCTTGCCACAAAAAAGTAACTCATAGTAAAAAGCAAAACTTGCCTTTGAGCTGAAAGTTGTTCTCAAAGAAGACAACTCTTGAAAGAAACTTCTATTGATAGCAATAACAGCCGCTTCAAGTCTTTGACTGATGTTCTGTGTCTACATACGTGATATATTTGTAAGTAACTGAATGAGAAAAGCAACAACAATGTACGGTAACATTATATGGCCATGTGATGATGATGATGATAATAATAATAATATGTATATGTTGTAGTTAATTTTTTATCTTAGGTAATTTTCGTTTTTCTTTTGTTTTTGGGTATGGTAATGTAACTATGCTAATGAAGTTAAAACAAAATTAAAGAAAAATAAAAATTACCTGACATAAAAAATTGACTACAACATAATTATATTTATTTACTTTATACTTGTACAGTGCAAAATGGCAGTCCCGTTTTGGAGTCCAGTGCGCTCTAAACGGGAGCTGAAGTTCTTTCACGATTATCTGGACTTGACCTCCCTTGTCCCTTTTCTGAAATGAGCCTCCCGAACAGTGAGGTTTTTTTTTTTTCATTAAAAACTTGTCTGTTTCCAGTCATGCGTTGTGCTTCATTATTCTCGGAAAGTCAGTTCCACTGAGAAGATAGTTAAGCATTTTTCAACGTGAATAAGGAAAGTCAGACAGATTGTTCTTTATACCAACACTAACCTTTGATTCAAAATCTGTTCCCACTGACATCAACTCTTGGAAGAGAGTTGAATTAATAGTACTTAAAGATGCGTTGACGCTTTTGAGGATATTCTCCATCTGAAATATACCATATTAAGGACATTATTGACCCTTGCACAATCCTTCATAAAATACTTTAGCAGTATGACAGGTGGCAATTTGAAAAAACTGTTAAAATTCAGGCCCGGGTTGCTCGAAGCATGGTTAGTGCTAACCAGCGTTAAATACCATGGAAACCTATACATTTTGATACCTCTTAACCAACGGTTAGTGCTAACCAGGCTTCGAGCAACCGGCCCCAGACCTACTACGGGAAGAGATTTGGAAGCCCGATCAGTGGCTTTTTTCTCCGAGGTTTTAAAATGATTTTGAGCCAGAATTGCTGTCCTTCAGTATCTGTTCATTTATTTCTAAGGTACATTCTTGCAAATTTGGGTGGCAGCCGGTTCCTATAGTTACGGAAAATGAGTCACATTTATTATAACCAGCCCGAGTGTCAAAAGTAAATTCCTCATCATTTGTTCCTGTACATTTCCCTCAGAATCAGTAGGGAGAAGATGCTAAAGTATCTGTTAAACTCATCTGTGTAGACAAGTTCGTAATTCACGTGTGGCTACTCTAATTACTCTTAGGGCTTAAAGGAGTAAATGACTGGTTGTCGGCATTCTTAAGTAATAATCTCTGTCAGTGGTTTGCAGTAGTTGCGCTAAAACTTATCGAAGAGTACCAAACGAAAAACGAAAAATACCTGATTTAATCTGAATTTTCAGTAAAATGCAGACCTAAATCTATCTTGTAGAGGCAAAACACAGGCTATATATTTTGCGTTTATCTTTCGAAAAGGCCTCCCAGGTGGTACAAAAAGCAAACACACAAGGTGGGGGTATGAATTTGCTTGCTTTTTCAAGAGTAAAAAAATCCTTTTTCTATGTATATATAAAAAGTAGTTAGGTTCATTTTCAGACTTCGTGCAGTAAATACGTATGGGCGTGAGTCGACAAAAGCATGGAATGGTTACTTAGTGCGCAGAGCGTAGTGTGAAAAGTAACGTGATAAAGTTGTGCAGTGTAATTCTGAACCTTCCAATGCGAACTTATAACATCGAAAGTAGAAGTTAATTTTAAAGGACATTTGTACCTTAAGCTCTAATTCGTCAGTTTCTTTACACTTTGCTTCAAAAGATCGTAGAAAGCACTGACGCGGGAAAATTAAATCTCTTGTTTTTTCTTCCTAGTTTGAGGAGACAAAAAACAGTGATAACTGATAACTGACATTCAAATTATGAACCTAAGGATCAATTGTAAAGTTTTAATTGCTATCTATATGGAAGATTAACATAGCGTGACTCTACGTCATGGCTCTTTCCTATGACGTACGGAGATCTGGTGAAAAGAAAGCATTTCTGTACCGGTTGGCAAATACTTATATATATATATATATATAAGACGCTCTTTCGCAGTTTTAAACATTGTATCAAAGCAGCGTTTTCCCTCCATATATATATATATATATATATATATATATATGGAGGGAAAACGCTGCTTTGATACAATGTTTAAAACTGCGAAAGAGCGTCTTAACTACATAATAACTTTTTTGGTCCTTTAGGTTTCTTGAACAGTGTAGCCTGCGTTGCATGGCGGTTTTGGTTGGGTGCGCAAAGTAAATAAAGGCCTGCGAGGACAGAGAAACCGCGAGGAGATTGGGTCGTTCGCGCGCACTTTGCGGCCGCTTTTGCAACTTTGCCGCTCAGTCGTGCTCCCTACAAAACCGCCATGCTACGCAGGCTATGAACAGTGTGGCAGCGTTATTCTTTAGGAACTGCCGGCCGGCTTTGTCTTACACAGCTAAGCCTCAGTGCGTTGGTTCATTTGGGGTTAAATCACAGAAAAGAAGTCTCTAACCTTTAAATGACTAAAGAGGAACATTAAAGTCAGATACTTCAAAAGACGAACGTACCAGATCTTGCTTTAGGCGTGTCATATTCACTTCCAGGGCGTTTAGTCTATCCAGTGCCTCATCACTACGAACGGTTCCCTGCAGCTTTTCAAATGAAGCTAAAAAGAAGGCATCAGTCACTTTTATGCTTAGCACTTTAGCTTTCACGTAATTAATGAAGTTAGCCATATAACAACGGCTGAAGGTCGAATGAGCTATTGACCCAGAGAGGCCATGAGGGCGAGAGGAATAATTGTCTAGTAAACTCCAACTTAAACTGGTCAAAAATATTGAGACAAAACAACTTTAGCTAGCAAAACGCGATTCAGTCGCCACTGTTTTGGTTTTCAAAGCCGGCGCTTTTCGCTACTAGTGGGCTGTAACATATAGCCTAGTAGTGGCTCAACCAATCAGAACGTAGCATTGATAATAGACCACTAGCTGGATTTTAATAAAAAGGGATATCGTAAACTCTACCACTTATGGTTCCGTAAGAGAATGATTCGAAAGGTTACTAAGATCATTCCTCGATGCATGACTTCTTTGATGGCTTAGTTATGCGAGTTTATGCCGACAACTGTTAAACAATAGCTGGAATGTAACTTTTGCATGGAGTCGAATATTTACTTGACATTTACCTTGTTGATTATCAGTCCCTGTTTCTGGTTCCGATTCTTTACATTTGGATTTTACGAGAGCTATCACCAAGGATACCACGACAACTACTAGTAAGATTACTAGTAGTATTAAGGCGATTACAAGCCGTTTAAGAAAGAATTCTTTTGCATTGGCAGTTTGAAGCCCAGCTTCAACTCTCTTTCTTTGTGCACGTGTCGCGATACCTGCTGCTTCTTCGTCGGATTCATCTTCGTCTAAACTTTTACCAACTCTAGAAGCGGATCTTTCATTTGTTTCGTCCTTGTCGTCGGCGTTCTCAAGCACGTAGCTTGTTGGGTATACCTTTCTAGTCGCCATTTTTGTCTAGCTGAGACGTATTAAGGCTAAAACCTTTCAACCTTGAAAAGCAACTTGACATTCCAGCTGTGCGATGTAAATAATTTGTATTATGCTGACCTTGCCCGAATGGGAAATGAAAGCTCGATCGTCCGTGATGATAATCCATTTGGACTTCATGTGTCATGAAATGGCCTTATTGGTCAAAACTTGGAACTAAGACGTAATGAACCATTCCACGCATTGAGCGAAAACCGTATAGGTCGTTCGATTGTCAATTATGTAAAGCAAGGCTAAGCAAAACCTTTCCACGTACTTAGTGGCGTACATAATGTTTTTTTGAAAGAATTCTACCGGGGTACTTTTGCATTTTGATTACAAAATCATTCTGATTTTCACTACCGGCATACATTGCCTGTGTGCAATCTTGCAAGTAAGCCTGTCTCTATATAGGGAATATCCATGAAAGTAGGCTGTGTATAGCCGCCCCCTCCCCTCAAGCAAAATTGGGTAGAGATTTGTTTGAGGGGAGGGGTGGGTACCTGCCTTGTTCGTGCGCGTATTTTTCGCTTCTCTCCTCAGTCTCATTCTTCGTTCTTCACTCTCGCTTCAGACTGTTTGTCCCCTTCAAGTTTTTACCTTTGACGATTATTGTCTTTAATTGGACTGCCATTTTATTAACTTCCAATTAACTTGTAGACCTAGCTGTAGATACGGTCTCAGTACGACCTAATACAAGATTATTTTAATTAACGTAATTATTTTAATTAATTATTTTCTTATTTTTTTAAAAAAATAAGAAAATATAAAATATGAACGTTTAAATTCATTGACCATAAAACAGCTACTGACAGCAACTGTACACCAGGTAAAAATTCTATAAATTGAAGCAAGTCCTCTTCAACTACGAAAGAAACGTCGTAGGCAATAATAAATGTAAAAAATTCGTTGTAATCCGTTGAATCACCTTTTCTATGGCTCAGCTCCAGAAGTTCGCATACGTAAAGATATAAATGGACTATGTAATATTATTATTATTGTGTAATTATGCTCCTTTTTTTAAACTACATTCTGGCATTGGTAATTGGGAAACGCCTTGTATCCTGGGCTGATCCCTTATCTCCGAAGGGAAAAGCGTAGGGGACGAGCTTGCCGTGAAGAAATGAGCAGTTACAGTTTAGCCCTCGCAGGTGGGCACACTAGGGAAATCCTTCGGGACCAGACGCAGGTGTCCTCTGATGGGAGGTTGGATAGACCTCCAAGACCTCGAGGGGTAGATAGAATAAGTTGATACAAAGAAAGTAAGTACGCCTTTACTAATACAACTGTGCTATTCACATATTACAATCCTTTTTTTGCCCAATATAAATATTAGCAGTTTTTGATTGTGGTGGATTTATTATTGATATATTATACTGCCCTCTTACGAACACGTCCGTTTATGAGATTACAGGGGACCGAAGTTTTTTGCTGTCCGTTTAGGGGAGGTATTTTTTAAGAGAGGTTGACTGTAATTAAGACTAATTCAAAGAGAAACGAAACATGCCAGTTCAGGTAAAGATCATGCCTATGGAGCATGAGTCGGGCATGCCCAGTAATGCAGTGTACAGGGTGGATTAAGACTTCAGTTTTCTCACACTTGCATGAGTATATATTGTGATTTGGGGGCGATTGTATTCGTACTTGCAAGTTATTAGATTCTGCACCAGCATCAGTTGTTGTGCAATATGCTCCAATGACCTTTGATGGGACGTAGGGTAGACCACTAGAATGTCATGGGGCGAGTATTACTAACTTAAACAATTTGATGTAAAGAAATTACTTACGTATATAACGAAAGAACTACACTTCTTGGCTACTGAGGCATTCATATGTTACAATCCATTTTTGTCCAAATATAAATATTGACACGTCTTTCTTGTGGTGAATTTATAATTATTACTATGCTATACTGTCCACTTAAGAACACGTCCATTCAAGAGATCACGTCCACTTATGGGATATGTCTCAGAAATAAAAGGGGCCGCAGTTTTTTATTGTGTTTTTCCAGGTATTTTTCAGTAGAGGTTGACTGTAGGTAAGACTTGATACGTGCCAGTTCAGGTAAATAATAATGGCTATGGAGCGTGAATGGGGCACGCCCAGTAATGCAGTGCACAGTGTGGGTTCCCTCCAGAGCTTCTACAAACGCATGAATATATATTGTGATTTGGCGGCGATTGTATTAGTACTTGCAAGTTAGATTCTGCATCAGCATCAGTTGTTGTGCAGTATGCTCCAATGAACTTTGTATTCTGTGAAAATAAAAAAAAAATGAAAAATATACCGTTAAGTTAATTCACCTGTAAGGCATGCACATAGCATCTCTGCTTTTGGTATCAGGGTCTGGAGTCTAGAGTCTGCTCTTTCCCCCCGGAACCACTAGTGAGCTTGCTAGCAGGCTATGTAGTATGAGCTTAGACTTAGACTTAGACTCGGTTAGAAAAATTAAAACTAAAATTTAATGAGCAATCCTTGCTTAAGAATACAGATATTACACGCTTTAAACTATATTACCTGAGTATCAGCAATGGTAACAGGTGGTGTTTGCTCAATTATTTTAGGCTGGCAGCAACTGAAGTTACCGATCCCTCTTGGTCCTGGACCACCGGTATCGCCTTGAATTCCTTGCGGTCCTTGATTCCCTGGTTCTCCTTTGTCACCTTGAACTCCTGTATCACCCTTTTGTCCAACAGCACCATCGGTTCCATTTACGCCTGCCTCACCTTTCACGCCAGAATCTCCCTTCTCCCCTCGAACACCCTGATCTCCCTTTGTTCCATTAGCACCATCGGTACCATTTATCCCAGCATCACCTTTGACACCAGTCTCTCCTTTGCTCCCGGGAAGACCTTTATCACCCTTCTGTCCTGTAACACCATCAGTCCCATTAGTTCCTCTATCACCTTTGACTCCAGGTTCTCCCCTAGTCCCCGGAGGACCTATTTCACCCTTTTGTCCAGCAGAACCATCAGTGCCATTGGCTCCTCTATCACCTTTATCTCCAGGTTCTCCTTTATCCCCCTGAAGACCCTGCTCTCCCATTGGTCCTTGGGCTCCTTGTTGACCTGTGTCACCTTTAGATCCATTTAAACTTGGAGAGCCTGGAAGGCCCGGAGGACCTTGCACGTCATTGATGTTTTGGATCTAGGAAGAATGCACCAACAGAAAACTTATAATAAGCCTTTTGAAAAATTAATTTACCGCCATTGACTTTGGACGTACATCTAGAGCGTAGGTTTTTCCTGGTAAAGCTGTGGCGACACATGCTCAGAGCCTGTGCTCATGTATACATGTATTTCATCACGCCTACATTTACAAAACGCACCTCGTTAAGACTCACAATATCGCCGGCTATTTTTTTTATTCTAATGCCAGTGTATACACACGAGTTATATGATATTCTTTCTCTTAAAGATGACTACTGTGTTTTTACACCTTCTTATTTTTGCACATTCAAAGCCAGCCCTTTCCATAACTAGACATCCTTTGCTATGCTGAAAGTGTGCCGCAGTTTTAGTTTGCTTAAGCTTACTGACAGAAATCTGCTTCGGTTAAATGAATCATCGCCCCATGTAAGGGAATCCAAGACAGTCTTGGATTCTGGATTCCACGCTGTAGATTGAGGATTCCAGGTACTGGATTCCAGTATTTGTCAGTAGAACTTGGACTCCTAATTCCAATCTTTAATAGGATTCCGGATGCCTTGAGCTGTATTCCGGATTCCAAAACCCCCTATTCCGGATTCCATGACCAAAATTCTACGGGATTCCGGATTCCACAAGGAAAAATTTCTCGGATTCCGAAGTCCGGATTCCATTACATGGGACGAGAAGCAACTGCAACTGTGGAGTCAGTAACTCATGCCAGCTACTAGGTGTTGCTCAGCCATCTCTCTCTCACATTTTAAGCCTATCATCCTACCGCACCATTAGCTGTAGCTACAGTTATACCGCCGTTCATGCACCTGGATAAGTAAACATATACACAGTGCTCGCGCTGACTTTGAAATGTTCACGTCTTTAGAACTAACGGTAAAAAACAGGCTTTGAACTACCTATCGGCCGAGCTTTAATTCTTGCCACAAATAGTAAGTCATAGTAAAAAGCAAAACTTACCTTTGAGCTTAAAGTTGTTCTCAAAGTAGACAACTCTTGAAAGAAACTTCTATTGATAGTAGTTACAGCCGCTTCAAGCCTTTGACTGATGTTCTGTGTCTACATACGTGATATATTTGTAAGCAAAAACAGAAAAGCAACAACATCGTACGGTAACATTATATGACTATGTGATGATAATAATAATAATAAGAATAATAATGATAATAATAATAATAATAATAATAATAATATGTATATATTCATTTACTTGTACAGTATATGATGACAGTCCCGTGTTGGAATCCAGTGCGCTCTAAACACGCGTTGACGGGTTGTTTCTCGACCATTTTGAGTTCACCTCCTTTATCACTTTTCTAAAAGAGCCAAACCGGCCTCGCCTTCCGAAGATTGAGTTTTTCCTTTTTTCTTTTTATTAAAAACTTGTTTGTTTTCAGTGTTGTGCTCCATTATTCCCGGAAAGTCTGTTCCATTGAGATCGAAGATAGTTAAGCATTTTTCGACGTGAGTAAGGAAAGTCAGACAGATTGTTCTTTGTAGGAACACTAACCTTTGATTCAAAATCTGTTCCCACTGAGATCAACTCTTGGAGGAGAGTTGAATTAATAGTACTTGAAGATGCGTTGACGATCTTGAGGATATTCTCCATCTGAAATATACCATATTAAGGAGATTATTGACCGTTGCACCATCCAATAACAGCATGACAGATGACAATTTGAAAAGGACTGTTAACCTTCAGACCTAGCAACACGGGAAGAGATATTGGAAGCCCAATAAGTGACTTTTTTCTCGGAGGTTTTAAAATGATTTTAAGCCAGCATTGGTATCTTTCACTATCTGTTCATTTCTAAGACACATTCTTGCAAATTTGGGTGACAGCCGGTTCCTATAGTTACGGAAAATGAAGTCGCATTTATTACAACCAACCACAGTTTCAAAAGTAAATTCCTCATTTATTGTTGCGACCTGTACATTTTCTTTAGAAGCAGTGGGGAGAAGATGATAAAGTATCTGTTAAACTCATCTGTGTGGACATGTCCTTAATTCACGTGTTGCCACTCCAATTACTCTTAGGGCTGAAAGGATTAAGTGACTGGTTGTCGGCATTTTTAAGCAATAATCTCTGTGAGTGTTTCGCAGAAGTTGCGCTAAAATTTATGGAAGAGTACCAAACGAAAAACGAAAAATACCTGCTTTAATCCGAACTTTCAGTAAAATGCAAATCTAAATTCATCCTGTAGAGGCGAAACGCAGTCTATCTATTTGGGTTTATCTTTCCGAAAGGCCGCCCAAGTGGCGCAAAAAGCAAACAAACAGAACAGGGGTACGAATTTGCTTGTTTTGGAGAGCAAAAAATCCTTTTTTATATACATAAAACCTACGGTAGTTAGGTTTATTTTCAGACTTCGTGCAGTAAATATGTATGGGCGAGAGTCGGCAAAAGCATGGAATGGTTACTTAGTGCGCAGAGTGCAGTGTGCAAAGTAATGTGATAAAGCTTTGCGGTTTAATTCTGAACCTTCCAATGCAAAACATTAGTTATAACATCGAAAGTAAAAGTTATTTAAAAGTACTTTTGTACCTTAAGCTCTAATTCATCAGTTTCTTTACACTTTGCTTCAAAAGATCGTAGAAAGCACTGACGAGGAAAAATTAAATCTCTTGCTTTTTCTTCCTAGTTTGAGGAGACAAGGAACAGTGATAGCTGATAACTGACATTCAAATTATGAACCTAAGGATCAATTGTAAAGATTTAATTGCTATCTATATGGAAGATTAACATGGTGTGACCATCTACGTCATGGCTCTTTCCTTTGACCTAGAAGGGAGATTTGGTGAAAAAAAAGCCTCTCTGTACCGGTCGGCAAATACTTATATATGCATAGAAAGATGGAAAACGCTTTTTTGCTACAATGTTTAAAACTGCGAAAGAGCGTCTTAACTACATAACTTTTTTGGTCCTTAGGTTTCTTGAACAGTGTAGCCTGCGTTGCATGGCGGTTTTGGTTGGGTGCGCAAAGTAAAAAAAAGGCCTGCGAGGACAGAGAAACCGTGAGGAGATTGGGTCGTTGGCGCGCGCTTTGCGGGCGTTTTTGCAACTTTGCAGCTCAGTCGTGCTCCCTACAAAACCGCCATGCTACGCAGGCTATGAACAGTGTGGCAGCGTTATTCTTTAGGAACTGCCGGCCGGCTTTGTCTTACACAGCTAAGCCTCGGTGCGTTTGGTTCATTTGGGGTTAAATCACAGAAAAGAAGTCTCTAACCCTTAAATGACTAACGAGCAACATTAAAGTCAGATACTTCAAAAGACGAACGTACCAGATCTTGCTTTAGGCGTGTCATATTCACTTCCAGGGCGTTTAGTCTATCCAGTGTCTCATCACCGGGAGCGGTTCCCTGCAGCTTTTCAAATGAAGCTAAAAAGAAGACATCAGTCTCCTTTATGCTTAGCACTTTAGCTTTCACATAATTAATGAAGTTAGCCATATAACAAAGGCCGAAGGCCGAATGGGCTATTGACTCAGAGAGGCCATGAGGGCGAGAGGAATAATTGTCTAGTAAAATCCAGCTTAAGTTGGTCAAAAATATCGAGACAAAACAACTTTAGCTAGCAAAACGCGATTCAGTCGCCACTGTTTTGGTTTTCAAAGCCGGCGCTTTTCGCTACTAGTGGGCTGTAACATATAGCCTAGTAGTGGCTCAACCAATCAGAACGTAGCATTGATAATAGACCACTAGCTGGATTTTAATAAAAATGAATATCGTAAACTCTACCACTTATGGTTCCGTAAGAGAATGATACGAAAGGTAACCAAGAGTTCCTCGATGCATGACTTCTTTGATGGCTTAGTTATGCGAGCTTATGCCGACAACTGTTAAACAATAGCTAGAGTGTAACGTTTGCATGGAGTCGAATATTTACTTGACATTTACCTTGTTGATTATCAGTCCCTGTTTCTGGTTCCGATTCTTTACATTTGGATTTTACGAGAGCTATCACCAAGGATACCACGACAACTACTAGTAAAATTACTAGCAGTATTAAGGCGATTACAAGCCGTTTAAGAAAGAATTCACGTTTTGCATTGGCAGTTTGAAGCCCAGCTTCAACTCTCTTTCTGTGTGCACGTGTCGCGATACTTGCTGCTTCTTCGTCGGGTTCATCTTCGTCTAAACTTTTACCAACTCTAGAAGCGGATCTTTCATTTGTTTCGTCCTTGTCGTCCGCGTTCTCAAGCACGTAGCTTGTTGGATATACCTTTCTGGTCGCCATTATTGTCTAGCTGAGACGTATTAAGGCTAAAACCCTTCAACCTTGAAAAGCAACTAGACATTCCAGCTGTGCGATGTAAATAATTCGTATTATGCTGACCTTGCCCGAATAGGAAATGAAAGCTCGATCGTCCGTGATGATTGACTTCATGTGCCATGAAATGGCCTTATTGGTCAAAACTTAGAACTAAGACGTAATGAACCATCGCCCGCATTGAGCGAAAACCGTATAGGTCGTAATCGATTGTCAATTATGTAAAGCAAGGCTAAGCAAAACCTTTCCACGTACTTAGTGGCGTACATAATGTTTTTTTTAAAAGAATTCTACCGGGGTACTTTTGCACTTTTGATTACAAAATCATTCTGATCTTCACTACCGGCATACATTGCCTGTGTGCAATCTTGCAAGTAAGCTTTTCTCTATATAGGGAATATCCTTGGAAGTAGGCTGTGTATAGCCGCCCCCTCCCCTCAAGCAAAATTGGGTAAAGATTTGTTTGAGGGGAGGGGTGGGTACCTGCCTTGTTCGCGCGCGTATTTTTCGCTTCTCTCCTCAGTCTCATTCTTCGTTCTTCACTCTCGCTTCAGACTGTTTGCCCCCTTCACGTTTTTACCTTTGATGATTATTGTCTTTAATTGGACTGCCATTTTATTCACTTCCAATTAACTTGTAGACCTAGCTATAGATACGGTCTTAGTACCTAATACAAGATTATTTTAATTAACTTAATTATTTTAGTTAATTATTTTCTTATTTTAAAAAATAAGAAAATATAAAAAATGAGAAGTTTAAATTCATTAACCTCAAAACAGCTACCGACAGCGACTGTACACTAGGTAAAAATTCAATAAATTGAAGCAAGTCCTCTTCAACTACGAAAGAAACGTCGTAGACAATATTAAATATAAAAAATCCGTTGTAATCCGTTGAATCACCTTTTCTATGGCTCAGCTCCAGAAGTTCGCATACGTAAAGATATAAATGGACTATGTAACATTATTATTATTGTGTAATTATGCTCCTTTTTTTAAACTACATTCTGGCATTGGTAATTGGGAAACGCCTTGTATCCTGGGCTGATCCCTTATCTCCGAAGGGAAAAGCGTAGGGGACGAGCTTGCCGTGAAGAAATGAGCAGTTACAGTTTAGCCCTCGCAGGTGGGCACACTAGGGAAATCCTTCGGGACCAGACGCAGGTGTCCTCTGATGGGAGGTTGGATAGACCTCCAAGACCTCGAGGGGTAGATAGAATAATTTGATACAAAGAAAGTAAGTACGCCTTTACTAATATAACTGTGCTATTCACATGTTACAATCCTTTTTTTGCCCAATATAAATATTAGCACTTTTTGATTGTGGTGGATTTATTATTGATATATTATACTGCCCACTTACGAACACGTCCGTTTATGAGATTACAGGGGACCAAAGTTTTTGTTGTCCGTTTAGGGGAGGTATTTTTTAACAGAGGTTGACTGTAATTAAGACTAATTCAAAGAGAAACGAAACATGCCAGTTCAGGTACAGATCATGCCTATGGAGCATGAGTCGGGCATGCCCAGTAATGCAGTGCACTTGCATGAGTGTACATTGTGATTCGGCGGCGATTGTATTCGTACTTGCACGTTATAAGATTCTGCACCAGCATCAGTTGTTGTGCAATATGCTTCAATGAGCTTTGATGGGAGGTTGGATAGACCACTAGGACGTCGTGGGGCGAGTAAGTTAAACAATTTGAGGTAAGGAAATTACTTACGTATATAACGAAAGAACTACTCTTCTTGGCTAGTCTAACTGTGCCATTCATATGTTACAATCCATTTTTGTCCAAATATAAATATTGACACGTCTTTATTGTGGTGGATTTATAATTATTACTATGCTATACTGTCCACTTAAGAACACATCCATTCAAGAGATCACGTCCACTTACGGGATAGGTCTCCTTTTGGTAGTGATCAGAAATAAAAGGGGGCCGCAGTTTTTTGTTGTGTTTTTCCAGGTATTTTTCAGTAGTGGTTGACTGTAGGTAAGACTTGATTCGTGCCAGTTCAGGTAAATAATAATGGCTATGGAGCATGAATGGGGCACTCCCAGTAATGCAGTGCACAGTGTGGGTTCCCTCCAGAGCTCTTACAAACGCATGAATATCTATTGTGATTTGGCGGCGATTGTATTAGTACTTGCAAGTTAGATTCTGCATCAGCAGTAGTTGTTGTGCAATATGCTCCAATGACCTTTGTATTCTGTGAAAATTTAAAAAATGAAAAATATACTGTTAAAGATAATTCAGCTGTAAGGCATGCACATATAGCATCTCTGCTTTTGGTATCAGGGTCTGGGGTCTGGAGTCCCCTCTTTCCCCCCGGAACCACCGGAGAGCTTGCAAGCAGGCTATGCAGTATGAGCTTGGACTGACCAACATCGGTTAGAAAAATTGAAACTAAAATTTAGTGAGCAAGTATTGCTTAAGAATACAGATATTACACGCTCGTAAACTATATTACCTGAGTATCAGGAATGCTAGCAGGTGATGTTTGCTCAATTATTTTAGGCTGGCACCAACTGAAGTTTCCGATCCCTCTTGGTCCTGGATCACCGGTATCTCCTTGAATTCCTTGAGGACCCGTGTCGCCCTGCGGTCCCTTGATTCCCTTATCCCCGGTCGCTCCCTTGCTGCCCTTTTTGCCTGGAAAGCCTGGATCTCCTTTCATTCCTTTGTCCCCTTTTGCTCCGGTGATTCCTTGTATCCCCATGGGGCCCTTTGGCCCGGCGGGTCCCGTATCTCCTCTTGGACCTCTGAAACCGTTTTGTCCTTTCTCGCCAGTTGGCCCAGGTTCAGCAATTCTAATTGATACCTAGAAAAACAATGTTTTTAAAAAATCGTGATTGATATGAAACATTGCCTTGAAATGTTGTTTGGCCGAACACTGTCGGCTTCAGCGCGGCGAATCCTTAAACAAAAAGCGCTACTTCCCAAGTTAATGATCCCGACTGAAACCACCAGCTATATTAATATAGCTGGCCAATATTGAATATTGGCCTCTAAAATGCCGTGATATATTCCCTTTAACTTCCAATTTGCCACTTTGGAAACGAGACGGAAACTGAAGCCGAAATGATCCCCGCAATTGTGTCTGGGATGGTTAACGGAGACGCGCATGTCAACTATTGGCCAATTTTCCCCCTGTCCTTAGTAACAGCCCCAGAAGTCTTTGCGGGAAATAATCTTGTCCCAGTTTCCCACTCGTTTTTAAAGTGGCGAATTTAACAGCTGATCAGTCTACCAACCTTTTCAGCGATAGTATTGTTCATATTTTGGATAGCATCGTCGATGATGTCATTATACTGCTGATAAGTTTGCTTCATCTCTGCCAACTGCAAGATCAGATTAAATGGACTCAAATCAATCCATGTACTTTATTTCACAAACCAGCAATTCGGCATGCAACCGACTTTGGTAGAACATTTGCATACGATTCAGGTCACTGGATAAGCTTAATGTATTACGTACCTCGTTTGTAAACGTGGTATTTAATGCTTGAAGTTGACCAGACACTGGCCCATTGTCATGGCTAAACTGCTGCAAAGAATTATTGACCTGCAAACAGATACACCCAAAAACAAATTAGAGAGCACTTTTAGCGACTAGCAAACTTTTAATTCAGCACATTTGCAAGTTCACTTTTTGCACCAGCTACATGTGAAAATATTCTCCTAAGCCCCTGATAAAACGTGAGGATTGGATGTATTAGGATCTAACAGGCATCTGAATATTAGAATTCCTTCTAAGAGTGACAAGCAAATTGAAAACCAAAAATGTTTCACTGAAGACCGATAATATAGATAGCATAATTTAAACTCAAAGCGTCATCTAAATACAACAAGGCTTACATTGTTAACCACAGCATAGAACGTATTGTAAAACAGTGTAATCTCGTGTCTTGTGAAATTGAACTTTGTTTTGGCTGCCAGAAGCGTATCCGTGTTCCCTTCTGATTGTTGAAGTAGCGATTCCTTCACAGAAAAAAAAAATTGGTTTACCACTTTTAACAGAGGAACAAATAAGGCGTTTCATAACGTCTATATCATATTTATTATGCAGAAAGTATATAGACTCCGACTTTACCACCTCCATCAACACCTTTCCACCCCTCGTCAACTAACTCATTCCGCCGGTTTTGATGGCCAATGTTTTCTCAGCAAATATCGCTTATATCTCTGATTGTTGAGCAAGATAATTTAAAGATTAATTATTTTAACCAAAGTTTCTAATTGGACTGCTAGCAATTTCTCAGGATTATCGCACCCGAGCAGAGCATGTTACAGCAACGAGCTACGAACAACAATCCCGACCAGTCACCGAGCGACAAACACAAGAGGACCAAAGGTTCTCACGTACAGAAAGCCACTCGGCAACAATGCAATGCATCACTGCGAGGGATATTCATGCAGCCTGGTAGGCTGAGAGAGAATTAATTCGCAATATTAACCAGTGCTGGGCGCACATTGAAGTATTATCGTGCAAAATCATATTAGCATCAGTGTTGTATGCCTGCACTCAAATTCTTTCGAATAACGTCTTGACCGGCAAATAATGTGACTCTGACTTAAAGTTTGTGGATAAAAGCCTAAAGAAATCTGCTCTAGTCTAAATACCCGTCAAAAATATAATTCACAGTTGTCGACTTACTGCTTCTTGACGAAGAGACGAAATATTAGCTTGCAAATCCTCCAAGATGTCGTAAAATGGAGAGAAGTCCATGTTAAACGTATTTTTAGAAGACGTCTCTGTTTCATTCTGTTTGTTTTGGTCTTCAGAAGATTGTCTACCCACTTTTGGTGAAGTTCCTAGAGTTGAAAATCAAATCGATCCTTAGTCTTTTAAGTTCTTACAGTGACCTTACTGTTTATTTTATTAATTGCCTATTTATTTTTTGGATCAGTATACGTTTCTGGGAAACTGCCCACCTACCCCTCGCTTAAGGCAACATTTTGCTATTTGTTCTAGCCGGCGATGAGTGTACTGGGGTCTTGAAACCAGTCCGGGGGTTTATGCAATCCACGTTTTCTCGCGCTTTATCAAGTACAGCGTTGGCAGTACATGCACAGCAAGGAGCAACTGTAGAGTTCCATATTGAAATAAATTAAAACTGCAGAAAATGCTGAAAATATCGAAAACGTCTTTTGAAACTACACGTATAAGTTAAGGGTTAAGACATAGCCCACATTCTTTCAGCTATTTCCCGTTAAAGACACAGTATCTAACAAATTCTGTTTGACTCTTAAAAGTGGGCAAAGAATCGAGAATAATTTTTATACTTAGCCATATAAAAAACATGCCACTTATAATTCACGTCAATCTATATATTCAATACATGTATTCGTTGGTTCGATGGAGAGTCATGTGCGCTCCTCTAACCACCACACACTTCCCCACAAAGCCATTTATTTCCGTCAGCTTTTTCCTCTTAGAATATTATAACTTTAGATGATATTTTCAAACTTTAGAATGTGAAAATAAAAAACAAGGGTGAACTGAACAAATGATAGCCTTTGGGGCAACTGAATACGGCTGAAAGCTAACTTGTTAAACGAACCAGTGAAATGATGCTAAACATTATTAAATGGGCTTTCCAGCGCCCCACAGCTCATTACCGTGAAAGGAAGTTAATTATTTAAGTCAAATTATACCAGAATTACCAAGCTTGAAATAAATGGGGGCATCCATTTCAGAAACGAGGCGCTTTCAACTGCGGAAGCGGTAAGCTTACCTTCAGTTTCATTGCAAGCGCGACAGCGTTGGGCTGGTCCCAAAACGCCGAAGACCATAAGAATGACTAAAGTCAAAGCAGCAACAGAAAAGAATAAAACAAGAAACTGAAGAAAACGATGGTAGCATAGTCCGTGACAACAGCCATGGCGCTCGAGATGGCTTTTGATTTGATATCCATCATTCAAAGTTCGTACGGTCCTTGAGTAGTTTCCCGTGACAGATTTCGGCTTTTTTCGCCGTTTTTCCTTTTCTTTTGCGCTACTTTTCGAAGAATAAACTCCGTGTTTATCTTTTGCTGTTTTACTTAAGACAACATAAGATGAGTTGGAGTCAGCCCGAGGCCTAGGAGGTAAAGCTACTTGTTGTTTTGCTTCCCAGTTGGTCTTAACAGATGGTGGGTAGTCAGCCATTCCACTTATTGTATTCACACGCAAATTACGATGTAGTAACTTGACTAATCTAATTGATGTTCAATAGTCGTTGAGATGAATTACTCCTAATTTTGACCTTGTTACGTGTGCTTTGTTTTTTCTTTGATATTGAAAAGGAAAGCGAAACATTTCGCTTCTATGCACGTGTTCATGATATTGAGTTAACTCTGACCAACTGAAGAATTCGAGATATGTGAAAGATCGATGCAGTTGAATACGTTTTACAGCGCTTATAATAGCGTCGCCATGATCATTGGCTTAGCGGGCATTAAAGTATGCAAAACAAGAAATTGACCTAAGGGCGATTTTATCTTTAAATTAAAATGGCTTTTTTGAGCACAAACACAAAAGCAATAGTGAGTTTAATGCAATGCAGTTGTTCCTTGTTTGAAAGAATAAATAGACAAGACAAGGAAAAGATCGAAAAGACAATATTTGTCCATTTACCGTTTAAAACAAGAGACAACTGCCTACTATGTCCCGTCTTCTGGGGGTGCTCTTAAACGTTTGATAATCAAATGACCATAACTGCCCACCTACCCCTCCCCTAAACCAACATTTTTTGCCTCAAGTGAGAAGTAAGTGTTAATGTTGTCTTTGGGGAGGGCGTAGGTGGGCAGTTTCCCAGAAACGTATACTGATCCAACATTTCTAGGGTAGGGTAATATATGCCGCCTACCAGAGTCATCTTTTAGCACCAAGTCATATCCGAAAAGGAAAGAGCACTCTTGGTCCTCCCGGGTCCTCCTGGCGGGTTAAATAGGAAAAATTGTCAGCCTGAACATTGCAGCGGACTGAGGGCGGAAGATATTTTGCCGTAGCCAGACCAAACACTAGTGATCGGGGGCAGGAAACTTTTTTGATTGATTTACAGCCGTTTTGAATGTCGAAAATTTTGTTATATATATAATTTTTAAAGGCTTTTGGGAGGGTCAATCGCTTATGTAAAATAAAATGATGGCGAAATTTCGGATTTAACCGCTGACTCTTCGAATATGGTTTTTATAGCAAGAAGCAAACTATTGGCGCGATAAACGTAGCTTGAACGGAGCATCCTTTTGGCAGTCATTTGACAAAAGTCGATCGTTAATGGCAGTAAAGCCCTGATTTCCTAATCACTTTTAAGCGAAAACAAGGTCCATGTACAACTGAACGTGTCAAAGATTTTTTCGAATTTTGGTCGTGCCGCATTTCACTGCCGCCCGAGTCAGGGAATAGCTAAATTGAGAATCTGCCCATGACCATTTTAGAATATCTTAACCGAGCTTTAGCTTCAATGCGAATCCCTGAAAAGTCACAGGAAAATTTTCAGTATATATACTGAGAAGAGTTTAATTCTGGTCTCAACGCTGCTTGGTCTTCTAATAGCTTCTAATTTCACTTCTACTTCTCATGCACGGGAAAATTGGGGCAGGCGATTGCGAATGCCGTAATGTTCTGCTGCGGCATGAGCTGTACTCTTTTGGAAGATTGGAACCGTCAAAGGGCACTCGCCAGTTATGTTTGTATCCACTTTATCAACACTCAGCTAATTCTCAAGTACTCCTTTTATTTCTTCTTGCACTACTCTTTGAGGTTTCTTGCCTAGACAAGCAATTTCTACTTTTCATTCTATTTATTTTCATTCTGGAGTACGTTTGACACAAAGCTTAGTTAGAATCTTCTGGAAATGTTTTCACGACATAAATCAATACGACAGTCTATGACACGGTAATTTCCAAAAAATTGCCGAGAACGGAAAGTCGAAACTAAAACAACGGGCGCGTTACTTTTCCATTTATATACGAGTAGAATCAATAATTAAAAAGGGAATTAAAATTATGTTATTTGAAGGCAAAATGTTTAACAGTCAATATATCAGCTGAATTTAAATTTGCATTCAAGTACACGTTATCCCTTGCCGCGATAAACATTGCCAGCTCGCTCTCAAGATACATGTACCAAAATCTGATAAAAATAACGAGCAAAAAATACTTTCTCACCTGAATTTGAAGTACGGCAGCGACATTTTGGACCAACTTTCCCCATCATCAACAGAAGAACAAGCAGTAAAGCTATGATAGCCACAAGAACAATCAGAAACATCAATACAACGCGAAATATTCTTCCATTTTTCCTTTGTCTCGCGCGACCGGGTTTCTTCGGTGTTTGAGAAGTCCTTGACTGATTTTGCCCCACTTCTTTGGGGCTATTAATGTTATCATATACAGCATTTTGAGTTCTTTTTGGCCTTGGATTAACTTGATGGTTGTCATTGCGTTGCAGTGTGTTGTAAGGATTCCCCGAATCTACATCGGTATACATTGCATTGTCAATAACGTTTAAACTTGAGTTGCTTCGTCGATCAAGGCTGATAGTACTTCCAGTGAGAGCGGGATTCAAAAGTCCCAAATTTTTGGCCATCTTTGTGTTCAAATGTTCGAGTCGATCGGTGGAAATAGCTCTTAATTTTACTCCCAGATGTCTGTAGGATATCAATGCATTGACTACATTGTGATCTAAAGCCGAAAGATTCCTTAAATTTCAATAACTACTCATTTGCGTATAAAGTTGCCTTTCATTTCACGTTTGGATGCGCAAATACCATGAAATACGTAAGCTCTTTTGGAGGATGACGAGAGAATACAAGGTTTCCGCTTTGTGAGACTGGGATAGGCCCAGCTCCGTAACCACTTCAACGCCTCCGACTTTCAGGCAAGTATAATCATTGCAAGATGAACTGTGCGTATCGCAATATTTGAGGATTAGTTTATTTACTGTTGGCTCAGACATAAAGCACAGGTTATGTCCGCGGCCAAACATTTTAAAGTCTCCAAAAAAATTGCCAGAGGGGTTGATTCCTACCTCTAACAATTGAAGTAATTAAATGTTAATTTACGCCACTTTCACTTTTTTCATCTCTCTGCTTCCACACAAACCGTTCAAGCCTTTCGAGAATTCTTTCGGTGAGAAACTGCAAAATTGTACAAAAAGACGTTTTAGCCGGATTACCTGTATTTGCTTATTTTCGCAATACGACAAAGAAAAACTCATTTCTACCACTAAATACAAGATAAAAGCTAATCCCCTATGTGTTAGAGATTTTCTTATGTGTGATTGGCAGTTCAAAAAGAAAGATCTGTGCGGTATTTTCTCATAAACTCGCGTTCATTTGCTATAATTTTGCCGGAAGTGAAGAGTGAAAGTGAAAGCGGGTGCAGTCGACATAAGGGTGTCTCCTCACTAGCTTCCGGAAAACAATTTGCGTTTTTAACAGTAATATTGCACTCTCACTTCTGTAGTTCAATTGTTTGAATTCCTGCTCTGAAGTGTAGGCAAACTACACGTCAAAATATTAACCGGCTAAATTCTGACGGTTTATATTTAGAGATAAACTATTTGCACAGTCGTGATGTTCTATAAGCCGTTGGGAGTAATCAACCTATATAAATATCTCTCCCTTTCTGATTTTCAGGGAATAGCTTGACCAGCCCTATAGAACAGATGAAAATAATCTGAAAACACACAAAATTGTCTCTTTTATTATCACAGTTATTTAGTTTTTTTTTTTCACTTATATTTTCTTTGTACCACTTTCAAGCTAACTCTAGATCTGTTTTATCCGTTGCCATCGCAACTTTTGACGACAGGAGCCAATTACCTATCATTACGCTAGCCGCTGAAGACAGTATTTCCACAGTTATTAAGACTGGGGTAAAATTCTCTTTACATTAAAGATTCTCATTAGACTTTGGGTTTTATGATTTATATGAATAAGTTATTTCTGAGCCGTACAGCTACGAAAACTGTGATAATTTCTCGTTCTATCATCGAATTTGGCCGCAAAATTATCCTAGCTACATCTGTGTGTCACGGTGTTCGAGTGAAAATAATTGGACTGAATTATTACACGTACATCGACTCTAAATTGCAGCGAATCGCCTACAAAGTGCACTGAGCACATCAAAACAACGGCGAGTTTTCATCTTCTTACGTAGCTGGGTTATTCCAAAACTACGAAGATATCTCCTAAATCCACGTCTCAAAATGTTTGTAAAAAAAAGGGATTGCGCTTTCGTAGATGGTATTGATTATAAAATGCCCCAAATCGCTATTTATCTTCGACTTTCTTAGTCCCTACTCTTCACTGATTTTAACCACCTCAGTCTCCTGTTCTTGTAATTCTCTTTTCCTCCTCTCGTATATGTCAATGGTAAATTTATCAGGAGCCATTTTGTTCTCCTTCATTTCTTCCCACACTTTTTGCAGAAGGTCTGAGTTCTCCGCGTTACGCAGTCGACGGCCATAAACTATCATGTCCATCCGCTCTTTAGACATCATTTTGCAGCCATCCGTAAAACAGAGATCGCTTGCCTTGCCGTAATTAAGCGCAGGAAAAAATACCAAACCTGAAAATCGTTCTAAATCTTCGAGAGGAACTTGAAAATCCTGCAGCTTACGCTCGAAGCTCACTGGTTCGTTTGGAATTACAAAGGCTCCGAGGACGGTCTCCTTACTTTCGTCCTCCGCGAGAATTACTTTATATAAGTGTGTTGGTACTGCAACGTTGTTCGTGCCTATGACCTAAGGAAATACAACAAAGTAAATTAAAACGCGTGGCTGTCTAAATTATTGCAAACTAGCCTGAAAACAGTGACGTTTTTCAGTCTTTTGGACTGGGGTAACAGGGCATTCTCGATCTCAGTAACAGTCCAACAACTCAAACATCTGGCTTCAGTATTTTAATTACTATTTCACTATTCATGGGTGACCATGCATGTGAAACCTCTATACACGTAGAAGTAACTTTACATGGTACTTTTATTCTATGGGACAAACTACTTCAACTTGTCAGTCTCTGGATAAAATCCTACTATGTGTCCGTTCAAATGAAACCTGTGCTGCAGTACTTTCACATGGTACTACAAAATGACTTTACTTTGTATTTTTTTTCTTGAGCACTAATTTTTGGAACCATTGGCCGAGAGTAAAAGTTTGGCTCAGCCAAAGAAATCAAATTAATACTTGAAATGTTTCAAAACGATTGAGACACTAAACAGACCTCATATTTGACTATCTTCTTTCCATCTTCTTGTTTTGGTAAATAGAGTGGGCCAGACACAATATATACACTGGAGTATCTCTTTGTGAGACCCCTACAGTATGCTTCTAGTCTGTACCAATAGTTAGCATTGTTGTCCAGATCTTGAGGTACAATGTTTGACAAGAAGAATGTTGCATCCATAGCTTCTTGGTTAAACTTGTTGTTGCCTGAAAATAAGGGAATATATTTAAGAGGAAAACGCAGGTTGAAGACTACATCACCCTGTCAAGGAGTCAATCAAAGAATCTATTCCTCATTGATAATCGCACAACTGCTGTTGTTTTACCATAAAATGAGTCAGGACAGCACTGAGACTGTTAGTAGTCCCTGGTTACTCATTGAAGAGCAGTGCAAGCTGAATGACCAGGCTCTGCAGAAGAGTAAATAAGCTTCTCAGCTCCCGTTGTGTTACCCCCCCCACCCCTCCCCACCAGCAATCAAGAGGACAACTAGCAGTCTGAACTAAACTGCCTCTACCAAAAGTTGGCCTCCATCATCTTGGTAGGTTTTTCTATCCATGAGAGGAAGCAGGAATCGTCATCTAGTTTTGTGAGTGCATGTGGCTTTACATTAATATGTTTACACGTAAGTTCCACGCGTGACCACTATCAATTTTCTCCTGACAATATAATGTAAATAAGTCATCGATTGAAAAGGTTATGAAAATAAATAAGCTGATCACCAAAGAGAAAATATTTTGATCTTTTATCAAATTCTCTCAGCTTATTCTTTAAGGAGTTGTATGGAGATCAGTCCGGAGAATTGAAATGTGGATATTGGGGTAGTGCTCATTTAGTAACAGAGGGTACCAACTTGCAGGAGCCATGTGACCTCTTGACCATCCACTGTCCCAGTAGTCATCGTTTTTTGACTGAAAACGCGCAGGAATGTTTAAATCAGGTTTAAATGTGGAATGAGCTCGATCGGCTTCTCCTTTTACTTTGTCCCGCGTCAAATGCTCCAACACCCACCGCGGCGTTTTCTTAGCTTGATCGTAGCACAAAACGTGATTCCTGTACCGTATATAATCCGGAGCTCTCTTCGGAAGGCCGTATTTGAAAACATTATCGTCCTCATTGTCAGCGATTTCCGCCAGTGTATCTAGTTTATCAAGATTTGTTTTCACTTGACGAGGATCAATAGTTCGGAGGTGATTTCCGTGCTTTAGATGGTCGTGCCTTGCAATGATTTCCTGGATCTGCTTCTGAGTCGAAACATTCTCACTATCTGTAGTCTCGTAATATATTTTTGTCAAACCTGCACCGACGATCAGCGCAGTTACAACGTTGCCAAGACCGCTAAACCGCGAACCAAGTTGCCTCAGCCAAGCTGCCATCTTGAAAGGAGAAGTAGACGTTTCATATAAGGTACACGAAATGTCTGTCGGAAAGAAGCCGCGGCAGTATCGCCGGCTCAGTTGTAAGACGCCTAACCGTTGATATTTTTATTTTGAGGCAACATTTACACGGGTTTTTAGTTTAGGTTTTGAAAGGAATTTTTGTCCTAACAGTTCTTCAATGCTATATTGTTGTTATTTGGACTGTAATGTATGATGTGGATGAGCCAATTTCAGATTACCAGAAAGTAGTTCGTGGTAAGTAAACAACAAAACAAGGAATGCAGATCAATACGGCGGGAATTAAACTTAGCTACAGCTTTATCGAAACGTCGATTATTTAAGCTTTTTTGGGATAGGTTAACTGTAAATTAATATTTTAATGTTGATTACTCGCTAATTTTAATTGAATTCTTTTGTTCTATAACTCTATTATTTATATCAAGAACAGTGTTGAGTCTTTTGTCATATCAGATGCAAGCTTTAATTTATTCTTAGTTGCTAGCGCTACAAGCATAGCCTTAACATATTCATA